TAAAAGCAGGAAAGAGCCTTAGTATTAGTCCTTAAATAATTCTCCTAACAGGAATTTATAGTATTTCTAAATATCTATTTATTTGGATTTCTATTTTATTACTTCTTTTTATACTAGTTTTTTCCTTATATAAAGTTAACTAGTAATTACCTCTAGCTTATTAACTTTCTTAGTAAGTTAATTAATATATAAGTGAAATTTCTAATAGTATTCTGTTTATTTATTAGTTATAAGATAATATTTATTAATAAGATTATCCCGTATAAGTAATTTTTATTAGACCTTATTTATTTTCGAAGTATTTATACTAATTTTGAGTTTTAAGTTAGCTAGCTATTTCTTAATATCTTTTTCTGAAATAATATTATAATAGCTTTTCTAATAATATAGGTTTATAATATTAAAGTTCGGCTTTTCTATTTTATTATATTAGGGCCTTTTATCTAATATATTTATAGTAGTAATATTTGGCTCCGGATTATTTATAATAGCTTTAGAAAGAATATTAGCTATAAAGATAAGTACTAAGTAAGTTCTTTTTATTTAATATTAGTAAACTATAACTAATTATTATCTTATCTAGTTTTAAGTTAGTAGACTAAAACTAACTATTATCTTTTCTTATTTTAAATTAGTTAACTACTACTAATTCTTTTTATACTAGGGAAAGGGGCCGGTTCTTTTACTCTTATTAGTATTAAGGGAATATTATTTACTCTAGTTAAGGATTAGGCTCCGAGATTAACCGGGTTATAAAAAATAATATCTTTCTTCTTTTATATTAGTAGAAAACCAATTACTAGGAGAGGAATATTATCTATTCTAGTTAAGGATCAGGCTTTGAGATTAACTAGATTATAAAGAATATTATACTTCTAGTTAAGCTCTCTAGTTCTTTATAGTTTAAAAAGATTATTAAATATTAAAAGCAGTATTCTGTCTTTACTTTCTAAGAATAAATACGGGTTCTTTACTAGTAATATTATATTGCCTTTATAGGCCAAGTCAAGTAAGCTTAGTATTATATAATAGCAGGATTAATATAATAGTTAAAGGCTTAAAGTTTAAAGAATCTTATATATTAGAAAATACTAAGCTATAGAATAAAGTAGAGAGAATGCCTTAACCTTTAGTATTATTCCGTCCAAATAATTCCGGCTTAGCTTTATTTTATACCTGTTTCCAATATCCTGTTCTTGGCAGATTATGCCCTTATACTAGCCGTTATACCGGGTATTAATTAGGGCAAGGGTATTAAACGATTTGTAATAAGCTACCTAAGCTCTTTAAAAATCTTAAGTTAGATTTTTAATATAAGTATAAGCTAGTATATTATAAATCTTATATTATAATTATATGCTTTATAACTTATAATAAAAAGATTTCTTAAAATAGAATTTTAATTTAAGTAAGTTTATATACTAATTAATTAGGTTCTAGTTTTTGAACCCTATAAGGCCTTATAAATTAGGGGCTTATAAGGCTCTTATATTTGGTTTTAGGGACTTTTATACTAAATTTCTAGGCTTTCTTAAGCTTACCTTTAGGCTATAAAATATGAAATTTTTAATTTCTTTAATATAAAGAGTTATTACTAATCCAAATTTTTATAAAAGTTTATATTTAAATAGCGCTTATTAGTGCTATAAGGAAATAAAACAAGTATTAAATTATATGAATTTCTTATAAAATTAAATTAAATTAAATTAAAGAAAAAGCCAGAGTTTTAGTGTTCCTGTTCAAGCGCCTCTACTTTGGGTTAACCTTAGTAGCTAGTTTACTCCCAATCGACACCCATAATCCTGGTAATCGACACCCCTAATCGACACCCGGGGGGTGGAGAGGGTCGTTTTAGTTTTTCCCAGATCGTCCGCGCATGACAGCCTGTGGGGAGGCGGGGTAGCGGGGTAATGGGGGAGGTGGTAGGGTCAAAGCTCATTGGAGCGTCTGGTGCGTAGCGCGCGTATGAGGGGCTGAGGGTTATAAAAGACTTAAAAGTTTACGTTCGCCCCGACAATCCGCTCCGCTCTTGAAAACTTCACGCTACTCGTATCCTCTCGTACCCCCTCTCACCCTCACGTTAAGGCTCAAGCATGCAACAACACGAGCTACCCGCATCCTAGAATCCGGGGTCTTCATCCAAACGAAGCGCCCTCGCAATCAGCAGGGGAAGCTCGGCATACCCAAGGAAAAGAGCCGTCACCGCCTGCCAAGTCTGCCGTGCCCGGCGGACCAAGTGTGACCAGAAGAAGCCTTCTTGTTCATTTTGCGAGAGCATTGGAGCAGAGTGTACTTCAGCCCCCGCTGCCTTGTCCACCTTTGATCCGGCAAGCCTCGCCATTATCGAACGACTGGATAGTGTGGAACGGAAATTCGATTCGGTTCCACAAGCGTCGGATCCGGCGAACGGTAAGTTAGCTGCTAAAGGCCTAGCTTTCCATCTCGAAAGACTACTCATCAATCGGCCGGTGTTTCACCACCGACATCATGGTACGTGGTAACGTGGCTAATGCTACGGTCTTCTGCCCGAAGTGCGTGTATCCTACTTGCCGCGGGTCAGCTCCCGTTTACATCTTGTCTTTTGCCAACAGATTGGAAGGGGGCAGTCGAAGCTACCATTGAGGCGCTTCTTTTCTGGCGCTTGATATGGAAGGAGCCAAAATTATTGCGGATCTGTTGCAACATTTACTTTCGAATGCTCACGAGAAACAATGACCACGTCCGAGAATAATGTTTGGAATTGCTATGTGCATCCTCAGTCAAGCATCGCCGGTTCTGAATAAAGAATTAATGTGTCACCTTCTCCACCATCCAGCTCTCTGTCCATCTCCAGCAATGCTTGCGCGTCTGCTGGAATTGGAACAACGCCACAAGAGACAGAATTGGCATTGGGTTTCCCACGTTGGCCCCGTTATCAAACAACAATTTCTTATTGCCCTGCACAGCGATGATCCTCAAACTGCGCGAGTAAGCCGCCCACTGCTCCATATCGACTTTTCTCCATCCGTTGTCACCGGCACTATCCTCGTTGATGAAGACAGCTTCTTTGGGTAGAAGAAGATGTTGTCGTTGAAGTCAGTGAATGGCTGTGAAGCTCGCTTGGAGATGATACTGGATTACTGGCAGCCGCAGAGGAGATGAATGGCGACAGCAAAGAAGCAGCAAATGAGTTGCGTGTAATGCATGGCTGTGGTATACTATTGAAGCTTTGGGGCGGATGATCTAACGTTCTAGGAATGATATTTCCAACTATGTTGAGTATTTTAAGGCTTGGCCATCAAGCAGGCAGGACATAGCCTCTCTATACTGTACTAATTGGCATATAAGATAATAGCAGTAATATAAGATGCTAGTTCTATATGATATGGTTTCAATTGCCACTTGACTAGAATTCATATAAGATATTATCTTAACGGACACAGTAACACCCTATTAAAACCCCGCGAAAATAAAGCTATTCCCACGTCTGCCACCTATTATTCCCTTCTCTAGACCCCTAAAACTCCAAATTTCGGGGCCAAATCAGTCTATATTTATATTCTCCGTATTATCCTCCTCGTCCTTATTGTCTTCGAACTCGATATCATCATCAGAGTCAATCAAATCGTCCGTAGCTTCCCTAGTATTAGTGGCTATATTCTCCTCCTGTTCTATGTCCATATTATCTAATAAGCCCATTTTCAACCTCCTTCCATATAACGTACGTATCACCTATCTCTTGAACAGAGCTGTGGATAGAGAATGGCAATAGAGGAAGCTGAGAATCGAATTGGGAAGGCTGTCAACGTTGTGCAGACTGGGAGTCTTAAAAGTGCTAGGTCTGTAAAGAGGGAAGAATTAGCAACGCTTAATTAAAGAACAAACAAAGATCGCTTACTGATAACTATTGATTCTGACTCTGACCAATATAAATTAGAGACATTTATACGTTAGTAGAGCTCCGAGTGGCTTTGATTGGGAGATTAAGGTGTCGATGATCTGGACATCGAGGGACGTCAGACCCCTGTAAACACCCTTCTTTCTTGGGAAGTTAAATAAGATATCATCTTATATGCCATTTAGTACAGTATTGATACCCGAGGAAAGGCAGCAGATTACTGGAACCCTCTCTACATGGTTGGCAGTGCCGCACCAAACTCGAAGGGCAGGATCGGGCTTCCCCATGGAGTACTCCACAAAGGCTCAGATATCCATAAACTCTTATACAGATCTCAGGCTAATAGGATGATGGCCTGATGGCGAAGCCGCGAAGCTTTCCTTAGTCAGTCGACTTCCAAATTGTGGCGCCCCCCCCTAAGGTGGAGTCTTGATCGACATGCGGAGTGTCGGCAAGAATTCAGGGGCGGACAACCCCTGCACGTAAGGTTTACCCTACCGGTAGTGCTTAGGTTTCTTCGGGATATGGACTGAGTGGACTCGTCTATCAGAAGTCCCAAAATCCACAACCACGGGAAGATGCATGTGCCACTAACCTTAGGCTCCATCAACTCCGATGCCGTGGCGACGCTCGGCAAGATCCCATTTTCGCACCAATGGCAGTCGATTCGCCAAAGCTTTTAAAAAAAGCCCCCCAAATGGTGGCTCGCTGGAGAGCCCAAGAGTCCAAGATATGAACCTTTTCATCTAGTATGATATTGCGAAAGTAACAGGATGCCAAGAGCCAGGCTCGGCAACGATACCTGAGGTATCAATACCGGTATTAATACCCCCTGGTATGACTTAGTATTGGTAGGATCGAGCCGTATTGATCTAGTATTGATTCTAAGCGAGAAATTTGCTAAGTACCTTATATAGTAAATTTATATGTAGAGGTACTTTTCTTTGCGAGAGGGGTCAGACAGCTAATAAGGGGTGAGGAATACTAAAAAAGTGGACTTTTTAAAGTCCTTAAAAAATTGTAAAAATATCTAAAACTATTAAAGCAACGTTTCTAATTATAACGTTGTACTTACCTTTTTTAATTAAAGGTAATAAGTATAATAAGAATTATAGTTCAAGGGGTTAGACAGGGGGGTCCTCGATTCTGGTATCGATAGTATTGATACCTTATGATTCTGGTATTAATACGGATCAATAACCGAAATTCGGTATCATTGCCGAGCCTGACTGATTGGTGAGAAGCCCATACCAACACCAATTACGAGTAGTGCTTTAAGTCCGCATCCAGAGCAAAGTCATATCCAGGATCCTTATCCCAATCTGCCGCGTAACCGGTGGTATCCAAATCCTCCTTCTTCTTTTTATTTAGGCTTTGCGAACGGCAAGTGGTCAAATGAATCGCCGCTCCGCCTGGCCGGATAACTTTGCACTCCCAGCAGAAATGGGTGTTGCACACGTTCGGCGGCTTTCCTTCGGGGCACCTGAAGTGGGAACACCCCCCTTTTCGCTCAATCATGTTGCCACAACCGGCCTTTGGACACTTCTTCGTCGTTCTCGCCACCGTAGCCTTCGTAGCTTTCGCTGCTTCCGCTTTGCGTTGAGTCTCTTGTCTTTTTTTGGAGAACGCAAATGCGTGAATTGCTGCTTGCTTCTTCTGCGCTTTGGTCCGTCGCTCGAGGTCGTCAATGGTCCGGAGATGGGAGCAGAGCTCAATCTCGCTTGGGCATATAAAGCAATGTCGTTTCTTGCACATGACACATTTCCACTCTGGTTTTGTTTCTGGAAGGACATGAGTTTGTGCCGGGTAGACGTACCGGGAGGGAAAACTTACTGCCTGGTCCATGAATCTGTCCCTTGCCACAAGTGCACCAGCGAAAGTTTTCGTGCTTAGAAAGAGCCTCGTTGGCGAGCTTCATACTATAGCTAGAACATTGTTAGCAGCTGAGCTCAGATAGAAGAGTGAAGGAACTCGAACATTCTGAAAACCTCCGGAGACACCAGAAGTCGAATGTCTCCCTTCGATATAGGATTTCGGCACTCTGAATCCGGGCAGACAAGGTCTTGTAAAGTGCCTCCACGAATGGCAGACTCAAATCCCGTCGTTAGACATCCATTGCATGCGTTTCTGTTGTGCTTGCAAGCCGCCGACGGTGGTTTGTAGGCGATAGCTATGTCCTCAGGATATGGTGCATCATCGGAACATACGACGCATTCGTACACCCGACATTGTTGAACGAACGAGAGAAATGTTCTAGCATTGGGATCAAAACCCAGCATCTTGGAGAGTGATAGCGTGCTACGTACCTCAACAGCTTGGCCGGGTCTTTCTCCAAGGTGAAGTTGGTTGAAGCTCTGGGGTTGAGTTTTCCTCTCACAATATCGATGTCAACCCTCAAGATTCGCCTACAGTCTTGAACTTGGCAAGTATGCTTCCCCTTTACAACATCAAATACAAAGGTCTGTTCGCACCTGGCGCATACCACCGGCTCATGTTCGGGGGTGTCGGAAGGCTGTAGCTGAGAATGTCCGGCTGAGCAGGTGGTCGCTTCCCGCCAAAATGCTGATCTCCAAATCCTGTCCCCGTTTCCCTCCGCTTGCTGACAGACAACGCACCTTTGAACACGCACAACGGATTCCTGAAAGAACAAATTGATCTTCCAGCAGACTTTCCAGTATTCGAAGTGGCGGTCATCCATTGTCGCAAATCCAGTGTTCGAGAGAGAACGGACCAGGAGGAGCCTCTAATGAAGGGCAGTTTACACTCGACAGGAGCCAGCCGAATCTGCCTCGATCGATTGAGACACATTTCTGGCTCTCATGCATGACACGTCACGAAAAATCAATTCTTGAATGTGCCCGGTGCCCACGCCTTTCATGCACATTGCAAGCCACAATCCTACAGCCTCGTTGTCAGGAATTGTTATCTCCAAGTCCTGACCTCCCTCAGACAGACACTTTATTCCTTCTGGTTTGTTTCCATCCCTTTCGCACCTAACAAATTGACCTGGCAACATGTCGGACTGGAAGGATGCTGCAATTGTGGCCCAGCGCGATATTCTCTTCGCCGAGGAGGTCAACGTCAACATTGACGCTGCAGACGGCGTCATATTCGAACTGAACAATTTCAAGACGACCGAGACGGTCCGGGGTCTAAAGATGGCGATTGCAGCTAAGTTAAACAATGCCGCCGAATGGGAGTCGCTCGCGGTTGCATATGTTGATGTAGAGATGACTGACTGTAAGTATTTGCCGGCGTGAATAGGATCGGTGCTAACATCCAGCAGTGAATGCGACCCTTGCGTCTTATGGAGTTCAAGATGTGAGTGTACTTCCGCTGTTCTGAGCGCTCACTCACAGATACTGCCAAACAGACCGACATCCTGTTCTTTGCCAGACTTGTGTCCCCCCAGGACCCAAAATCGGCTACCAATCCCCCAGCATACTCGGAGAAGATACTCAACAATGTACTATTCAACAGCCTTAAAGGTCAAACTTTGACTCTGCATCAAGTATCTCTATCCTCTACCGTAGCTGAATTGAAGCAAAGATTGGGCCGCGAGAAGTCCATCAACATGTCAGAACTGAGACTAATATGCTGCGGGAAGCAATGGGACGATAGTAAATTTCCCACCCAAAGACACGGGATTTGATGCTGACCTACGATAGACAGGACACTTCTTAGCTACGACCTCCAAGAGGTGAGTCTCTGTAGTTCACATTTTTGGGATTGGGGACTGAGAGTATCCAGAACAGTACAATTCAACTTGTTGCCAGGCTCCGTGGAGGTCAATGAGAAACTGCGGCTTGGCTGCGGGCAGGAATTTATGGATAGCAAACAGGTTACTCATTATGAATTTGATAAATTTACGGTCCATCTTCTCCACTGCCCAGACCTGCGTGATCATGGGGAAAGAGGATCTCGTTTCTGAGCCCGCAAGACTCACTGATTTTCCATCATAGAGAGAAAGGAGCATGACTCACTGGGTTTATCCCGGAGAACGCAGACAACTGATAGGCTTGCAACCCGCATGCTGTGTCACCCGAACATGTCCTATCAACCACGACGTCCAGTACAGAAGGGCAACATCAGGCTGTGTTAGCGCCGTGGCGTTTGCCAGCTAGCTCAAAGATAGTTCAGAGCCCCGACCAGGCAGACTTCAAGACCGCATCTGGTCTTGGAAGTGCCTTGGCAGCCTCACCGCCAGTAATGGTACGTGGTTCGTCATGTGTCAATACCCCGCTGGATGTGCAGTTCTTAGGCACCCATCTGCGAGACGAAGCTCTCACACACTCTTTCCTCTAATTCACCACACACGATTTTCTGTTCATTTTTGTCGTACTGATGGGTCTCTTTGGGGCCAGAAAAGTCAAATTACAGGAGCTCGAAAACGATCTGCACAATTCTCAGGCCGAAAATCGCGGACTTCAACAAGAGCCCGCCGAATACAAGCCGAAGCGTAAGAAGAACAGCATCTTCGGTAGTTTTATAAAGCCCACACACAGAACTAGCCCAGTGGGACCTGTTGCGGCAGAAACTCTGTTCAGCCAGCCATTACCCGTTCCGAATCGCTCGGAACCACACAATCTTGCCATCAGGAGCCTGCCGGCATCGAGTCCTTCAGACAGGCCGGATCTCACGCTTCAAATCACGAATCTCAGCAATGAACTCCGAAGGGCTCAGCTTGATATACGAGGGAAGCAGGCTAAGATTACCAAGCTCGAGCAAAAGATAAACGAAGAATACGAAAGGCCAACTCGGGAGGGGGCTTTCTGGGGACTGGGTCACTACCTACAAGAGCCACGGAACTCCTCGCCAGTGTTACAGCGAAGGCTAGTAGAGCCGCCACCTCAAGAATCGCAAGAACAATTCCAAAGCCTCCAGCGAGAGAACGACACGCTCAAGAGACAGTTGCAGGAGCAACATGGAGTCTTTGAGCGTGAGAAGTGGATGGAGGTTGAGAGGGCGAGGAAGGAAGCTGCGAATGGTGACAAGCAGCACCAGGAGGAACTCGAATGCATGCGTGCAGAATTTAACGATAGAACAAACAAATTGAAAGTTGAGATATCAAGCGTGCAAGCTAAAGCCGAGGTTGATCGCCGAGCTTACCGTCGCGAATCAGATGCACAACTTAGGGCAGTACACCAACAGAAGGATAGGTATATCGCTGATATAATGGAGAGGCACCAGACGGAGCTACAACAACAACGTCAAGCATCCGAAGCCACTGCCGCCCAACGCGAGGACCGTATAGCAGAGCTAGAGCGAGAGATCCAAGAGAAAACAGCCAGAATTGCAGACACCAGGCTCGTTCTAGATCGGACAAGAAACGCGGAAAGGCAACGAGCAATAAGAGCGGCAGAGGAACTTGCAGAACGAGATCGGAGATTTGAGTTCATACAACAGGAATGTGCGAGGATGGCTGCTGGGGGGAGGTAGTGAGATGGTCATGATCGGTTCTGAAGTTTGACATTGATATGGTGGGAAATGGCATCAAGTTGCTGCTGGATCGGGTGAACATCTGGGAAGATGCCCGTATGGGAGGTAGTGGCAGAGTCATCGCGAAAATGACAAACAAATTTTCAACACAAATTCAAAAACGATTTGCCAGACAAAATCGTGATCCCGATTGGCTTGTTGATAGGCTTCCACCTGAGCCATCTGTACCATTTTACGCCACGGCCCGGCGGCGCTCGAGAACATGTCATGTCTGAGAACACAGCCTCGATTTATATATTCCCTAGTCTTAGCTAAGTATACGAAGCTCTTTACTTAATTAGGAAATATAATCTGGCGCAATTTGTATAATTCTGATATAAGTAATGCTCGAGCCAGTAGCTGAACCATAGTATCGCTTAAGTTGAACCATATTATCAGTAGCGAGAATACCCTTGTATTTTCCATAATATGGTTCAACTTCCCTCACCAAAAACCACACTGTGTCTACTAGCTTTAATGATACATAGACACCAGTCCTCGTTCACACCCTCCATCCAACCCCGGCCTCCTTCCAACGGCCCGCCAGGCATACTCCTAGCATATGCTTAACCTTTACTACTAAGAAGCACATAAGTAAGTTAGAGTACATCTTGCTTTACTATTACTCAAGCATATACTCGGCATATGGAACCCACATACTTAGCATATGCTTTATCTTTATTACTAAGAAGCATATAACCAAGCTAGAATATATCCTGCTTTACTATTACTCAAGCATATGCTCGGTATATGGAACCCATATACCGAATATGTGCTTTTCCCTTATTACCAAGAAGTATATAAGTAAGTTAGAATATATCTTGCAACACTATTATTATCGCTCTAGCATATGCTCGGTATATAGAATCCATATACTAAGCATATACTTAACTTTTACTACTAAGAAATATATGAGTAAGTTAGAATATATTTTGCCTTACTATTGCCATTGCTCTAGTATATGCTTGGTATATGGAACCCATATACTAAGCATATGCTAGCCCTAACCCGTAGGGCCTTTACGCTTTAATATATCCCAATACGGGGGGCTCTCACGGCCCCCCAACCCCCCGGACTAACCCGGACCCTAACCCCTGACCCTAGCCCCTGACCCTAAGCCCCCTCGCAAGCTCGGGACTAACCCGAACCTTCCTAGCCCGCATAAGGAAAGCATATATAGAGTATATATAGAGCATATGCAGAGCATATGCCTAAAATAATTGTCACAAAACCTATTCATTTGCTCGGCTAGCTGTCTCGCTTCCTTAAGCGATACTATGGTTCAGCTAAATAAACGAGCATATGCAGAGTTTGATAATATGGTTCAACTTAAGCGATACTATGGTTCAACTAAAACCCCGTAATGCTCAAAATAAGAAACCAAATCCACGACACCTGACGTCTGCGTATGCTCCATCACGTGTGCCCATTACACATATCCTCTTTATTAATTATTTTATAGAGAATTAAAGTAGTAATGTGTGTTAAAAGTTAGTATTGCACGGGACAGGGCGTTGCATTTGAGCGGGAAGTCGAGTAAGTACGACACGTGCCTGGTTAAAAGTTCGAACTTCGAACTTCGCTTGGACGAGTAATCCTTACGGTTTTCCGTAACCTGAGCTTGGTTCTTCGGCTCACTCGGAAGTACAAGGGATTATTGCTTATACCTTAGGCATAAAGGTGCCCAACAAAAATGGGGGAAAAATGATGAGGTGGCTTCCTCATCTGTCTCGCATGACTGCAAACATCTCATCAACTGGAGAAGAAAGGCGCAGCAGTGCACTCTGCCCACTTCCCCAAGATCAAATGATCACGAACGCCCCCAAAACATGCTTGCGCATGCCGAGGTGTCATGGAATTGAAATCGAAGAGTGTTCGATACCACAGCTACAGGATTATCTAAGCAAAGCGGCCTTCACATCCAAGGAGCTGGTGCAGTGCTACCTACGTAGAATTGAGCTGGTCAACCCTTATGTGAAAGCCGTAATCGAGACGAATCCTGACGCACTGGATATTGCCGACAAGCTCGATAAAGAACGCAAAAATGGCCATATCAGAACACTCCTACACGGGATTCCGTTCATTGTCAAGGACAATATCGCAACCAAGGATAAGATGCAAACGACAGCGGGGTGTGCCGCGTTAGCAGGAACTATTGTCCCAGGCGATGCTCGCATTATTACTCTCTTACGAGAAGCTGGCGCCGTACTCCTCGGGAAAGCGAACTTGTCCGAATTCGCCTCTATGCGAGCGTCATATTATGCCGAAGGCTACTCCTCTCGAGGAGGACAGAACCGAAACCCTTACAATCTTGCCCACCACCCAGGAGGCTCTAGCTCTGGAAGTGCTAGCTCACTCGCCTCGAATATGTGTGCGTTTAGCATTGGTACTGAGACTGATGGAAGTATTATGTTCCCAGCAGATCGCAATGCCGTAATAGGCCTTAAACCGACAGTTGGACTGACGTCTACTATGGGAGTTATTCCAGAGTCTCCAAGCATGGACACTATTGGACCATTCGGCCGATCGGTAGAGGACGCTACAATAGTCCTAGATATTATTCATGAGAGACGTGCGACTATAGACACCCATATTGATCGCCTAGTCTCTATATCAGTACAAAATTCCTGCCCTGGACTTTACACATCTTGGCTAAGCAAGAAGGATGCTCTAAAAGGAGCGAGGTTTGGCATACCATGGAAAAGAGTGTGGGAAAGAGCGAGCAAAAATGCCACGAAGGGGCTAGAGTACGATTCTCTAATGGAGTTAATCGAGAAGATAGAGAAGGCTGGCGCATTGGTTATTAAGGTTAATTTCCCAAGTGCTGAAGAAATAGTCTCACCAGGCGGCTGGGACTGGGAGTTCGGAGATGGCAAGACGGGATCTAGGCTCTCGGAATTTCAAGTTGTGAGGACCGAATTCTACCGCAATCTGCGATCCTATCTCAGCGGACTCGAGGAAAACAAAATCCATTTGCTAGAAGATGTGGTTGCTTATAATGTCCAGCATACTGCTAAGGAGGGAGGAGTCCCGAGAACACATCCAGCATGGCCTACTGGTCAGGATAACTTCGACAAATGTCTCGAGTCAAAGGACTGGCCGGAGGACATGTATCTCAAAGCTCTTGAATACATAAGGCGAAAATCGAGAGACGAGGGTATTGATGCAGCGCTACGACTCGAGGGGGATAACCTAGATGGTTTACTCGTGCCTCTGCAAGCGGATGGAGGTGTTGCTTGTTCAGTCGCAGCCAAAGCTGGATACCCAATGATTACCGTTCCAGTCGGTATTAATAATATCGGAGTGCCGTTTGGAATCGGTATTATTCAAACCGCATTCAATGAGCATTTGCTGGTGAGGTATGGCTCTGCTATCGAAGACCTTGTTGGACGCCAAATGGTGCCCCGCTTTTTGAATCTTGAAGCAGATAACCACCCATATGTCGGTACACCGCCAGAAAAGGCGTTATTGCTGTAGTCTGTTTTAAACAAATTCAAACTCGTTTCAACTTGATACCTCTCAATCTCAGGCGAGGTCTCCAAGATGACTCCGCCTCTATCTCTGTCGAGGGAGATCTACAAAGGGATTGCCAGTCTCGGATTGCGAGGAAAAAATATCGTTAGCACCTATGGCAAGAAGCAAGGTAGAAACATTATCCATATTATGGCCAATTTTCCGGATTTGTCGAATAGACATATTTAGAGACTTGTTCAACTCTCCTTCCGATACTAACAATTCTCTTTTGATTAACTTCTCGGCATATGTACTGGGTCTCATATTATTATAAATAAAGACTCGTTTATAATATAAGGCTATTAGAAAAATAAGAAATATAAAGAAATATTAAGAAGTTTTAAAATATAACATAAATATTTATAATAAAGTAATTCCGGGCCTCTTAATCTAGTAAGGGAAATAACAAGCATATAAACAAATGTTTTAAGTATTATTTAAAAGGCCTTCTTCCGCCTTACATAGAATAAACGGAATAGCTTTCTAAGTAAACCCTCGAAGTTGAACTCTTAAAGTAACTAACTCGACAACAATGCCTTCACATCAACAGCAAGAACCTTCCCACCGGTGATCTGCGTCCCTTTTACAGCTCCAGCAATACCACCATTGGTAACCACATACAAAACATTCTCATCCCATTTGGTTCTCCCAAATGAAGCAGCAGTATCACCTTCCAAGATCGTCGAGTTCACATTCCCAGCCAGAACAGTCACCATTCCCTTTCGCGTCACCAACTCCAAGGCATCACTCGGGTCCTGCGTGATATACGCATTTCCCTCTTTGTCGAAGGCAAAATCATCACCGGGGCCGTTGTTTGCCACTACTACATAATCTCCAGTTGCAGAGCCGGCATCGGGTCCGTAAAGCTCCACTGGGACACGTGCGAAGAGACCCTGGAATGAGTTGGTGAAGTAGACAGACGAGTCAAAAACATGGATACCATTGATGCCAAGCACGATTGGGCCAGGAGGTGGCAGCATAAGCGGCGATTCAAGGATGATTTCGTATTCGGAAGTCAGATAATCGAGACGCCATACAACGCCTAATACCGAGTCCGCGATAAGGAGGTAGGGACTCCCTGGCGTAAGGAGCGTCATACCGTTAGCAAAACTCGCCTTCGTTAAGTCTGTAATTTTTGAAACAGCAGGGTCATTCTTCCTGCCACGGCGAAAATCAACTTTCCAGACGGACCACGAACCGGGTGTGGTGCTGAATGTTCCTATTGACCAATTTCCCGCAAGGACCGCAAATACGTCGGGTTGGATCTCGGCAATGCCTGTGAGCCCTGTTGCGTAGGGGAAGGTATAGAGAAGTTTGGCGGAGCCAGGAACGGGATTTAACGCTTGGAGTTGATATAGTTGAGGGGTGCTGAGGAGGTTCAAGAGGAGGTTGCCATTTGAGCTGACGGCGATGTTCTCAATCCAGGTTTCGTTGGGGAATTCGTAGATTGTGTGGATGGCGAGATTTGATGGAAGTGGGGATGGAACTGCCTTGACGATATTGAGGAGAAAAGAGGGGAGCAAGATAATTTGCCAAAAATGGACCATTTTGAGTGAATTGATCGTGGGGATCTCGTCGAGCTGTTGGAGATATGAAGTTGGGGCTGGGAGGGAGCATATATAGTCCCTCAAACTACTGCACAGCCCTCGACTGGAAGCATTTCTCGTCCTTGCATTGAAAGGCTCTCGATCGGACTTAGGCTTTGCTTTGTAAAGAATTGGATTGCTTTACTTCCCAACCTGGCAAACGGCAGGGGGGCGGGTGTGAATACCTCTCCAAGGAGGACAATCCACGTTGGTGAATAGGTTTGTCACCTTCAATTCCCGTTTCCAGGGTCATCCGGAAGTTTGTCAGAACGGTTCCTATTGGCGCAGGTGGCTTGAGATTATGAAGACATCGTGAAATACTAACCAGTAACCTTCGAGGAGGTTCTCTGCGGTGCACTTTGAGGGAGTTTACAAATCAGATATGCACTACAACTTAGGAGCAGCTAGGATATGATTGGGGCACTGTTGAAGAGACATTTGAGGATGAACGTCGATTAGTAATTCTTGGCATCCGAAATGTCGGCTTTTCCGAGCCGGCATCTGCTAAATGCGGGGGCTACGCAGGCTAAAACACAAGTGCTTACTCGCTAAAAACTAGTGTCTTCAGGGGTTAGCCGTGATTGAGTCAAGGTGCGAAATGCGCTGACGGACTCTGCATCTTATTTCAGCATCTGGAAACGATACCTTGAGCCTCACCATGAACAATTATTAAGGAAACTGCCAGTTGAAATATAATTGTCGATCTTAAGAGTCTCTGGGAAGCTGTTGGCAGCTTGGCTCGAAAGCGATCAAAGAATTGTCAAAGGAAAGATTGTACGTAAACCACAACGTGAAATACCCAGCTTGCCCTCATCAAAGCTCCTTTCAATTCCACATTCCTCTTATGTCCCCTTAGAATTCGTATGATTTTAATTGATTTATCTCAGATTTATTTCTCCGAACAGGCTCCATAGAGAGCCGAGAAATTTTCCAATGTCACACGGAGAGGAAGTAGATTGGCATTGGTGTCAGAGACGTTCGTCTCTATTATTGTCGGGTGTAATTATCTTGTTGTTGGAATGTCGGAAAAGCCAAATTGCTAAGCCTGAATAGGTGGAACCTTTGGCTGGGTGCTTGCCAGACGCCTTGCGGACTCAGACTCCACCCCGAAAATCTTTCTCCCTGAAGGAGGCGGAGACAACGAGGACTCTAATCTGCGTGCTCCAGCTTGCAGATGGTCACTATTCATGACAGAACCTTCGGTCGACTGGGGTTACAAGTCGACGCCGCAGCATCAACCAGGTGCCAAGTGCTTGACAGTCATCAAGGTCGAGGGCTGGGCGGCTCGAGCGTGATCAAGTTTAGCAATTGGCTTATGGGGGACAAAGATAATTACAACAAGTGGGCCGAGATTGTTGGGGATCCCGACTGAAAGTGGGAAGGAGATCACGGTATGAGGCAGACGCCGAGAAAAATTTAGCGGCAACACGTGAATTTGACAGAACAGCAACCTAAACGTTTGGACTGAAATTCATTGGAAATCCACTCAAAAGACGGGATGCTGGACTTGATGTTTGCTCAAGAACCGCCAGTAAGAACCTTGGCGTTTGAGGATGCAAAGGAATGGAATGTGAGCCCTGAGAGTCGTGCTGGATCTCTTTGGGCTGTGCTGATTTGCAAACCGATAAAATGGAATGGGGATATGAATACAGGAGATCCCGCGGTATGGGGACCGGTACCTTCCACTTTTATGAGGGGCCCCGTATCACATCTTCGTGAGCCTACCTAGCACCGACCAATCTCACCATTCTTATTGAGAGTGTCGTTACAAAGGCCCTGTTTGACAATTCAAAGAAAACCATTGGAGTTCAGATATCCTCGAGAATGACGTACTCAGCACCAAAGAAAGTGATCTTGTCTACAAGCGCTATCAAGTCCCCACAGATCCTCCTTCTTTCGGGCATTGGACCAGAAGCGGGGCACCTAAGATCTTAATTCCAGTTATTCACGACTTTTCCGGAGTAGAAAAAACCTGAAAGACCACTCAACCTCCACCACAACTCTCCTCAAGCCACGAGAGAAAGTCAGAAGTCGATACCTCGATCCCTCCGACCCGCTCTATAACGTCGGCGTAACAATGCCTAGCGCCTGGCTCTCCCCTCCTGCCATCCAAGTATCCAAGAAATTCTCTGACGACGAAACAAAACCTTATCTGCTCAAAGTCCCTTTGATCGAACAATCTCCCATTGACAGGAGCAGAAGTAATTACGTTCTTCGCGGGAGTCATGAATTCCCAGTCGGCCGGCTGCCCGACTCTCATCTGCCAACCTTCCGATCCTTCTGTCATTGACTGGAAATTCTGTTCTCATCCGTACGATAAGCCAGCAGCGATTGAAGGGTTGCGCTCCCTAATTGAATTTTCCAGCCTGCTTATGTTTGCAGCGATCACTGAACGCAGGATTGAAGGTCCTTCTGGCTCGTCTGATGAGGAAATTTGGGAGCATGGTAGGAGATTAATTGCTCTAATTCCAATCTTGCGGGAACTGGTAAGATGGGGAAGTAGAGTGATGAGTTGGCTGTGTGGATAACGAGTTCGAAGTGAAAGGAGTCAAAGGGTTGAAGGTTGTGGATCATGCGGTTGCGCCGTTGATGGCTAATAATAACACGCAGAGCACTTGCTACTTGATAGCAAGTCAAAAGCTCCAAACCTGGGCATCGAGACTAATCGATATTTCTAGGTAGAAACTGCTGCAGAGAAAGTCATTGCGGAATATAAGCTGTAACTTGAGTTGTGTAGAGCATGTCTATTTCTGAGAAGCTGAACAGAGGAAACAGAGTGGGTTGAGGATGTCGGAATAGTAGACAACCACTGCGCTGCTGGTCCTAGAGCTTATGCAACAAGCACACCCCTATATCTCAACTTGCCAGAATTCATCTTTGCCAATGCCTCAGCGAAACCTTCCTCAGTGAAGCTGAAAGTCTCGATCGTGGGCTTGATTCCATTGTGTGCGGCGAATTTCAACATGTCATCGTGAATACCACGAGACGCCACAAGTGAGGACTTGAAGTTGTAGACCTCGAAGAACATTGGGAAGCTCCTATATCTTCCTGTCAGTGCAAGTCGACAATTGGCGGAGCTGAGAATACTGACGGAAGTTCAATTGGGGCAGTAGGTGCAGAAAGACAGACGATATCAGCGCCACGAGCAAGGATATCCTTCTTCATGAGCCTATTCTGTGTTAGCAAACCCTCTTGATACAGTGACTCGAAAATACTCACCTCGCCCAATCTGGGTAGTGGTTACCAGTAACGATCAATACATTGATGGGCTTGGTTATCTTCTCGGGTTCACTCAAAAGGTGGAACTCCGAAGCACCGAATGCCCTGGCTTCAGCCTCCTTGTCTGCGGAAGTTGACAAGACAACAGTTTCATAGCCCATTTTGGCCGAGAACTGAATGGCAAGATGACCGAGCCCACCAATACCAATTATGCCGACGCGATCTCCTGGCTTGGCGGAGCTGATAATAGCCTGGTAGACAGTGCTGCCGGCGCACTGAAGTGGGGCAGCATACTCGGAAGGGAGGTTATCTGGGATCCTGTGGAGGTAGGACTCAACACCGATGTCTGGATTGTTAGCTTGTGATGAATAAGTGAGAGAAGTACAGTACAATAATCCCCGAAAGTTCCCGCGCTGAAGTCGCTTTCGCCGTAGACGTTTCGCTCATAGCAGTAGATATCTTGACCCCTCAAGCAGTAATCACAATGTCCACAGCTCTGCAGTTGAACGATCAGCGTTGCCCAAGAATCCCAGCATGAGCTTGCTTACGTCACGAAGGTATCCTGCTCCAGCTCGATCTCCAATTTTGAATTGGGTGACCTCGCTCCCAACTTTCTCAACAACACCGATACCCTCATGGCCGAGTGCGGCACTGTGTGGGATAAAGTGGACATCTGTTCCACAAAGACTGGAGTGCGTGATCTTGATGAGTACCTGCTTAGGTCCCAATTCGGATGGAATCTCGAGTGGGACCTTCTTCACAACACCCTCGATGCCTCGAAACACACTGCTCTGGATTGTCATGGTTGGGTTCTTGAAGTTGGTGCTGGGTGCAAGATGGGTTCGAAAAAAAATGGAATTTAGAATCTAGCTGTGAAGTTTGCAAAGAGGAGATTGCAGTTGTATTGTTATCCAAGGAATAGATCTGGAAATCTCCAAAGAACAGTTGGGCTACTTATACGTGGGGATAACATCAAGCCGCCCCGCCGGTCTGGCTTGACCAGGTGTCCAGTGTGCATGGTTCGGACATGACAAAGCTTGCGGAATCAAATACCGACAAGAAAGGTTTTAGAGATAGCTGAAGCCATGATTGTTGTGATTGTCACTCAACGCAGGGCTTGGCACGTGGTCCGCGGCTGGCGCCTGATTACTGAACGATTGTGGTGTCCTACGGGCGTACCGTAGACGGGTGGCTCGAACCGCACAGCACCGCCCGTAATTGGGAACTTGAATCCTCACGATACCATCGAATGACGGATCGTATAGCACTTGCTAGCGTAGTAATTGATAACGGGACTGCGGGGTCAGATTGGATTACTGAACACCTTCAAGGCAGACACTCTGAGGCGTAAGCTTAAGAGGCCGCAAACCCCTTCGGACTTAAACTTCTGAACCAATATCAATTACAAAGCCATCGTGGTTCGTGCAAGCAAGTGCGGCCGATCTATGATACAACCTGGAATGCTTTCAAAGGAATTCAACGGTTTTGTGGTTTACTAAACCAAACAAATGATTCACGAATCGCGAGCAAAGGATTTGATGCCTTGACAATGAATATGGTTGAATCTTACGACTCACCATCCGTGCTACCTTCTTCGTCGGTTTCATCATCCTCGTCATCGTCCTCCCATTCATCACTATATTCCTCGTCGCTGAATTCCTCATTTGACGCCAACTGTTTCAGGATTTTTAACTTTTTGAGAGCATCACCCTCTTTCCCAGAGTCGCCGTCCCGCTCGGGGTTCCAGTTGCTACCATCGAGCTCCCGAAATTGATGTCTTATACGGGCTCTTCGAGCATTTCTCCGGCAGATATCCTCACCACTCCCAATCTCCCGAATAGCAGCTGAAATGATGCGCTCCGCGCCCATCTCTCCCCGAGCCATCTTCTTCTTGAGCTCCTCCAAATATGCCACCTTGGCATCGAGCCATTTATCGGTCAAACGCCTCGCCAGCGATTCTTCCCCATAGAATGCCGTAAACAAATCCCGCCAATTGCAGCTCAATTCACACATGTTCTTGTCGAAGGAAAGGCTTGGAATTGGTCCATCAAGGACATCTCGCCGTATCTGAATTGAGTGTTTGGGATCCCCAATGTCCATGTTCTCGATGTATGTCTGCATTCGCTCTTTGGTTGGTGCGATCAATTCTTCCAGCCCATCATTATCTTCAAGTCGAAACGTAGCAGTGTGCCCGTCCTCTGATAGCTCTACAAACTCAAAGTTGGCAGAGAGCGTGGGGTCCGGTAATGGTCGACCACTCCGACCCTCAGTAAAATTTCCTGGTGCAGTTGTAAGCATTAACAGCAGCAGCAGATGGGCTTTCTTACCTAGATCAAACTCAAACCTCGTCTTCGGCAGATGCCTATCGCGAAAGATCGACTCGGTTGCATCTTTGAAGGTTGTGCAGACATGTCGGCCAGTCGTCCACAAGTCTGCGATACTCTCATCATCATCCAGGTTCTGGAGGACTCTTATCCAAAGCTCGTTTGGTAGGGCGGTTTGATGTTCTGCCATGTTTTTTTTATCGAGGGCTGCAGTGCAAGTTATGAGTTTTGGTTGTCTGTCTTCGATTGTTGGAAAGATGTTGGTGGTGGGAAAAAAGACGCGTTCGAGCAAGTCGACGCGTCAGGGGTCGAGCGGGGCTTCATTTTTTCGCCCCCAATTTAAACAATCTCGCCATACTTTGGCTCTAACGCTCCTTATACAGATCATGCAGATGGTCCCTGGAATTTTGATGTATTGTACATCATAACACAAGACCCAAGCACACGCAGAGTCTAGTCAAGGGCTAGTCAAGAGCCTCCTCGTCCTCCATTTCAATTTCCCCAACCTCCTCATCTTCGTCTTCCCATGCATCTTCTTATCGAAACCAGCGTGAAATTCCGTATCCTTCAGTGTCTTGAGAATTGACTTCTCGTCAGCTAACACTCCCTCATCCTCGAAATCAGGCTCCTCCCAGCCTTTCTCCTTATACTGTCGGCGAATGCGAGCCCTCTGAGCGGCCCTCTTCGCGTCCTCAAATCCATCGGCGAAAGAATGTATTGCCTTGTCCAAGACCGCGATCATGTTGATCTCTCCCCATGCCATTTGCTGTCGCATATCTGCAGCCCAAGCCTCCTCCTTGACCCACGTACTCAGGTGGCCATGGAACACTTTTTCCTCCCCAAAGAAGCATGTGTAAAGCGTCCGCCAATCACAAGTCAGTTCCCAGTTTTCGTAATCGATGGACAGTCCTGGGATAGGAGTATCTTTGACTATATGGCGGATTTGGACAATATGGGATAAAGCAACCATTGGAGGGCAGTCCACTGCACTCTGCAGACAGCAGCGCCGGAACTCGTGATATTGCTCCCGTCCCGGATCCACCTAGAGAGTAGTTCTAGCGAGGTTCGTGTCTTCAGCCAAACGATCGAAGTCAAATGCGACATCCAAAATAACTCTCTCATCGTCGTCGTTGTACATTTAACCTTGACAGCATCAATAAATGAGTATCATGGGCCGAAGCCACCTTTACCCAACATGAATACGATCCAACTCTTTGAAATATGTCTCTCGCGGAATATGGATTCAACAGGGTCCCTGAACGTGGTAGAGACCTGTCGGCACAACATCCATGCGTCAGCAAGGTCGTTCCCCTTCTTCAGGTTTTCCAGGATCCGTATCTATATCTCATTTGGTAGCGAAAGGGTTCGCCGGGTAGCCATACTATTCGATTGGCCCCATGAATTGGTGTTGCAAAGTTTGCGAGGAGGGTTGAAGAAGAGGAGTAGACTGTGGGGTGTGGAGAAAAGAGGGCGCATGCGCCTCAATACGTACCTCACGTGGTCCGATCCACTTTTCGACCTCAACCAAGAACCTCACCTCTTTTGGAGCACTCGAAAAGGCACATATCCTGTCTTCTGTTTCTTGGATAGAACAGATCAGCTTCCGCCCGATAGATATCGTGTTGTCGGATCAAAAGAACCCGTCACTACGCCCGAGCATCCACCAATTCCGCGAGATCGTTCCTCGAGTCCTCGACGAGAACTTTGCTGCTATGAGCTTGCAGCAGGGGAGGCAGAGCAGACAACTGTGACCCGTGCTTTTCAAACCAAGGACTATCGATACTCCGAACAATACACCATCGCTCAGTATTCGAACCGAGGTCACTGCCTTGGTCAGACTCTCGCAGACATCCCATTGCTGCGATTGGAGAGGACCACCAACGGCGAATCATACGATCTTGGTGTCGATGGGATGAAAGTGAAGACTCGCATATCACGGCCGAGCCCCTCAATAATGTCAACGTTCCATCCACATCGATCCTAGCTTCCGGCGGATATGATCATGAAACACTTCCTCATCACCAGCTGCCCAACGCGGTATGCAGTCATGTTGGGGGCTTCCGTGTGTCGATCTTCTGAGCAACTAATTAATTGCAATGACGATCCGTCCTACCTGGCTTCCGGACTCTTTCGGCTGCTTTCTCGGTGCCAGAGAGAAGACGATCATCGAGACCGGCCCGAAATCCCCCAGCTTGAGCTCGTCTCTGCCGCTCTCCAGCAAGGCGCCGCTCCCAATATCCGTGCATCTCCTAGAAAAATATATGCAGATGAGAGTGGTACTGCTCGCCGGAACGCAGGAGCTAGACGTGTCTTCGATACTGTCATTGTTGGCAACTGTCATCGGCGCGGCGAGGAGACCGGTGGCTTGGCCTTGGATGCTTGACTTGTCCCGATCACCCTGGACCAGAAGATGAAATTCATGAAGTTTATATCCCGGCCGGGAAACAACTTGACCATATTCCATATCAGGGAAGAGGAGATTTCTATCTGGAGCAGGCCCTTCCAGCTGCCGCCGAGTAGCGTCGGTGGCTGTGATATTGTTCACCATTCCCTGATAGTTTGGCCAGACCCTATTCGGCAACTTGCCTTGCGTTCATCAAAAAGGTTCTGTACAAAGTCACATGCCACGAAGTACGCTACTCTTTTTTGATTACATGATTACATGGTCATGTACAAAGCGTATGATTAGCGCCCCCCAGTCTTCTCTGCCTCCAGACGCAGCGTGTACTTGTGGCGCGAGTTGAAATGCAGCTTGCCAACTGAAGCAGTGCGGTAACGCTGTGGTTACTAGAGTTACTCGATTTATTTGAAAGGATCGTCGTCCCGGGAGCAGGAGAGACGTTTGTCGATGTCTCTCTCGAATAGTCTGGTTAAATCCTTGCCTCTGCGCATTTCTACTCCAGACGGGAAGTTGTAAACGATATTTGTAATGAGGCATTTGGACTGCTAATTCTGAACGCCGGACCAAAGTTCTCCACTAACTCCGATGACGTGCTCAATACCTCCGTCGACAAGCCTCTTGTGAGACTGAGTTGCTCACATTTCGCAACGAGCGCAATGTCTGAGGGTAGCGTTCTCGACCTTGAGCTGTTCCACCTGATGTCTTAATGTCGCGACCATTGAATGCAGTTCTCCCAGATGAATCCTGAGTTCGTTTGCTGTCCTCTCAGCCTCCAATGCCCTCGTTTCAAATTTGTGGCGTTCTTCAACCCGTCTTTGGCGGTATATTCGTTGGGAATTTCTGTTCTGTATGCGGCGGCGCTGTAATCATGTTAGCCGAATAGCTTGAATGGTCTAGAATACTACCAACCTGTATGCGATTCATAGTAATGTCTCGGCTAGATTGCACAGGAAATCGTGGCCGGCCCATGTTTCTTGACCTTCCACTATCATCTGCCTCCACGTCGTTATTGTTTCCTGGGGTTGCATATCCTTGACTATGAGAAGCTATGAATCGATTCATTCATCCGACCATACTTCCTTATCAAATTGTCATTCGGGAGCCCAAATAAGTGGGTAGTCATGGTTTCTTGCATGAGGGGTGCGTTCCTGTCGTTACATAAGCCCAACACGCTTCGTGGTTGGTAGTCGGAAAGCGAAATCGAGGATTACTATTCATCGCCAAGTTAGGAAATCGACTGGGGTGCACTCACCCAAAGTATCAATTCTCAGCCATCCCTCACAAAACGATCCTTGGCCCTGCGTTGTCAGCCAATACGGGTATGTCAGCGCCCCTTAACAGGATGACGCTTTCTGATAGGCTGATCGTAAGAGAGCTGCCTCAATTGGGCCACTACTGCTGCTTTTTTTTTTGTCAGCGGGGTGATTGACCGAGATACTCCCACTGCCATACTCCAAAGACGACAACACTCCCGACAGCCAGTCTGGCTATCCGCAATCAGCTTTCCGGTCTTCAAATGAAGTACTTCGTACCACACGTCGAATGCCGTTATCCTCGAATAAACTGAGAGCCAACTGCGGCTTCTGCAACAACATGTCCGGAATAGGGCCGCCAGATGACTCTGCGGATCCGAAAAAACCGGAAGCACGACGAAGCTTCAAGATGTTTGAGCCCGCTAGTGGCAGTACGTCTCTGTTACCCCCTGAGCTGTTCTCGGCTAACACTCAGTCATAGAATTTACTGAGTAAGTACACTTGAGCAGGTTGCTACCGTGCATTTCTCATGGCTTTTGCACATGCGTAGGCCTGGGCCGCCCAAAGCTCTGAAAGGCCCTGCGGACTTCGAATTCATACACACTGCCCGGCCTGAGGAGTTGGCCTCGACGAGCGTCCGAAAGGCTGTTCGGACTCACGCGATGCGTCAGTTTCACAAGAACAGTCGAGAGCGGGCGGCCGGGACAGATAGACATAAAAATCAATCTGATAACACCATTCTGCCCGGAGCTCCTACCAATGAATGTAACGAGGTTTCTATTACGCCTACACCACCGTCGTGTATAGGGGTCACTATTACACAGATCGAGCCTTTCCGATTCCCGATTCGAGTCCCCCACGAAGACCCCCCTCGCATCGAAGGAAACCCCGCACCGGCAGATACAAGAATTGGCGGGAAGGGGGTGACATTTCTCAGCGCTGCAAGCCACAACGAAGATACGTGTGCTCGCAGCCGACTGGCCCCGCGACTACCTCCAAGTTTGGTTCGACCGGGACCAACGCCCCCTCTCCCAGGTGCATCACAAATGGAAGCCTCCTCGCTAAAACTCCTACGATTCTGTAAGTATTTTCCCTGAGCGAAAGACCAGCTTCAGCGTCCGCTGGTTCCGATAACTATGCTTACTTCCCAAAGTCCTCGAGGTCGTGGCCAGAGACTCGATTCCTATGAGTCCTCACGCGGAACACGAATATTTTAAAGAGGTTACTACCGGAAGACCCGCTTTTCGCCATGGAACTCTACTATTAGCTTCTGCGTATCAGGCTCTGTTGAGGGGTGTCCCTGTGCCCTCGAAATGTCATTACCACAGTATACTGACGATCCGCTACGTCAACTCCAGCCTTGAAAGCCTTGAAGGACAGATCGCGGATGGAACTTTGGCCGCCATTGCTTATTTGGCTGCCTTTGAGGTAACATTTCCTGTCATAAAAGTACTGTTTCCGTCCCCTTCGATTGGTTGACCCTCGATAGAATGCCATCAATCCTGCCACGAATACCTCTGTGCATATCTCTGGAATGGAGGCATTGATAAAACTCCGCAGCGCTCATCAATGCGCCTCTGCTGAGTACCTTCCCAAGCTGGTAGAGTGGTAGTTCCAAACCTTCTGTCGATTTTAGGGCTTACAAATCTCCACCCCCGCCTGTCGTGGTGATGAATATACCAACTGGCTTTTCTCTGCAGGGCCGATCTCGTCGATGCCACGTCCAATCTCACCAAACCACGCTTTTCCCCACATCAACCGCGAACGAAAAATTTTAACATCGCCGATGAAGAAGAGTTTCAAGCCAGGCTTGGCGCACAATGGGACCTTGACTTTCCTCCAGATCCAGTGATAATGCTGGACGGAATGGATATTACTACAGCGAAACTGTTCCACCGAGTTCGTCAACTGTCAGCCCTTGCGACTAGCATCGCTGGGTCCAAGGTTGATCAAGAAGTCCAAATACGGTACACTCGAGCTATCCAGCTCCTTGAGCGCCAAGTTAACGCCTCGATTTGGTCCCTGAACTTGAATAACATCCGCCAACACGGTTCTGCAACTCAGCCCAAGCAACCAATAGCGGTCAGAACATGCACCCGGACTTGGCATTGTACGACTCTAATATTCATATACATGGTGCTCCGGAAGACCCCTCCAAGTTCACAGACCGTGGAGAAGTTAGTAAGGAGGGCCAAATTCTCCTTGCAGATCCTGACACCCGATGAACTATGGGTTCACTTCCCGCCCCTGTTTTTGCTTTGGGTTCTCGTAATGGCAGGTATAGCTTCTTCGAGACATACAGACCGACTGTGGTTGCTGCAAACCCTCAAGCGGCTCCGGCATAAGCTAGCTTTGGACTCCTGGGAGGCTGCAAAGGCCATTCTGATCCAATTCGCTTGGGTTGACCATCTTTGTGCGAGACCAGCTATTCTCGTTTGGAAAGAATTGGATACCGTTGAGCTGTAGGCTTGGAGCCCAAGCGGCGCTTCCCCCCTTTTCTCGTTCGCGTGCCAAGTGACCGATAGGTGCTGAGTTTGTGTCGAAAGTTTCAAGTAGAGGGCCTTTGATGTCTTTATATCAAGTACACAATTATTCCACCAACAGTTTCCATAGAATCAGCTTCCACTAGGGACCTCGTTTACGCCCCTGTTTCTCATTCACCAGGTTGGCTAGGATTGACTGCTTCCCGGCATATACCTCAGTCCCCGATGTATCCCGATTCGCTCAACTGCAACCTGATTTATCTCCAAGATACCCAAAATTGTTATCCAGACACTTTTTGATATCTATTCCCCGCATACACCCTACGATACCAACTACCGATATTAATTACCCCAGGTCATACCCGTGCTCCCTTATGCGAGGGCGTGCAGGCCCCACAATGATTATCCGAAAGAGAAGTTAGCTTGAATGTTAACAACATGATAGAAGAAGAAATCTGAGAGGAAGGTGTTTTTGAGGAACTTTCTGCGCTTGGCTGTGCTGTTCTCATTAGCTGCAGTCAGTGATGCAGCACTCAACAAAACCGGCTCAGCATGTGTTGCTACACCTCTAGGTGGGACTAGCGACGACACCCCTCAGATTATGGACGCGTTCAAGCAGTGTGGAAAGGGTGGCAGTGTCGCAATCTCAGAAGGCACATACAATATTGGGCAGGTCATGAACAAGTTGGATTTCCAGAATTGTGATAATCACATCAACGGCAAACTGGTCTGGAGCGCGGATTATTGGCTTTCCCACAGCATATCGGTCATATATGTAGGTCGTTCTACTGCACGGCGGATCGGAGGCAAAAATGTGGCCATTAGGGGGCACGGGAAGGCACTCTTAGATGGCAATGGTCAGAAGTGGAGCGACGAAAATAAGAATGCTGGCAATCAGAACGGCCGTCCAATTTACCTGAATCTCCGGCAAGCGACGAACTTCCTCGTTGATGGTATCACATGGAAACAAACTTAATTTTTGTAAGCATGGCTTACTATTCGCTCTCAAATAGAATATCATAAAACTTACACCAAGAATAGGCACACTTTCGTTGCGCATTCCCAGAATGTCGCCATGGCAAACCTCGATATGAATACCGCGTCGAGCTCGCAGTATAAAACGGTGAATACGGATGGCACAGATACCTGGAATTCTAAGGACATTGTGATTTAGAATTGGGCCTTGACTTGTGGAGATGTATGCAGTCCCACCCTGCAAGAAACTCATTCGCGGAGATGGGTTTGCTAACGCGACTAGGAATCTAGGACTGCATTTCAGTCAAAGGAAACAGTACGAATGTTTATGTCTCCAACATTACGTGTTACTCATCGGGAGGAATGTGCATTGGCAGTATGGGGCAGGACGCTTCCAAGCCAGATTACATCGACAACAGCAGCAACGTAGCATGGATCAAGACCTATCCCGGCAACGGCCACGTCAAGAATGTGATGTTCCGGAATATCGAGTTTACTAATGTCAACCAGCCGATCTACATCACAACTTGTATCTACAACCAGACAAATTGCTATTCAACTCGAAACTTTTGCCTCTTTGAGCAACACTAATTCAAGTCCTGAATTTTAGAGAGTACCATAGGGTTGAAATATACTGGCACGTGTCCAACGAACTTCCCTCAGCAACTGGTATCGCACAATATATTTCTTTCATGGGCGTCTGGGGAGGCCCCACCTCCGACCGTTCCCCTGGCACGCATCTGCTAACTTCTGGACTTTAGACAGGCAACCAATAATAAGTCCAATGATAAGTTGAGGGTGTTTACATGGCAGGAAGTGATAAGAGTGTACACTGGACATAGAAACCACTGTTTATCGATACTAAAATTTGAACTTCCGCATGTTTCAAAGACTGGACGACGAACTCAATCCTCGGAATCTAGTCATTTCACTTTATACCCGTCGCCACACCACGTGACATAATCACAACTCATTTTCACAGATTCCTGAACATCCCCATTCCGTTGAGCATATCGAACCTGACCTATCTTTTCGTTTGGGGAAACCCTGCAGCCAACCTACGAAACCCGTTTGGAAGCAGGCACAACTCCATCTGCGTCGTCGCCATCCTCTTCCACCGTCCTGAGAAAATTCACAAATCGGCTGAGACTCTCGCTGTTCCACACTCCTTCCTGCATCTCAGGAGATTTTAAGAGCAGACTTATTGCTCGTTCACAGATTGCTTTTTGTCGACACCACAGCCCCACTTGACATAACCCCGGTAAAATACCGATATTGAAATGGAACCTTGAGCCTCGGTCTCGGGCAACGAGTGCGGGATGTATGGATTCGGCGAATGTCGTTATGGTGTTAAATTCAGGAGTGAAATCATCGTATTACATTTCATTCTGGGAGAAAGCTGTTCCTAGCGCTACTTGTGTCATTGCCACCTGTATTCTCAGCATGGATGCAACAATGTACTCGTCAGTGTCTTTTCTTGAACTAAGAGCCTCTTCAATATGTCCCTTTGAAGCCCGCTCCCACCGATAAACATTTTCTAAGCATGCATCTCGTTCTCTTTGTAGACTGACCGGAGTCTCCTGCGAAGCATCGACAAACGCACTCCAAACATTGTTACCAGGGTCGAAACTTAGAGGATGAGTCTGACTTGTTGACTCTGGAGGCGCGGTCGAGTTTTGTTGAGTAATCTCTGAACGGGCAGCGGCGATGAAGTGGTAGCAATGCCTCATGAAGAGCTGCCAGTACAAATGGCAATCTCTCAAACTCTCCAGTATCAACGTATTGGAAAGTGATCGATTTATTGATGGAAAATCGATATATTGGAGGTTGACAATCTGTAGAATGACTAGATACAGGAGAGTGAAGAGTAAAAAAGGAGAGGAGGGAATCTAAAGTACAGTTCTTATATACCCACTAGTGGGTGGCGATTTCCTCCAGTATATTATAAATCAGATGACTCATATATATTAGTGAGCGTTCCCTGAGCTTCCATAGTGAGCTATTCCATAGGCTTCCATAGTAAACCATTATAAATGAGAGTGGCGAAGCTAATATTAGTAGTTGAACCTGGTACTGGAAGGACTAGTAAGCTAGTACCAATTCAACACAACGGCCTCCACTCGATCACGTCTGCAGCCCCTTTCAACAGTTCGCAATGTATAGGGCCGGCGCGAGTATCCAGGAAGAGAAGAGCTTGTAGGTCGAGGCTTGAGAGCCCATGGCCTTAATACCATTTGAGTTAGCAAATGCTTGCTTGACGAATATTGTCTGGGTGTCGCATGGAAATTTGTTTCGTGGAATATGCCACCGTCACGAAAAGGGCATGGTGTTCTCTCGATACTTACAAATATCTTCTTCAATCTTCTTGAGGTGGGCTAACTTTCCTTTGTTTTCAAGACACCATCGTTGCAAGAGAGCTACACCGACCGCGGCTTGAATTGATGCTGAACTCTGATACCCCTGCAAAGACTCCAAGCATAACACAAGCAGACAGGCCATCAAAGATCTCCTGGGATCTGAAACACCGACAGTCAAAGTGTTCCTGATTTTCTTTAATGCTTTGCCATATTGAAGCAAGGCAAATTGGTGATGGGGGTTGGATTTCCCCATTCCTTTCGCAGCATCCATGCGTGACTTGTTGAGCGCTGCCACCGCAACGACGGCATGTTTGATGATAGGTTCGGTTTCCACGGCCTGTGGGATTGTTCGCTCCCATAGAGTTGTTTCGAGAGGGCCTGAGAGCTGCGCCGCCACATTTTCACAGTAGAACCGAAAGTATCGGGCCTCATCCTGACCAGAGAAGTCCGGACCAGTATAGGGCTGAATGCGCAGGGAGCTGGTCTGAACGATGCCTTTGGGAACCAACGGCCTAGGCCCGGTATGTATCTCTGTTTTGACAGCAGTCTTTGTATATCCGTCGCACTGTACGCCGAGCCTCGCACATCTTTTGCACACCGGTTTTCTCTCGTCACACTTTACTCGACGAGTTCTGCACCAGTCAGTCTGTCATCTGAGCCCCAAGTTCAATAACATACTTGCATGTCAGACATCCAGACTTCACCTTTGCGCCCCCCTTGCGTTTCTTCTTGCCATCTTTTGCGGTCTCGCTGGTCGAGTCGTTATTTCTTTCTTTCCCTTGGCCATCACTCAACCCATTCGCCTCTGTCGCCATCCTTCAACGTCCGGGATTTTGTCTACGTAGCTCGATCATCCAGACTTTGAATGTACCTATCAGAAGGAAGAGCTTTGCGGTTGAAGATGACGTGTATTTGTGCATGAAGCGCACCGCATCTTATAATTGAGGCTGTTAAGCGAGCTTGCTCTTGGCCCCAGTTCTCTCTCTCGACCTCCCATTTCTCATCTTGGTTAGGGCCATCCGTTGATGACAAAGCTGAAGCCAGCTCTCCACAAACTCGTAGGATTGTGTCCAAGCAGTTCGAGCCGCGCGCGAATAAACCACTCAGCTCGCGGGGGTGCCTTAAAAGGGAAGCAACTTGCTTACTCCTAGTAGCTGCCGCGCGGAGCTAAGGTCCAAATCAGCGGTACAGTACATGGAATAAAATCATAGCGGGTTCTTTTCCCACAAACCAATTTCGAACAAAGAATTGTCACCCAAAGGCAAGCGATTCCCAGGCAAGTAGAGTCGATTTTGGTCTCAAGAAGTTTGGTTAGCACATGATTTTGTGGTGAAATTTAGGTAGGCACCGAGGTTTATCCGGGAAATCAGGGGTAAGCGTAATAAGCGAGCAGGAACTTGAGCAAATTGCAATTGTGAGCAAACATGTAACAATTTGACACATTTGATACCTCTCTTTTCTATGTGAAACTAGTATCACCAAAAGAGATGAGGTTTTTTGGTAATTGGTAGGATGGGGAGATCTTTTCAATGGTGTACATGATGAACTCATAACCCATCACTTGACAAGAGCATGGCCTTGGAAATCAAAATCAATGTCCGTAATACGACAAGAACAGAAGATGTTTATTATAGTACAACGACGCCAAAAAGGAATGGGCTGACAATAGGAGTCGAGGAACAGTGTACGAGGGACGAGGATCCAGAATGAGGTGAGGCTTCCCCAGGAAGTCTCGTTCCAGCTGATACCCAAAACGGTAGTCGAAGCTCTCCGAAAATTGCTCAGAACGTAAACGAAAAATATAAGTTCTTGGATGACGGCAGCGAGAAAGTGGTGTTATGTCCTCTATCACGTGGTGTTCCCTGCCTTTGCAGAACAGCCGTGCCGCCTTTCGTTTGCGGTTGCTCTTTGACCTCTTCCTCACCGTTGCCCCGTTCTGATAGGATATGGAAACCGTGGGTATCATATATCTACCTGAGCCTCATAGCTGGGCAACCGTTGGCAGATTCTGGTCACAGCTGACAGCGGCCGTTAATCCTAAAGGATGTTTCATTACTTCACGATTTTCTTCCGAGGCTGAGTCTGCAAACTGGGCTCCGCCTCCGACCCACTCACCTCGAACTTTGCGTCAACAGAACTGTGCAACTTCTTTTCAGAACTTGGTCTACAAACCGCCTAATAACCACCAGGCCCATCGAGTTGACTTGACCCCGCACTGTTTTGTGCCCGGCGAACCATGTGATCCGGCCTTCATATCGCTGCAGCACGTGGGGTGTTCATCAGCGTTGTCCGCCCTGCTTTGGCACGAACCTTCCACCAGGTCCTCAAAGATTTCACCGTGCGTACAGTACCTTGAAATCTGCAGTCAGACCAATGAGGTGCAACTAATAACAGTTTGGAGCCAGGTTTAACGGTGGAGCAAGATCAAGAAGATCCTCCTGTCTGATTCGACCCGTCAATCAATTGTTTTGACCTCTGAGGACCCCATTCCCTTGCGTACGTGCGTGTAGGAGCATGTAGCTGCTGCACGATTTTTCTACAACAGCATCTCTGCGTATGAATTTCATTGTTCCTCAAGTTTCAAGCTCGAAGGGTCTGCTGACGTGGCTTTCTTTTTCTGTTTAAAGCTACAGTAATTTGATCATTATGGAGTTCAGTGTGAACCCGACCAACAGAGTTGTCTTGCCTCTGCAGAGACGAAGCCGGTTCCAGGTATATTAGCTGGAAACCTTGTCCCAGAGCTGATTGTACTTTTTTTTTTCTTTGCGAGAGTCTTGTTGAAATGAAGCTTGAATTGTTGTGTTTTCTAGGAAAGCTCCAGCTTCCTTAAAACTCTGGAAATTACATCCCCACTTAAAAGTGGACCACAGAGCGCACGGCCCCTGATTTTCGACAAGTCTATTCTTGAGTATGGCTTCTCAGAAACTGGGGAGCGGACGACACCTTACTGGCGATTTCGTGGGCCAGTGCTTCTTCATCTTGTCTTCATTTCTGCCTGTGTCAGCTTGGCTCGTTGCTTTTCTGCGTGTCTTCCTGTCTCTTAACAAAATAGGGCTCTGGACAACACATCTGGGACATCTTACAGATCCCTCGCGGATACATTATTCCCACTCTTCAGATTAGATTTAAATCCTTGCTCGTCTATCACATCACCCTCGCTCTCACCCAACTGAACATCTGTCTTTTCTACCTACGGAATTTCGACGATAAAACAACCAAATATATAGTATACACAACCATAGGATTCACTTCAGTTCCCACTGTGATCGTTTCGGGTTTCTAATGCAAGCCGTTGAAGGATATTGGAATGTGACGGAAGTGTCTAACTGTGTCAACCCATCCCCGGCCTTCTATGTAAACGGCATAGGGAATATTTTGGCAGATGCTTGGCTTGTCATCATGGCCGTACCTCGAATATGGGGTTGAAAATTGCATGGAAACGGAAAATAGTGTTGTTTGTGATCATAACTTTATGTTGGTTGGTAATCACTGCAGCGATTGTGCGAATGGTTCCAGTGTGCCAAATGAGTAGAGTAGAGTAGAGTAGTGGGTCCTACTCATGCTCTACTCAGCCAAAATATGTCCTACTTATACTCTACTCAATACTCATTGAGTATATACTTAAGTAACTTAAGTAATAAGTCACGTGTAACCACGTATTCTTGTAAGGGGCACCCGCGACTTAATTATTAGTTTTAAACTTACTTTAGAAGGCTATATTATATCTAAGAGTAAGTAAAAATCAAAATGAGCCCTATATGTGACGGCAGGAACGAAGCAATGGAACGAGGCTCAAAGATCTACGATTCCAGTGTCTTTTAGAATCTAAAGCTAAGGAGAGAAGGAGAGAGTGAGGTGTGGCAGTGGATAAGTAAGATACGACTGAAACCACTGAAACCCCGGCTTGGAGCTTAGCCTAGAATCTTAGCTGAAACCAACCTATTGCACCCATATAACACCAGCCGTTACACTATATATTCTTCTTCTATTTGATTTATTATTTAGAAGTTATATATATTAAATAACACGTGATTATTATATTAATTTTTACTGGTATAATAAGTAGTATTAAAGGAATTTTATATAATAAAAAAGATAATAAGGAAAGGAGTTAAATATTATTTATAATATAAAGAGAGATATTTAATATAATAAATACGTAATGAGTAGTTAACTCTACTCTGCTTAAGCTTAGTTATAGAGGAGCTACTTATACTTTACTCAATGCTCAATAAGTATATACTTAAGTAACTTAAGTAGTTTGAGTATTCCTTTGACACACCGGACGGTTCAACTGAGCTATCTCTTTAATGTAAAGGTCACCGACACTCCCTGTAAGCAATGTGCGAAAAAAATTAATTATATTCATCTGCCCTAGCACAAAATTTCTTATTCGATATTGCACCTAGTTGAAAGTTTCATAGACCTCTTGCCAGCAGAACTTTACTCAAAGTCTTCTGAAAAGTTGCTGCAGAATCCGGTCCAAGCATTCCTCCATGGATATCACCTTCAATTTCTACGAAATTAACGTCTCGTCCAAACTCCCTCCATCTCCTCAAGTGTTTTGCAACCCAATCTTCCTCGTTAGCCGCAGTTGGGGGTGGCCCACCGCAGAAAACGTCTATATTACCCACTTCCCCACTAGGTAGGTAACCCACAGCCATTTTTTGCAGTGAAAATGCAACATCTGCCCAATCCGCCAATGCGTCCCCTGAAAGGCAAAGTTCGGCCATCCGAGTGGGATCTGATGCATGCTGGATATGTTGGACAGCCTCTCCTTTCGCCAGTGCTGGAAAATATTGGACGACCGATGCCTTATGTTGTTCCGAGAGAAGTCCGAGAGAAACAGCAAGATTAAGCAGACACAGCGACCAGTCTATCTGACTCGATTGGTGTGCGTTGTGTGGTGAGGAATTGAAAGTGCCAAGAAACCGGACCTCTTCTCCGCTCCCCGTGAGAACCTTGGCAACCTCGAATGCAAGTATTGACCCGTACTCGTAGCCAGCTAGTGCATATGGACCGTAAGGTTGCTGCGTCTTTATTGCTTTGTGGTATTCATTGACCACTTCGTTGATCGAAGAGAAGAAAGTTTCACCAGGGCTGAACCCTCGGGCCCTCAGAGCGAAGACTGGGCGGTCGCTGATAAGTTTGGCGAGGCCAAGGAAGACTAGGACTTCGCCATTGTCAGGGTGGAAAAGCCAGAGTGGAGCCCTTTTCCCTTTAGGCTGAAGAACAACTGCAGGAGTATATGTCTCGCTACCTGGCGCTCCCTCTGCGAGTGCTTGTGATAGGGAGCGAACCGTTGGATTTGACAGGATTGTGGTCAACGGGATCTCATTCCCGCAGTCCAGTTCTTGTTGCAAGTTCCCTTTCAGCTTGATGATGTCGAGAGATGTCACTCCCCATTGAATAAAATTGGTTTCGACGCCGAAATCAGTTTTTGAGGTTCCCAGTACTTTTTGACATGTTTTGAGAAGTAGTTTCTCCGTGTTCTTAATTGTGGTGACTGGCGCCATGGTAAAGGAGAAGTTGAACAAATAGACCCAATTCCTCCATTGCTTGCGTGATGTATCGAAATGATGTTGTGATGTTGGCAGGAGCGAGGCTTTGATGGGGCTTTTGAAGAAAATGGCCTTGCGGCGTTTGTCGGGCCGCACACGTGGTAGTTCCCTTTCCTTCTCACGGCAGCCCGTTTAGGTTTGAGACACGGCCAAGCCAATCAGTTCCGGGTACGGGAAGAAGGAATTATCCCATGCGCTGGCAACTTCCGGCGGTGTGATAGGGTATCGAGAGAAGGACAAGCCATGCAGCTGGGAGCAGGAGGGTTCTAGCGGAGGAGAAATGAAAGCCACAACGTTGGTGTGTAATCATCTGGTCAGTTCGCTAAGGTGAGATTACAGTTTTGGAAGAAGTCTGTGCAGATCAGCCGCTGCTGAGATCCGGCGCCCTGAGATCCGGGAAGTCCCCCACTAATACAGGGCGAAAAGGCTTTGACTAAGCTTACTCCCCCCCCAAATAAATGTAATAGTGGGTCAAAGTGCACGGGTTTTTTGGTATGGCAACTGGACCGTGCCAGGCTGGTTTTGCGGGGACCCACTATTACATTTATTTAAGGGGGGGAGAGTATGAAATAGGTTAAAAAAATCCTTCAAACTCTAAAATATCGCCAAATCATACTTAAATGTGTTATTTTGGGCGAAATGCTCGAGTTTGAAATTTCACACCGATTAGCTTATGAAGAAGTGCTTTGCTAAACCAGGCCTGCTTCCTCACATCTGCAGTCGGACTTATTCTGCGATTTTCACTCACAAAGTTAACATTCATCAGAAAGAAATACCTGGGAACATTTCTAAATATACGAGACGCATGTTTTAAAGATTACGAGGGCAGCAGTGCTGTTGGTTGATCGGATAAAGATGATGGTTGTGATATCAAGCCAAGCTGCAACCACAATTTCCCGGGACCGAATGCCAAGCAGGGTGCATATCTACAGATATGCAGAGTTGTTCCTCCGGGAAGACACATGATGCAACATCGGCCGACGATAAGAAAAGAGGGCTTAACGCAGTAAGCCTCTACATTCGCAGTCGAATCATTCGGGTTTCGGACAACAGTAAGCACCAAATGAAACTCGATCACTACGGCTTTGCTTATAGCCTACAAATAAATCTGTCCTCGCAATCAAGTTTAATTCGGCATACCTTCTTATGCATCGGAAATGAAAGCCCCCTTCACGAGGTCGCTCAACATATCAACTTCACTTTTATGCATCATGAACTGGACATTTTCCGTTTGGTGCCACAACAGAGTTGGCACAGTCTTCCATCACTCGATGAGGCGATGTTGAGGGTGAATCCCGTTTTTACCAACAGCCAGTGGGGGCAATCACCGTCCCCATGACGATACAGCAAGACTGCACGTCAACCCTGCTATAACCCCTGTACTGCCAAAACTCCGAAAAAACATCACATTGCGCATTCATACGTTGCACTTAGCTTTTAAGGTTTCAGAAAATGCCAAAAATGCCCAACCCCATTATAATAATTGTGCACGATATTATAATTTCGCAAATGCTTGTTACAATTTTAGAAAAGAATATAAATATTAGAGAAAATTGATTGGAGAGTTGCTTTGGAGTTGGACGGTTTTATTAGTCCGAAACAACTTACCGCAGGGTGGCTGATAAGTTGGGTTCGATTCCCGATATATTGCTCCAGGTGGCGTAGCACCCCTCCCACTAGTGGCCCTTTAACCGGGCGCTAGATACCAAAAATCAACGATAATGCAGTTTTTATTGCCTTTGTGCTATCCCTCCCTTCAATACTTACAGTAGGTCCTGGGATAACACCACTCCTGCACTGACCAACTCAAGGGTGTATGGCCAATAGCGATTCTGGAGAGCACCTGATATTTCCTAGTTGGGGGTTATAAACGAGGTTTCAGGGTGGCGTTACTAAAGGACCCCACTGTGAGTATTGAAGGGGGGATAGTAGAAGTATTTACTGGCCAACCGCCTGCTTTTACCCCTGTCAGAACACCAAAACTTGAGAAATTTTCAAAGTTCTTAGAAAATCCCCAAAACTTGTAGGATTAGTCTCCCAGGCTCGCTAATTACGAATATCTACTCAGAAGTTTGCTTTATGCTACTGTTGTGGTGAAATAAAAATTTGGGCGGTTGAGTGGTCTGGGCAGTCAGCCAGTGAACACTTCTCAGCTGACTAGGGGCCTTGTGTAGCCTCATTTAAAAAAGGTAACAGTTGTTATCATTCATATTCCAAGTCATCCACCATGATCATTTCTTCTTCCGTTGTCTTGAGCCCAAGATGCATCCAGTACCGAGTCGTAGCCGACGGATATTGGTGTTCCTCGGTGTTGTTACGTTCGCGCAAATAGCTGCGTTCCTTCTCTTGCGCAAGCATGTCGACCTGTCCACGCTTTCTCCGTACTTCTCCAGCAAGCTTTCATCTCAAGAATATGAAGAGGAGATCATAGCAAATTCCACCATCATCGAAGGGGTTGTCCAGCGGTAAGTTCTGTTCCCAATGCTGCCATTACGTTTCTGACAGAGCGACTCCAGCATAGGAACCTTCTGGTCAACGAGCAATCAAGGCCTTCCTCCGCCATTCATATTCAACCCCGTTGATACCTCCGAAGTCACTGCCTGCGATGGCCCCCCTCGCAATCTTGCGGGTACTCGCGAACTGTACGCCTACCCCGCCTTGCCAGCTAGGTTTCCCTCCCCGGCCGTAGGCAGCCACGAAATCATCGGCATCAATGGAAGCATATGTTTTACAAGCACATCTCGATATGGCCCATACGGGATGGAAAGTAAGGAGACCGAGTGGCTAGAGGTGAAATGGGGGCAACTCCAACAAAAGTGTTTAGAAAGGAATAAACACCGATATAAAGCCGATGGAGAAACGGGAGAGAAGAAGCCCCGGCAAGCAGTGGTTCTTCGTGGACACGAGAAATTCAAGTGGCGTCCAAACGATTTTCTATATACGCGCTCCCTTATTGCTGAGCTGTCCCTGGCTAGCGGAGGAGAGTACGAGGTAATCTTCATGATCCAACTAAACGGCCACGAACACGCCAGTCTTACTACCTCCGACTTTCAGAACTCATCTATCGTCGACCCTCTCAAGGAAAGATACGTTCCCGCAGAATTCCGCGATCTAGTCATCTTCTTCAATACCAATGTCTTAAAAGATACCTACCCAGCCGTCGGGGAATGGAGCTATGAAATGCAATCCTATCAGCCCGTCCAGTGGCTCGCACTCTACCGCCCGGAGTTTACCCACTTCTGGGTCATTGAGCAAGATTTCCGATACACAGGGCACAATTATGAGCTCTTCAACTCGGTAGGAAAGTGGGCACGTAAACAACCGCGAGACAATCTCTGGGAGAGGAACTCACAACTCTACATCCCAGCCGTGCATAAAACATGGGATAACTTCGTGCAAATTATCAAACAGAACACGCCCTTAGGCCAGGGTGTTCTCGGACCTAGACCCCCTCCCCGGACAGAAAATTATTCTAGCTTTGAGCCGGCAATGCTCCTTCCATCACCGGTACCTAAGGATTGGGGTGTAGGCGAGGACGCAGATGTTATTTCCCTCTCGCGGATCTGGGACCCTGTCGGCAGTGGCTGGTACTTTGAAACCTACCTGAAGGTTTTCCCACCCGACACACCGCGACGAACTAGCCCACCGAATAGTGGACGCTTCTCTCGCCGCGTTCTACTGCTCACTCACGAGGAGCAGGTTAGGCACGGTACTTGTGTAGCAGGCGAGGCAACGAATCCAACAACGGCGTTACACCACGGCCTGAAAGCAGTATATGCACCGCATCCCATGTACTTCGACGAGGACATCGACAACAAGGCACTATATAGAATGTTTAACGGACATGAGGCGGGGAAAGCGTTTGATACGACCAAGGCGCACGATGGCATGGCGCGACCCAAGATTCATCAGTGGAAGAGACTGACGTTCTCGTGGATGAATCAATTGGCGGAGGAGTTGTATAAGTGGTGGATTGTGAGCAATGGGACGAATGAGCAGGTTCATCAAGGCCATAGTGGGCAGCGCGTACATGGCCGCGAGCCTTGCTTCCCTCCTATGGCTTTGCATCCTATTAAAGATGTTTGATTTTCTGGATCTATGTTGTAATTGTTTAGAACGCAGGGTAGTCCTTTTCTGGAGTTTTTTTGATAGGGGGCGGAGAGGAGTTAACTGTCGTTTGTGTATTTTCATTGTGGGGTGTTTTTCGGTAATGATACCCCGTTATGGAAGAAAATTCGATGTTTAACCCACGGTACACCTAGTGAGGTTTGAACCTAGTAAAAATAAATGAATACTCTCTTTCTCTAACAAGTAGGATCCAAATCGGCTTTGGTAGGAAGGGAGCAGAAACCGATTCTGGGGCAAGGTTCAGTAGGGAAACCCTCCGGCGCACACGGGAGGCCAAAGTAGGTTCCATATTATCGTGCGCAGGCTGACTACGGCGCGATTAGGCATGCTCAGGCTCTGCTCACCCTCAAATCAGGTTAAAGCAGGAAGCAGCTGCTCACGTCCGAAGACTAAAACGGAACCTGCGAAAGAAAATTTAATCCTGAGTCTAGGGGGGTATCCTTACCTTTCTCGAACAACTATATCTGAATGGATTTCAGTGCGGCTTGCCCCTGTTTAATTTCCAGCTGAGTGTTCCTCATCACCATTATGTCTAGTATCTAACGTCGCTGTCTTGCGGTGTTCTTCGCTCAAGGCATTAGAATTAGTCTGTATTTCAATCCGGACTCTGGAAGTACGTACCAATAGGCCCGTCCACAAATTGAAGAATATTTCCACCTAGAAGCACCACCGCTGCAATCTAACCTAATCCCAATTCCTTTCTGAGCCTCCTTCGAGGGAGTGCTCATTTGAAGCTCGCAAAGCGAAGATCGAGTAGATATGCAAGGGGCATTGCAGCATCGCTATCGCGAGGAGAGCATATTGCCGATCTGTCGCCGGAGCATTCATTGAATAAGACGACAGCAGAAATGGTATAATAGCCAGAAGATAGTCCGAGAAGCTTGCGTACCTTCCAATTGTCCGTATATCAGTAGCCCAAGACGCACAATGTTGATGAAGTGACCTCTGATAATTTATTCTGTAGCTGTCGCATCTGCGAACCGAGGGATAGAGATAGAGCATAGAAGGACAGGCAAATAAAGGAGAATGTGACGGCAATATAGACATTGTCAACATGTGGATGCGAATCCTGTGGCCGCGCTGTGGCGTCTGTCTTGTAGCAGTGGGAGGGGACATCATTGTCCCATTTCTGCAAGTGCGTTGCAAAAACAGCAATATAAGCAATGAATAACACCGCCCAGATCGCGATCAGAGTGAGTCTTATATAGCCTTTAACAATGCATTCCCGAAATATCGGAAATATGCAGACGCTGGCAGCGCAGTTGGAAATACTTTGACGAAATTATATTCGACCATTGTGCCTTCCATGCTGTCATTACGCACTGGTGGGCTTACATTACGAGGCTTATAGTGTCATATATGATGTCCATATGGTAAAAAGTCAACTTTTTGGATTGGGCGAGGGCGCTGATGAGTAAAGCAATGCCTGAGTATGTACGCCACGGTCAGAGAGTATCCAAGGTTCAATTACCCGTAAAGGTTTGAGGATCACTCCCAGCCAACAGGATCCGATTTGCGCACTCCAGTCTCCTTGTAATCGGAGTGATCTCATCCTCGATCTTGCATTCGAAACTTCGCTGCCGTGGGTGCTCCAGCTATTTGCCGATTAACCAAGCAAAGATAGCCAAGAGCTCCGCGTCGCTCTCGTCGTTTTGTTCTTGAGCTTGATAGAATACAGACTTATGAGAAGCTTCCTTGCATTTTTGAACCAGAGAAAAGGACCAAAGCCACGCCTTTCTTTGGGCTGAGAAAGTTCGGATCCACTGCGTGACTTCGTCGTCTGTGCGGCTGGTCTGAGGCTCCGGATCTGCTGCGTTCCATCGCTTCTGGATCGCGTAATATAGGATCTAGTTGTATCCTGACACAATCACTGCAATTAAGGATTGGATGACAAAGGCGACTAAGATCTGTGAGATGTGAGTTAGCATACGTGATTAAAGGGTGAGGCTGTCAGCTGATGTACCCCTGTCCCAGCAATATCTGGATTTGCCTGCCCGATCGATCTACATTGAATGGAGAGTTGCTTAGCGACTCAATGAATATGTTCCTAGGGAGACTTCAAGCAACCCTTTTATTATATCAAGATAGTTGTACGGAGCAAGAGGGGTTGAGGTTGGCCTTTTCAGCTGCACAACAACACATCTTGTGTGACGGCGGAGCGGAGCAATGGAACGTAGACGCAAAGATCTCTTTTCCTGACTTGTAGAATCTAAAGATAAGGAGAGAAGTGAGGTGTGGTGGTCGATAAGTATGTAAGACTGAAACCACTGAAACGCCGAGCTTAGTCTGAACCTCAGCTTGAAACCAAGTCTGTATCAACCATGTGACACCAGCCGTCATATCTTGATCAAGGGCTAAAAATTGTCTTCCACTTAGTGTACAATAACTTCCAGCAAACCAAAAGAACAAAGTGTTGCTAAAATTAGTGAAAATTGAAGGAGAAAAAGCTCTCTTAAATATTATATAATAGCCTTAGGTATAAGGCACTAGTAAATTTAGAAGGCTTTAGGAAATTCTAGAGTGAATTTAGGGTTACGTGGTACAATATCATCACGTGCTCAGTAGCTCCGTAATAATAAAGGTTAATTTAAATTATTATATAATTTTAAACTAGGCTTATAACTAATAATTATTTAATATATAATTAAGCTTTAAATATAAGAGTAAAGTTAATATAGATTAATAGACCTCAAGTATAAGAAGAGCGGGCTAGTAGAGGGTTTATTTCCCTCTGCAGTTGAGATAACCTTATGGGAGAGAATCACGTGAACAGCAACTAACACGTTAGCTCTAGTGTAGTGAGGACACCCAATTCAAGTAGTATGAAGTTTTAGTTCAGCATTGATTCTCCAGGTATCGTGCAAGTGAAACTTCTGGAGCTGCCATTCCATCCCGCCATTCAAGTGTACGAAGCTGGGGATCTGGAAAGGACTGGCCTGATCATAAAAACCTTCTCGTGCAGTTTGTGAGGAGGAACCGAAAGCAAGGTTCGTAAGTATCTACTTGAAGATGAAGTATTTCGTGACTTTCGATTTCATCATATCAGACTTTCCGGTCTATTTATGGATAATTGCTCACTGTGAATTTCTTGAGCCACTCACCTTTTCACCTCCGCGAACTGTTGGGGAGTCCGGTGACCTCGATTCGAATTCTGACTACTACAGAAAGGGTGAAGGCCATGTCCAGAGTGCTGAGAGTTATCATTCGAATTGTAGGAGATCTATAACGCAGATACTGGTACTTAGAGCTTGTCCAGGCCCTTCCGGACCTTCCAGAAGCCTTCCGAGCGACGCCATACCACACCAGATTGAGGCCATACAAGCTCACCTTCGGTACAAATAGTACCTCACTTTGCGTTCAGTGTATGTACCTGTTTTCAAAATCTGAGGATATGGTTGGGGCTCGTAAGTCGTTAGCAATGCCACCACCCCACTTCGCCCCCACGCGGGAAAATTCTCGCTTGAATCCAACCCCTTTTAGCGGATTTCAGCCCACTTTCCCTCAATTCCCAACGATACAGGACATTTGTCTCATATCGACGAGTCATACGATCGTGAAATTACTCAAAGGGGTTTTATCGGCATCAGGCTAAGTGGGAAGGCGACTTCCTGATTCGTTTTGCGTTGGTAACAATTCTGCCGAAAATAGGCTGTGCAAGTAGCCAGAGTCTAGCCTTCGAGATGAATCGCGTCAAGCGACTCCTCAATGGTAAGTGGCTTACATTTTGTGAAGTAGCTCTCACTTTACTTTGAACTTCGCTTCAATTCGATGTTGCAATGAGGTGAAAACGTTCACGAGACGCCTAGCATATCGTCGATCGAGTCATTGCTCAAGCGACTCGAGCCTTCCCAACCAGTCACTGCTTCGAACATTTAGGAAGCTGCTATCTATTTGTTATCTCTTTAATTCTGGATTCTGGTATATCTGATATCTCATCTCCAGGTCACCACTCTGCTCCTCCGTTTCTCCCTCTTTCTTTCTCGGCTCCACCATGGCATTCAATCGCTTTCGCCCGACGTCACACTTCATCGCTCCCCATTCATGGATGAATGACCCCTGCGGCGCAATATACGTTCCAGAAACTCAGGAATATATCGTCTGCTACCAATGGAATCCGGGAACTGCAGATGGCGGGAACTCGGCCTGGGGGATGGCCAAGAGCCGAAACTTAGTCGCCTGGGAGGACTGCTCTCCAGCTCTCAGGAATGGAACCTCATATGATCGTTTTGGAGTGTTCTCAGGATCTATGACATCAAGTATTGTTGATGGAAGTAGAGTTCTGTTTCTGTTCTACACAAGCGTCTCAGCTGTGCCTATACATGTAAGCTTTTCCAAACACATTACTTCCTCAAGAACTAATTCGGTGCCGCAGTGGTCAAAACCCTATATCAAAGGATGTGAAAGCCAATCCGTCGCCTTTTCAACAGACTTTGGGAGGTCATGGCATCGCTTTCAGAGCAATCCGCTCTTGGCGATACCTCCAAAAAGAGAAGCTACCACGGGATGGCGTGACCCTTTCGTCTCAAAATGGGAAGAGCTTTCCACTCTGCTTCATGTCGACGCTTCAACAGACTACATGTTGGTAGCTTCTGGGGAAAGAGGTCGCGGACCCCAACTTCATATTTACCAATCTGACGATCTGCTCGATTGGCAAATGGTATCAGCCATTCTCGAGGTCCCAGCTGGATCTAAAATCTCCCCAACGAGCAAGTTGGGATTTGGCATGAACTTTGAATGTGCAAGTTTCTTCAGCTTTGGAGAAAGACAATATGTTATCGTTGGCATTGAGGAGGATCACAGGAGCAAGCACCATAGCTCTCGCTATCTTCTCTGGATGTCTGGTAATCTCATTATGGAAGATGGAAAACCAAGATTCAAGATCAAAAGCCATGGCATACTTGACCACGGAATCTCGTACGCTGCACATATCTTCAGAGATTCGGAAGGAAGAATCACCCAGCTCGGATGGGCAGATGAGGATGTCAAGCAAAATGTAGTTTCTGAGCAAGGGTGGGCCGGCTGTCTAGCTCTTCCCAGAGAGTTGTACGAGATATCAAAACCACTCACGAAGGTGGGAGGAGAGGAGGATATCTGGAAACTTGACTACTGCTCAGGGACCATGACGACTTTAGGAATTCGACCAGCTACTCAAATCTTTGCACTGCGAGACCGTCTCTGCCCCTCTTCACTCGAAAGGCTCAGCTCTCTTCAATCAAGGAATTTCAGCATTCACGCAACATTCAGACACTTGTCTGGAAATGAGAGGTTCATCTTCAATGTCCGCCAATCCCCCAACTCCACCGAAGTCACCAAAATAATCTTCGACATCCAAGTTGGACTTATCACCGTCGACAGAGCGCACTCATCACTTGAAAACCTTGGCTCCAGTTCACCCGACTCCGGTCCCTTCCATCTTCTCCCTACCGAGGAGCTCCAAATCCAGATCTTCGTCGACAACTCCATCCTCGAGATATATGCTAACGACCGATTTACACTCACTTCTCGAATCTATCCGGGGCTGGAGACTTCTACTGGTGCTTCTTACGATTTCGGGGCCTTTAATGAGGAGAACGTGGAGTTCCGGTGCTGGGAAGGCTTGAAGAATGCTTGGCCGAGTCGAAAGATGGAGGAGAATGACTTGGTAGACATGGATTCTCCATTGGAGATTATAGAAGAGAAGATAGTAATCGTTTCCGAAGACTTGGTATTGGACTTGATTCCTTCGGGGTAAAAACCTGGGGGTTCAGCGTAACGAATGTTGATGGATCGTGGAGTTATGAGGAGTTCGACGGCGTTTTCATTGACAAAAATAGAGCAACTCATAAGGAAAGCCCCAGGGAAGAATCTCGTCTTTATCGTTCTTTGAAATTGTTCCTGGCATTAACATTTCGTATAACGTAGGTCGTGATCCCCTTTGGCGAGGCAGAAAAAGGGGTTGCACGTGACCCTTATGCAAAATACTCGATCTTGAAAACCCAGCAATACTTTCCTGCATTCGCAAGAGCAGACGGGACATTTATTGAAATACCCTCTCCTTCGGGGGTCCATGCCGCCTCCGTGTCATTTCCAGCCCCAATCATGGTGATAACATCTCCTTCGAGAATAGGAAGCGCTGCATTGATGACGAATTCCTCGGTTGGCTAAGAAAGTGAGAGGATATAGAAAGCATCCTCGGTCTGGGTGAACCGCACATCACCAACCTCCGGGGTGAGGAACCTTGGTGTCCCATTAGAGAAGATCTGAAAGAAGAAAAATCAGGAGGGAGTCGACTCACCAGTAGGTAGTGTTGAAGATTGCTTCAGCATTTGGCTTGATCCACGTCCCAGCCTCAAGCAAATGAGCAATCTCAGTTGCATCGATTGTGCCGTCGGCTTTCGGGCCAACATCCAATAGCAAGTTTCCATTCTTGCTGACCATATCAACCAGGGAGTTGATCAATGTCGAGGCATTCATATAAAGATCCGGTGGAGTGGCTCGGTTATAACCGTAGCTGTATGGATCCATGCCTTGATTGCTTTCCCACTTTCTCTCAGAGATTGATGAAAATGTCGTATACTCGGGAGTATCAAAATCAGCACCGGCCGCAATTCCACAACGGTTGTTCATCGTCACTTGACGACCTTGTGATGCAGCTTCATTGAACCATTTTGCTGCAAAGTTTGCAGTTCCATTCGCAGCACCGCAACTAGAGTGGCGTCAGCGGTACTGCCTACAGTTGCTCGGTTTGATCTACTTACTCGCACCACATAATGTCCGTCCCATATTTGTACGCTAAAATCTCCATCTGAGGCACCATTAGATCCACAATGAAATCTGACTTGTTCAGTGCTCCCGTGTAAGGCTCTGCCAATCCTGTGTATGGGTTCTGTGCTATGATACCAGGCCAGGAGGTGCTTGCAGGGCCAGAAGTCTGGGAGAATCCATACGGACCAAACAAGGGATTGAACTTGATCAATCAGCCACATTCGTCATCCAATTTCTAGATTCACTCACCCATTCAGGCAGACTGAAGTATGTTCCCCGGCGGAGCTGAGGCTGATATGACTTTGCGGCATCGAAAAGCTCCCTTAGTATATCTCTCTTTGGCCCATAATGCAGAGAATTTCGGTGGGTTGTCTCTTCAGTATCAAACATCGCGAAGCCATCATGATGTTTGGTTGTAATGACGAAGTATTGAGCTCCAGCGTCAGCGATCAGATCAACCCAAGATTTAGCATCCCAATTCTCGGCAGTGAAGTTAGTGAAGAAGTCATCATAGTTTGCCCCTCCAAAGGTCTCGAGTTGGTGGTTGTATACATCGGCTTTGTCCGCATTCCGGTGATTATTGTACCACCAGTACCACTCCGCGTATATCTCCCAGGGAGTGGAATTGCCCTGAAGGAAGTCTGTTAGCTTTGGCTCAAACTATGATAAGATCGAATTCACCCAGCCAGGCACACAATATGGGCCCCAGTCTAAACTCTATCAGCTTCACTTAGAATAAACACGTGATCTAAAAACCCACGAATAAAAATTCCAAACTTTGCCTGATCGAACCACTCGGGGCTCTCGTGAGTAGACAGACTTGCGAAATCCGAGGTGTACTCATCCAAACCGAAGCTCACATTTTCCGCCGAAAAGGTAGCATTCATGCTCCCAGTGAAGTGGACCTGGGCTGTGACATTTCCACTCCCAAGGACGCCGACATTGATCTTCTTCTGATCTCCAGGTCGCAGTCTCTTGGTGTATCCTGGCTGGACGGTCTTGATGCCAGGAGCGGTAATGGAAACCTCGACCCCACTTCCGGAAATCCAATTGGGACCAGAATTGCCAATGATGAGCTCAACTGTCTGAACCCGGTTGATATCATGCTTCTGGGTTGGCCGGATGAATTGAGCTTGCACACCATCCTGCTTGTACAATGACATTGAAAACAAGTGGATCCTCGAAGTCTTGTTTGATGTATTCGGCAGAGTGATGGAGGCAAGTGTCTTGGACGGATCCAGTGGTCCAATATACTCGAAGATGTGAGAAGTGTTAAAGTTGGTGTCATTGTTTGTGAAGTAGGATGGCATCACAATCTCTCCCTTCAGGATCGACAAAAATGATGAGTAAGGATTCGTTCGGACTTCGGCCAGTGTTGAAGTCCCGTCTGTGTACTCAAAAGTCATGTTATCAGCCGCTCCAGCAGACTCAGTAGCCACGAGCATCTGTAAGCTGAAGTATGGTGATGAAGGCACCTCAATTTGCTGCCCCGCCATTACAACATTGTCTCTCTTGTTCTGTCCTTGGTATCCCGGGAAAAGATAGGATACATTGGTCTTTGTCGAAACATATATTTCTCCAATTGGCAAATTCAATGCGGAATATGAGTTATTCAACTGGTCGAAATTGGCTTCCCCGGGAACGAGACCGAAACCTCTGTTGTTAAAGTAGGAATCGAGAGGAATCTGGATCGTTTCCTATTTTGCTCGTCAGCACCCGCGACCACTTCTTCTTTTAAGATGGTGCGCTTTACGGAAGAAGTTTTGTTATCCCATCGTCGTCCCGGTACGGCTGCTACACCTGCAGCAAAACCTGCCACCAAAAGTTGAACGAGTCCCATCTTCAAAAATGATTTAGCAAGGATAGAGGCAGAGGGGAGCCTACATGTTATCAACCCTCGATGACCTAAAGTCTTCGGTGAGGTGGCCCATGACTACCAGAATCCACAGGATTGCAGCCAAGTATCCGGAGTTATCAGGATTGACCGCGTCACGACTCACAAGAGTCCCCAGTCCAGACCCCTTCTCCATTCTGGTAACGTTGGGCGGTAGGTGACATTGAATTGATTGCCGGCTTTTGCTTCGTGGGACCAGAGATAGCTTGGCTGGCCCGAGTCCCGTTAATATGGGCCAGACTGCCAATGACGGAGACTTGATATCGAGGATGTGAGGTTTGCAACAGCCGAGGTCGCCAAGGAAACAAGGTCCACTGCCGTCCATATCCCTGTCTTCTCATGTCCGGTCTTCCCTAACGCGGTCATTGTTCCTGCATCATCCCACTCCTATGAACCTCTTCTAAGCTTCTCGCCGCTAGGACATCCCTATGTTGGAGGATTGAGATCAACCAGCCACCATGACTCTGAAAATTTGTGGCGTTTGAGCCGTGAAGTCGTGCAGATTGATGGCGCAAACGACGTCATCTTCGATTGACAACTTTGACAAGCCGTATATCGGAAACTCTGAATAACAGGCCCTGTATAAGAGCAGCGGTGCGTGCACCCCTCATACAGGTTCTACCCCGCTAGAAGCCCTGCACCATCCCCATCAGCAGCTGCCGATCTCCGACCTCGTGCATTCTAATCCTAGGGAGTTATAACGCAATGCTACGTTACCGCACTAATAGTAATGGCGATTATGAATTTATGAGGATCTTCTCCGAACAGCGAATACGGGTCCCGCAAAAGATAGGAACTATAAGGTTTACAGACGAGAATGGGGTTGGTGTGATTGGGTCACGTGAGGATTCATTGAACCTATACATAATTTCATGAACGTCCACACGCCAGGAGAGCGTTCTTACACCTCCTTTCTCGTCTACTTAAGTAGGGCAGGGCAATATGGCAATAGCACTGGAATTAATGCTGGTTCTTTCTGCGTTAGCTGTGCTTGGATCAGCAATTAGTGATGCGCTTGCTGCTGAGCTCGGGTATCCTGCTGGTGTTGACGTCTGGTGAGAAGATTTCGACCAATAACTTGTTACTGTGCTAATGCCTTCAGGTGTGGAAAAGCGTACAGGGCATCGTAAGAGGATCTTTCGAAAAAGCCCATTACAGATTGACTTCTGACATCCTCAGAAACTCGTCCTTCAATCCTGGTGGGTGGCTTGAACTTCCAAAGCCCTCATCTACTCCACTGCTGGATCTCTCCATCCGCCCACGTACGAATCTGTATCTTGCTGGTGAAGAATACGCCTCCTTTATTATTGATGCTCCCATTTCCTACTTGACTGGTCAAGCCTTCATGAACGCCAGCTTTAATAAGCAAGACAACCTCACAAGCCCTTTCACAACACTTTTCATCGATGTCGCTGTGGTTGAGTCGGGGTTGGATCTGATTTCAGGTCAAAATATCGCCGTCAATACCACCGGCAATGAGCTAGGGGTTTCTCTATCAGGACTCACTGCACGAGTTGAGCCGTACGACGTCGTTGTAACAGGAGCATCAGAGGATGGTGCTCAATTTTACACGGCAACAACTCAGCTCCACTTTGTTCCTTCTCGTACAGATGGAGGAAGCGTGACCAAGATCGACAACCTCTATGGTGGCTTGTTGGTTCAAGATTACCTCTCAAACTCCACTTCGTGGACTCCTTTGTTCCCATATACATTCTATGTATCATGGGATGGCTGGCTTGAATTGAGCATTGACAGTAAGTAGCAATTGGTGAGACCGGTATCGCATCTGTTGACGATTCTATCTAGACCTCAGAGTGTTTAAAGACAAGGGTGAGTTCGGGCTTCAGACGGCAAATTTGAAGGCTGCTGATTATTTGAGGATATAATATCATCCACATCGTGCCGAATGCTGGGCTTGCTAATGAAGCATTTGACTTTGATGAACTTGATACATTTCTCGATGTTATGGATGAGATTGAGCTGTGGTTAATGTTCGATATGAGTGAGTCCTCGATATCCTTTTCATAAAAGGCTTGAGCTAGGTTGACACACATGGCAGGATGGACATACAAAGTATGTTCTAGAAGAATAACAACAACAGTCCTGTCACTGACATGAAACAGAACCTCACTTCTGTGGAAATGCAAGTCAATAGACTAAAGGCACGAAAGAGCATGCTGCTTTATTACACCGGTGACGAACCTGACGGACAAGTGGGTAAGAGAAATATAATAAAACCGACATTCTTACTTTCACTAATCTTTGGCCAGACGCTCTTAATGCGACCAAGATTACGTACGATCTAATCAAGTCTCTTGACCCATGGCACCCAGTCTCTCTCTGCTTGAATTGCCTGAACTATTATTTCGAAGAATACACCTCCGGCGCTGATATCATTATGTCCGACCCCTACCCGATAGCGGTCAACACCTCATGGTCGCATCAGTACGACACAACATGCAACACCACCTACGGCTGCTGCGGCTGTGATGACTGTGATGGAGATTTCGAGGACGTAGCAAATCGTCTGGATCTTTACACTCAGTATCAAGAGATCTTAAATCTTCCCCAGAAACCTCAGTGGGGAGTTCCACAAGCATTCGGCAACGAGACCTTCTGGGCCAGATACCCAACGCCGGAAGAGGAGGTTGTCATGAACATGCTGTTTGTCAATCACGGAGCGAAGGGCATTGCCATGTGGGATTACCCCACTGAACCTGATTTGGCAAATGTGACGAGTGCGCTGTCTAAGGTTCTGACTGTAAGCACCGTGTCATCGTTTCTCCTTGGGAGCTTCTACACTCAGTTGGAATCTGCTGGTCTGCCCAGAGTAGATGTGGCGTCATGGATTGTGGGAAGCAAGATGCTGGTCAGTGTTGTGAACAAGAATTATGTTGAGAGTCCCACGACAAACGTCACCATCACACTTCCAGACACTGCAGCAAGCGTTGAAGAAGTCTTCTGGGGCTCAGGTTGGAAAGTGAATGGGGCACAGTTGACGAAGCTCGGCTTGGAGGCATTGGAGGTTGACCTCTTTCTTGTTGAATTGGTTTAATGGAGATATTTCCAGACACCATTTCTACTCTGGCTTTCTCGTATAAAAGGTCATTTCGCTCAGATTCTTTGTATTTTCTTGGTTGTTTCAATACATCAATCTCACCGCTAATAGTTTGCCATTCAACCACTTCAAGCTCACAGCAGAACTACCAGTGTCAGTGCCTTTCTCAACATCACCCGAATTGCAGACAAAGCTCGTCCTTAGCACCAACTCCTCCACGGCTCCTCCCTTCTAAAATCTCTTGTTTTTGGCTTCACTCACTATCGTGTCCACCAAGTTCCCGATCTGCATCAGAAATCCAAACTGCTTTGCCTCTCACAAGAAACGCACCACAATACAGAATTCCAAGGAGCAAAGGGCATCGTCGGAAGTTCTCCAGAACATCATGTGAGTCTTTGACTTCAATAGAACTCGTTCTTGAACAAGAGACGGGTATGATTAAGGATATCGATTCCGGGGTACGATGTTCCCCTCTAGTATTGAGAAGCATTTCGTCATAAGTTAGTTCAGGAGGAGGGAGGCAGCTTGAATAACGCAAAAGTGAACATGTATCATATGTTATCACAACCTTCAGAATTATAGTCCGCAGCAATTGAAACCCTCAAGTTGGTAGATTTCACCATGGAAAATAATCAATCTTAGTTTAATGCGCCAAATGGCATTTGCTATGTTACCGCAATTGCTAAACTAACTCATTATCGCTTCCTGTCTCATCCACTCACAACTCAGCCTCACCCAATGCTAAGCAAACCAACCCCAACTACGGCAGCTGGTCACTACATGTTCTCTCTATGTTCTGTCGGTCAGGCATATCAACCGAAATAATCCAATCATCCCAAATCAAATTCCCCATTCATTACTCGAGAATCAAGTCGTCTCTGAATCATCTCATTTTAGGATGGTAAGCACAACTTCGTAATCAGACTTTGCTCCTACAACGACTTGGACTTGGTTGGAATCTCAACAGCATCATCGTCCAGGTCGCGACAACCAGGTGGGATTTCCGATGCGTGGGGAGAGGACACGATAAGAGGACCCTGAATAAATCGACGAGCTTGAGTAGGCGAACGTGAGCGATAGAACCCGCTTTGGAGTCTGCTCCTATTGAGGGAAGGGCATTTCGGACTGGTAGAGCGACTACCCTTGTTTCGGTCTCTGCGAGGTTCTCGCATTGGTGTGTTTAGTAAGTTCAAGTTGAGGTCTTCTAGACCAAGGCCCACTGAATTGTCGCCATATTGCTGGGGTGTGATATCTCTTGAAACATTCACCGATCCATACCCGGAATCGGTGCGGCGATGGCTGGAATGAGCTCGAGTTGGTGTTGTTTGCTCCTTGACTTGAGGATAGGCTGCTTTGGACTTTGGAGTGAGATTTTTTGGTTGCAGCTGCCTGCCATCTGGAGTTCGGGGATATTCGAGAGGCCATGGATGAGCAGGCTCTTCAGGAATAGTGTTTTGTCTTCGTGCAGGTTCTTGACGGGTGTTGCCCTTCGCCCGATCCTCCTCAGTGTTCGTCATCTGAGTGTCAGACATGGTGGCTGAACACGGGGTCGTTTTTAGTTTTGAGTGGCCCAAGAGGATCATATGTGTAGAATGAGGACGAGCTATCCAAGCGCAAGGCGCTGGACAAGGTAGTGTTCCGAGTGGTTGTTGTGAAAGGATAGGGGTTTCCTTCCCTGCTTTGTTGTTGAAGGAGGAAGAACGAGCCTCGGATCTTTCTGAAAGATCGAGTACTTATGTAAACGTCTTATGAATGGGACGGTGTGTTCTGGTGAATGCATCAACTTTGGTGGTGCTCACGACTTTAGCGAGAGCGATAGGGGTAGAGTTCGGTAATCGGCCAATGAGAGGCGCCAGTTTTGAAAGAAAGGGGTATTCACCGCGACACCCAAAAGGTGCGAATTTAAAAATGCGACGACTTGTGAGTAGTGGAAACCTTATAAATTGGTATGGGTGGTGTTCAAGTGGGAATAACTGGAATAATGGTTAATTATTTATATACAATTTCTGATTGACATTTGCCCTTCTTCTGATCGAAAATAAACCAATAATTAATCTCTTCTCTCTTCAGGTCGTATCATTTCGGCTGATATAAAGATTGCTAGGCCTTCACGACACACAAATGACCAAAATTCTCTCAAAGTGACACCTAGTCCCGTGGCGTCTGTCAAACAGTGGAAGGATTGCAGGTAGCACCGTAGCAACCACTTTGAGCGACTGACTCCAATAGCTATTTATCATAGATGAAATGGATGGCTTACATCGTCTCCAAGCATAATAGTGAACCTTCAACAGAGCCTAGCATTGGTTTGAGGAGAATGCTTCGTGGATTCAATGCTCACACTCCCCAAACTCCAGTCGACCTGAAAGATAAAAGCCCGCTCTTCAAAAATTTGTCAATATTAATTATGCTTGTTTACTCGCTGTAGGACAGAAAGGGCAAAACAAATCAAGGAAGCCGCTCAGAGAGTCGTACGCCTGAGACCTTACTAAGCCAAAGAACTCCATCCTCCCATAATGTCCGATTATGAATCTTGAAAATACTCTGGTCATCACCAGCTCTGTGTCTCAAGCTAGCTCTCAAAGAAATAGCCATTCAGCATCAGCCGAAATATGAAAAGCCGATATTCCAATATGCTTTCCCATACCGCCACCGATATCTAGTCTCAGTTCTAGTGCTGGCCAATGCATCACACACTGATGTAATCAAATCAATGAGAACATCGAGATGGATATTGAATGTCGCCGCCTAAAAGAGAGGCTCTCCATAGTCAGAAGGAGATGGCGAGCGTGGCGGGAGTTGGTTCTTATTGAGAGCAAGCAGAGGTGGCGGCGTATATCCGAAGATGCTGAGGTAATTTTGGGGATCCGAACCATCTGGGATACAGGGCGGTTCATCGCCAGCTTTGTAGAAGGGATCCCCATCAGTTCCAAGCATGGCGGAGGAGATATCTTCGCCTCCAGAAACCGGATGAGGAGAAGCCGCTTGATCTGCCACCTTGCCCTTCTCACCCCACCCTGACTTGAGTTGTCGAGGAGGCGGAGTCTTGAGATTATAACGGACTGCCCTGAGTGGGTGGGCAGGCTTTGGCACATGGTAAGCAGGTCCACAGCGTGCCCGGCTGACTGTGGCCTTGCCCCAGCTTTCTGCGAGCTGTATGTACTGAGCTTCCTTCTGCTTCCGCTCATTATAATCAAGAATAGAGGACATTAGAATCTGGTTTGCTATTGCAAATAATGTAAGTAATAATAGTGTTGAAGGAGAGCAGATACAGTACCCTTGTGCTGTTGCTCAAGATCCCGAGCTGCTCCTTCTTCCATCGATTTGATGAGCTCCTTTGCCTCTTCGTCGAATTCGGGACAAGCCGCTGAAGGAGGTAAATTAGCAGCCACTGATGTTTGCTTTAGCCAAGGAGAGGTACCAAACTTAAATTCTATCGCGCCCTCGGTTGCGATCCGATGCAAATACTTGTCATCGGAGAAGTGGTCATTCATGTCGGCCTTGAACTTCGCGAGGAGGAAACCATCACGCTTTAGCTTCTGGTACTGTTGCAAAGTAGGAAGGTAGGCGAAAGCGTTATTGTTGCAAAGATTCCGCAGAATTTTCAGCGCATGCAATAAGTAGCTTTGGCGGTAATAGCTATCGAGTGGAAGACGAAGCTGCTGGCGAATCTGTCCTTCGAGAGTCTGTGGATGAATGCCGGATCGGAGTTTGCTGAAAACTAAGGACTCTGCTTCGGTCCACTGAGCGCGAGTATTATGGCCTCGCTCGGTACGTTCCATGCTGGCACGACTCCATTCACGGAGAACGAGGGGTGCTGTTGAGGTTAGAACTTGCGGGTCAGCGAGAAGGAGAGGGAGCACTCGCGGAAAGAGTTCGCGTTAGATGGATAATCCACCATTGCTAGGAGTTTCGGATACTCGCTGATGAAGAGGTGGCTATGTATTGGGAAGATACTCTCTGTCCTACCGCAATGTGGGATGAAGTGCCCGGTAGCTCGGAGAACTTTCTTGATGGTGTAGATCTCGAGATTGTTCCTGGAAGTCTGAGGTTCAAAGTAAGCATTTATGAATTTGCTACTGAGCACAAATAGGCAGCAATATAGCGAAAGAACAAAGAAATTTCAAATAAAACAGAGATCAGTGTATTCACTTCAGAGAGGGCCTTTTCAGATTTAAAGCTGCGAAGTAAAGAAATAACAAGATTCCATAGCTGCTAGAAAGATATAAAACTGCTATCTTGGTATATATCCAGATACATTGACCACTGCTGCATCTTTTGATTTGAAGAAGATACTCCGAGAGGTCTCGAACTTTCTTCGAGAAAGGGTATTATGCTAGCTATACTCTCTTCAAGGATTGCATGGAAGCTAAACAAATTGTTCTGGATACAGAAAATGAATCAACTGCCTATAATCCAAGAGACCAAGAATCGTAGGCCCTTTGCCTCGTTAAGCTCCACCACCAACAGTAGCACCTATCGCTTTCCATAGAGTACTCAAAGCTTTCAAGGATGTCGCCAACCTATACTCGCAAGCCAACAATCTACATCTTGTCTGGCGTTTGGAGGAGTGTGCTTGCAAGTTCTGCTGCTTTTCCCCAAGAATTGGAAAAAGGGAGCGAATCACGTGATGCAAGCTCACCTGTAACTGTTGCCATCGTGGGGTGATGTGAGGACGGATTCCATGGTTAACAAGAATAACTTCAGAATTATTGATCGAATTGTTCAGGCCATGTTTGCCACTGTGGCGGAATTATTTCAATATGCTTGCAGCTGTGCGAATCCAACTCCGCTCAAGAAGGTTTGACTATGGTACTTGCCATTAAGGGCTTGAGATCTGAAGGAACTGAGGCTGCATAGCTACCGGAATTTCAGAGATTTCTCAATGGAATCACCATACCTAGATATAATCACGGGCACGGTTCATGCAGAGAGCTTCAAAGAGTTGATTGAGCTGAAATGGAGTATGGTTTCACCAGTACCTAAATAAAGAGCAAGCATCTGAGAAATCCCGAAAGCACCTCACGAGGTTGTACAAGGAGGCCTGGAGATGCTTGTCAAATTCCGATTCTGGATCTCTGTGACCGACACTGCCAAGCTGGATCATATGATAAGAACGAAGCATAGGAGCCTCCAGTGATCCATCTCCTAAAACGGTGACACCCCATCAAACAATTCATTCCGTTATTGTGACCCTCGTTCAACGGCATGAACACACCTGCAAAGTTTGCAAAGCCACTCAAGGATTCCATACTTATCAAGACTCCGCACGACCACGAACCCTATCAATGAATGACAAATATCTCCGCTTAATGACCCTCTTGCTTTCATTAGTGCGAGCGCTCAATACTGAGGCGGACCGCTGAGCAGGACTCTCAACTACAGTCGTACTCGTTGGCATGAACATAGACGGTGGCTTGTTCTCACTCGCGATAGCTGGTGCATCAGTCTGCGAGTTCTTCCGCATAGCTTCCACAGTTCGGATGAAAGCTGGATCTTGTTCATTCGCCTCAATCTGCGATTGTGTTTTCAACGCGTTCAGGGTCCGAACGAAAGCAGGATCTCTCTCATTCAGTTTGTTCAAGGTGTTCGGAGTATTCGGCGTGGAGCATCTCTCTGGAGGTGGGGTTCGGGTGCCCTGGGAAATTTCATATGTCCGCGTGCACATGATTTCTCCTGGCTGGAACTGCTCAAAGCGAGGAGTTGATGCACCCATGGGAGTTCCCAACTGGGTAGAAGCAGTAGAGAGTAATGAATCCCGTACATTCGAATATTGCTGGATACCATCCGAATGTCCATTCTCCAGGATGTGCCCCTGGTCCTTGAGCAACGCACCAGTAAGAGAACTGACTATGCAATTAGACATAGAACTGTGTATGTATGTTTCAACATTGAATCTTTTTATTTCCTCCTCAAATTCTTGTGCAAAGCTTCGACTATGGTGTAGTCTGAGGCCGAAGGGTTCCGGTAAAAGCGCGGAATTCGGATGCAGGTTCGAGGTATAAACTGGAGCATTGTCATCTAGAGAGGGCATATGTGGCCAAGCGGGGTCATTGGGAATGATGAGATCGACTTCTTGGTCTCCATCAGCAAAGGCAGCAGAAAGCAATTGCTTTGTATAATCCGGAGTAAAACCCGAGACACGGCAACGCTGCAGAATGCCATGGAGCTCAGACATCATATCGAAGATATGTATTTCGTCGTCAGGGCAGTATTTGACTAAGGTTCGTTCAGCTATGATTGACAAAGAGAAAGGATTGACCAACCAGTAGAAGAGCCAAGCTCCTCGGTCTTGGTACGGAAGCCACCATATCGTCGGCACATGAGATTCAGTTCAGCCATCGTCAGTCTGCCAGGACGCTCTTTCAATCCTCGAATCAGGCCAAGCAAAAGATCCTCCAATTTATCATTGTTATGCCCGAACGATGGAGCGAGTCTCATGGAGCTGCCACCGAAGCGTGTGAAATCGACCTCGATGGTAAGTCGCTGGATACGATCAAGAAAGTTCAACAGCCAAATATGGGAGAGTGGTGAGAAGACTGGGCCGCTGAAGACATTCAGAGTGACATGGAAGTGATAGGTTGTCCAGAAATAGGTCATCAGGTCGTGACGGAGGGCGCGAAATGCATGGACACCGCCAAAGACAGGGTCAAGGACGTTCCATGGGGATATGAAGTGGCTGTCGGGGAATACCGCTCTGACTGCGAACTTGGGGGAGAGATTGATCTTTCGCCGTTCAAACCCCTCGAAGCAGAAGGCATAGATCCTGTGGCGAACAGCGGCTGGTAAAGCAGACAGGCGGTGTTCTCCATTCTGCTCGTCATAAGCGCTAACCAGTTGTTCAAATACTTCTGTTTGGTCGATGGAGATTTTATGAGGAGCGGCAATTGCCACAAGATCAACAGATCTATCGAAGGTTGGTTTGTCTCGTTCCTCCTCCTCAATCGGCAGCAGATTCTCGGACTGCGACAGCGCAGTGGAGCATTTGCTTGCATGGCTCTGTGAGTAGTTTGTACTTTGAGATTGCACAGAGGGACGTCGCGCAATGAGGGGTTGATGATTGTCGCTCGCAGTGCTCGAGGATCGGAGGGAGGATCGGAGGTCGGGGAATCGGCGCACCACTGTCACACGGAGGTCAGAGCAGTCATGGAACGGTCTAAGAGGCGATCTTACTCGTGGGCCGTGGGCAGTTGGCTTGATGGTTGAGGTTGGAGAATTGACGTGGCGATCCGGTGTTGACTGTCTTCCACAAGGGGAAGTCTCGCCGGGGAGTCCACGCTTAAAGTCGACGGAACGCGCTGGGAAACCACTTTCCAATACCGGCTGCATTAATAGACGGTAGGCAGATGAATAAAGAAATAAAGAAGGAATCATGGAACCATACTCTGTATCCCATAAACTTGATATTTCTTGCTCCGTTTAAAGCGTCTTGCGGAGAGCATTCGAGGCTTGGGTGCAGTTCGCTTGCGGCTCTTAAGAACTGAAACAGCTCAAAAATTATGAAGATTCCTCGCTCACATCTCTTCCAAGAAAAGGTAATCGTAGAGAACCGCCGGTGGTAAGACTCTCTTGATTTGCACTATCCCATGAGTTAAATAAATTGAAATTTAATGCCCGTCGCGTAGATCTCGCACGAAGTTCTAGGCTGACTGTTTGACCTCGACTCTCGCTTGCCGCGAGGTGGCTCTTTAGCTGCAATGAGGCTCAAAAAAGAGGGGGGGGGAGAGGCAAATGCGAACTGGTACGCAGACCAAGAATCAAAGTGGCAAAAGCTCACAAGACAACCTAATCTGACTGTCGACTCGAGTCAGAAGAGGGTGTCAAGTTACGAAAATCTCCCTGGATAAGATTTTGCTCGATTCGAAAACTCCCCTTGCAAGCAAGGTTCCAACAACCGGGGTTGTTTAAAGCCGCTGTCGTCCCCTTAGTTTGGATCCTTTAATTTGCAACGGGAAGCATGTCTTCTCCTTGCAGAGCCCGCGCGCTGTTGTCGCTGTAAGTTGTTAGTTATGGTTAAATGTTGGTGTGAGAGTAACTTACCTGCCACCGCGTGCGGGGCTCGGGTTGCTGTGGGCGGAAAATTCCTTATTCAACTATGTACCACTGCCTCTCGTTTTTGAAGTAGCCGAGGACAGCCCGATAAAGTTCGAGCTCTCTGCTTGCCCACCAGACTTCCAACAGCAATATCGCGAACTTCCAACACATCACAGTCTTCAGTACACCAATCTAATGGTTCTTGATGTTTCAGGCAGTGAAATATTAAAGATTACGTTCGTAGCTCAGGAGATTGCGGCAGGGCAGATAAATATATTGCAGAGAACGGCAGTAACATCATGGGATGGGGCTTGCTTGACTTTAATAACTTTGGCAGAATACTTCTAAGCAAGCGGGTTCTATCAAGTGAACACTACAACTGGCAACTATTAAACAAGCAACGATCAAAACTTCAATCTCAATGCAAATGAAGTTCTAGAATGGTCTCAAACGGATGAAGCAGGGAAGAACAGATGTACCTCACAGTCAGATTCAATGCATACAACAAAAAGAATTTAGCACCCGAGCTATTTGCATTATCGATAATAGAGTAGGATCCCGTTTGATTCAAGGTCCCTCGGGCCAGGTCAAGAAATTTGCTTGGATCCGGGACAATGGGTGGATGTTCGCATTTCCCGCACACAGAGAACTCATCGAACAAAACGTACGCAATTGAGACAATTCTCGATGGTTTTAGTGCTTCTCAGTGAGGGGGGAAATGGCAAAATTCGATCTCTTGGGTCCAAAATCGGCACCCAGGAGAGTCCCAAATTTGCTCGAAGGTGGCATGCCTGTAGGAGTTCCAATTTGCAGCGCGAAACCTTTCCCCATCGAATTTCCTTGACCTCGCATCTATGTGGACTTAGCTTTGGACTTCGGGGGTTCGATGTTGAGGCTGTGGTCGAATTCGAGTGAAATCGAAGGTGTGTCGTTGTAGAAGGCGCGAGCCGCTTCTCGCTCAACATGCGGGATGACTCAGCTTCTGGCTGGTGATCTTCCCCGAAGAATTTCCGCCCTCGTCTTTTTGTATTTAGGTCTTGCTCAAGTCCTTCGGCTCTTAATACCTCCAACCTCTCGAAGGACACAGTTAGAAGATCAAAGACTCGACAGAAGTCCCACCAAAGTTTACTCTACAAGGCAAAATTTCTGCGCCATTCCAAAGCGTCCCCACCATGTCTGCAGCCCCCCCAGCCAACTTCAACGCCGAGGAGGCGGACAACCTCGAAGACGTAAGGATCTCTTCTTCCTCTCAAGTTAGCCCTTGTCGTACTGGCTGCTAACTTACCGGTAGATTGAGAAGCAGTTCGCTGTCAAAGGTTTGCAGCCCCTTCGTCCAGCCTTCCAATTACCCCGCCACTGACCCCGCCATAGCCGTTCAACATATGACCACATACTGGGCAATTCTCGAAAAGGTCCGCGGATCATCCCTCAGACTCACTAAGATGGACGACGACATATACGAGCATCTGAAGAAAGATTTCCCCGAGTTCGACCCTGCGGCGACCATCGACGAGGACGAGATGAAGAGCAAAACTGGCAAGGAACGGTGGCGGAAGTTCATGATGGCATACGAGAAGAAGATTGATGATTACAACTTTGGCACAATAATGAGATTAAACCCGAAGATGGAGAATGAACAAGAAACGACCATTTTTGGTAGGATATTCTTGATGGGGTTGTTTTGAATATCGCTGACTGGTACTGTACAGTTCCTCGAATGCAATTCTACGCCATTGAGATTGCAAGAAACAAAAACGCCCTGAACGACTGGATCTACGAGAAGAACAACGGGGTATCAGCAGATGGGAAGACGGAGGATCCGAAGTGATGGCATGGCCTGATCTTCTGGAGACGTTGCATCCCATTCAGAATCAGAGGTCGTCGACACCACCTTGATATGACAAAGATCCACGAGACGGAAGCAATCCGCGATGCCATTTGATGGAAGATGCGGGCTAGCGTCTGAGTCCTTAACGAGATCAGGAGGTCTAGATCTTGCATTCTGTCAAAGACGACACCCCACAGGTCGAGGTCAAATCTGGTGGCATATCTCTGAGCCTTTTCGTTCTCTGTGCTGATAAGCTAGATAGGTCAATAATGGTATTTTCGGCCCAAATTCCTGACCCGAGAAACTATCCCCTGTGGAACATTCCCTTGACATTGTTTCTGCTACCAGTTCGGTCCTTTCCCACCTGCTGTGCTATTCAGTGTGACTTGAGCGAAAGAGACAATGGTATTCTGAAAAAGTCTGCGCGAATCAGTTTTCAGTGTAGCGAGTCTCCAAAACTGTCCTTTTCATTGTCCTCGCATTTCTCATTTCTCAAACAATATCAAGCTTCGGCTTTAGAAACCAGCAATCCGTCACAACCCCATCATAATCTAGAGCAAACCCTGTTATTCTTTCATATTATCCTCGAATCAAGTGTTTCGATCTCAAGTTTGTTTCTCGTCCCGTTCAAGATGCATTTTCTATTTTCATTTATCATCTCGTTGATCAGTGCGAGCGCATTAGAATTTCGCGATCTTCCATCGCTCCATATGGCGATGCCATCAAGCACAAGCCATGTATCCTCCGAAAGCGAAAAAGATTTCCATGGTCCCATGCCCGCCATTGGGCAGGACCCTCAAGGCTCAAGCCGCGAGCTACGACCCGGGGCACCGCTGACGATCTTGCTCTTAATTCTTCGTGGCGTTCGTTATTTGCCTTTACGACTCGACAACACGCCGTGGCAATTGCGATTGCTGTCGTTTCAACACTTACTTCAACTCTGCTCAGACCGATGGCCGCCATATTCTTTGGGAAGGTCTTCTCTATCTTGACGAAATTCGGTGCCGGAACGGCGACCGCTGAAGATACCCTCCATGGTGTTGCAAAATGGTGTACAGCTTTGGTTGGCCTCGGAGGATCTGCATGGATCGTTGAAGGAGCCTCCCTATCCTCCTGGATGGCTTTTGGTGAGGCTCAGGCAAGGAGTGTACGACACAAGATGTTCGAAGGCATGTTGGACAAGGAGATGGAATGGTATGATCTACGGCCAGATGGAATTGGGTCGCTTCTGATCCGTATACAAACGTACGTCAAAATTCTCTCTGCTTGTGCATCCTACCAACTCTCCAGTCAAATTCAAGAGCTTCAACTAGCAGTCTCCCAACCCCTGGGTTTCCTGATTTTCGACATATTCGGCTCGATTGCATCCCTCGGTCTGGCTTTCTACTTCTCATGGAAGCTCACTCTTATCATCACCTCGGCCATTCCACTCGCAGCTATTGTTCTCTACCTGATCTCAGTACCACTCTCTCCAGCCGTTGAAGCACAGAAACAAGGACTCTCTCAAGCTCTAAAACACGTCAATACATCCATCGAGGCAATTGACACCGTCAAAGTATACACTGGCCAACAACAAGAAGTCTGGCAGTACCTCTCCGCAATGAAGAAAGTCGCTTCGAGCTACATGATTCAGGCAAGATGCAACGCACTGCAATTCGGAATCACGAAACTCATCACGGTGGGCATATTCGTTCAAGGATTCTGGTTCGGTCTCTACTTGGTGGACCATGGCATGGATCCGGGCCATGTTCTCACAACTTTTTATGCCTGTTTGGCCTCGATGCAATCTGTCGAGACCATTTTGCCACAGTGGCTGGTGCTGGCAAAGGGAATATCTGCTGGACAAATTTTGAAAGCGGTCATGGCACAAATGGAACATGGGAGGAAAGTAAAACATATGGTGCGCAGGACAAACCCCATGCCCTTTTCAGCCGGAGATATCGAAGTCAACGAAGTGAGTCCTGAATCACCTGAATTGAAATTGTAACTAACAATGGACACAGGTATCGTTTGCATATCCATCTAATCCGAAACAAAACGTGCTGAATAAAGCGACTTACTTTTTTCCGTCCGGCGAAATGACTTTCATCGTGAGCAAAAGTGGGTCCGGGAAAAGCACTTTGGCAAATCTTCTGATGAAATACTACAAACCGACCAGCGGAAATATTCTCATTGACGGCCATTCAATTCAGACACTCGATGCGGAATGGCTCCGACAAAACGTTACGTTGGTCCAACAGCAGAGTGTGCTATTCAATGAGACTGTTTACCAGAACATCGCTTTCGGCAGGGAAGGTCGTGCCACCATGGAAGATGTTCTCAACGCTTCGAAAACAGGCGATCTCCAGCAAACCTTCATCGACTTACCAGAAGGGCTTAGCACACTTGTTGGGTCGAATAGGGAACCGTTGAGTGGCGGCCAGCAGCAACGAATCGCGATAGCAAGAGCCCGTCTCCGAGATGCTCCTATCTTAATCCTTGACGAAGCGACTTGTGCTCTGGATCAGACGAGTAAGCGGAAAGTTATGGAAGAAATTCAAAGATGGCGGGAAAAGAAGACAACAATCGTTATTACTCACGACGCTTCTCAAATTCATGATGATGAATACCTCTATGTTCTCGATCATGGCAATCTGGTCCAAGAAGGCTACTGTGGGGACTTCGCTGAAAAGGAGCAGGGAACTTTTGTTTCTTTCCATCCTGTTTATGCTCGGGCGGGTAATTCGACAGTTCTCGAACAGAGACGAAAATCAGAGCCAACATCTCCAACTTGCCTTCTTATGGGTGATATCGACGAGATTTCAGGAGTTTGTTGGAGCCGACCTTCCAATAAATTTGGTATGCACGAATCTGGCCCACAGTCTTCGAATGTCAACAGCAATCTCCAAAGAGATCGAAATTTATCCCAGGATGTTCAGGCATTCTCCACCAATGAACTAAATTTATCACAGCAAGCTATACCTGTCCCGCCCGCAGAAATATTTCAGTCCCCTCGGCTGGGATATTTTAGACTAAATGCATTGGCTTTTCTCTCCCCATGCACTCTTTCAAGAGCATCTTTCCAGGACCTACCCCGACGCTCGAGTTTTGCAGAAAGAGGAAATATGAACCTTCCAGTAGCAGAATACGCAATCATGGCTGAAGCTGGCAAAGGTCGCCCCAGCCCTCCGACCATCAATACATCCGCCATCAAACATCGACCTTCTCCTCCTCAAGTCGAGCAAGGCGTGACGTCGCCGACAAGTACAGCACCGACTCCCAAGAAACTGCTGAAGACAACCCCTGCGCCGTACATTAAAATTCTGAAATCAATCTGGCCGACGCTATCTGGGACGGACCGCATCTTTTTCGTACTGGGATTCTTCTTCGCCTTCATCGTCGCTGCTGCCACACCTGCTTTCGCGTATGTTTTCGCAAGACTGCTGGGAATCTACTATCTTGAAAGCGATCGGGTCTCTCAAGCCAAGTTATGGGCTCTTGCACTGGTTGGTATCTCCATTGTTGACGGAGTGGCCACCTTCTGCACGCACTATGTTCTTGAACATAGCGGACAAGCATGGGTGAATTCCTTGCGTGTCGAAGCCTTCAAGAGAATTCTTGCTCAGCCTCGCTCCTGGTTTGAGATAGAGGAAAACTCCGCAGCTAGACTCAGCGAATGTCTCGACAGAAATGCCGAAGAGATGCGGAACCTTGTGGGTCGATTTGCTGGACCTATCTTCACCACCATCTGGATGCTCGGTATATCGATTGTCTGGGCTTTCCTGATCTCCGGGAAGCTGTCTCTCGTCGCTATGGGATGCGTACCAGTGGTTTGGGCTACAACGAGCCTCTTCTCTCACATCAGCAGCAAATGGGAGGAGAGATGCAACGTCTTGGCCGCCCAAACCGGCGACGTATTCACTGAGACCTTTTCAAACATCCGGGTCCTGCGTGCCTTCACTCTTGAATCCTACTTTAAGCGGAAACACATGGCATCCACCACCAGAACCTACAAGACCGGACTATCCCATGCTCTCTATTCTGGGGTTGCCTTCGGATTAGGCGACGCGATCTCCTTCTTCATCACAGCGACCATCTTCTACTACGGCACCGTAATAACCACCCGTGGCGCCCTCCCTGTCTCCGCGGTACTCAAAGTCGTCAACCTCCTCCTCTTCGGCCTCGCGAACAGCATGTCGATCCTCTCCCTCATCCCACAACTTTCCTCGTCCCGCGCAACAGCAACCCACATGCTCTATCTCGCCAACCTACCTCTCCATTCCCACGAGTCCCTCGGAACCCATCGCTTAACGACGCCCTTCCCAATCCACTTCAACAATCTTTCCTTCACCTACCCCTCGCGCCCACGCCAACGCACCTCTCCTCCATAACACTAACCCTCACACCCGGCTCTAGGACCGCGCTCGTCGGGCCATCCGGTAGTGGGAAAAGCACCCTCGGTTCCCTGATCCTCGCCCTCTACCCACCAGACCCCGTCGCACCACATCACCCCGCACCTTTAACATTCGCCGGCATCCCCGTCACTTCATGTAACATCTCCAGCCTACGAAGCCACATCGCCATCGTGCCTCAATCACCAACCCTCTTCCCAGCCACCATCCTAGAAAACATAATTTACGGTCTGCCCGAAGGCTCACCGCTTGCGAATCTCAACGCCGCGACGCTTGCAGCGAGAGATGCGGGGATCGATGAGTTTGTTTCGAGTTTGCCAAATGGTTATCAGACTCTTGTAGGGGACGGCGGCCAGGGACTTTCCGGAGGCCAGACGCAGAGGATCGCTATTGCTCGCGCTCTTGTTCGTCGTCCCAAGGTTCTCATTCTTGACGAAGCAACGTCGGCGCCTGATGCTATATCAGCCGGGATGGTAAGGGAAACGATTAGCAAACTGGTGGAACGGGGACAGGAGAGTGGTGAAGGGGGGGGTGGCGGTCCTTGTTATTGCGCATGGGGTGGAGATGATGCGGATTTGTGAACGGATTGTTGTGCTTGAGGGTGGACAGATTACCGAAGTTGGGAGTTTCGATGAACTGAAGTGGAGAGGAGGGGCGTTTGCGAGGTTGATTGGGGGATTAGGGGTGGTGGGAGAGTAAAGGGGAAAGAAAAGCAGGTGAAAAGTTCGATTGAGTCGAGGAATAGGAAGTCGAGGATGACAAGAAAATTAAGCATTTGAGGCTCCGATGAGTCCGCAATAATGTTGTAAAGTGTTAGCTGAGTTTCATGATAGATTCTTGCGAAAGGAAATAGAACTTCTCCTGTAGTAACGATCCTTGATCTGTGCATGCGGACTTTCTGAGCTCCTTTTGCGCAGATTCTGGAGTTACATTCATTTTCATTTCCACATTAACATTAAATATACACCTCTATTGTGTACAAACCTTGATCCTGGTCGTGGCTCTAGTTCGCCCTTTTGATATATCTAGTGCTGCGCAATCTCCACTGGGAAGTAGTTTTAACTCCATTTTTCTCTCTTTACCTACCTGTAGAACAAGCACTGGCTCGAATTTAATCCTGTATAAACGCCAATTTCTTGGCCCACTCCCCTAACTTCTCAACTATCCTCGGCTCATCACTCTCAGCAAAAGCAATCTGCTCCTCTGTCAAGCCCCCCCCAACGCTTCATGGCATCAATGGCCTCCTGTTCCCTTGGAACAAGGCAATACAAATCGGGCATATACTGGACCTCGATCTTGTGCCTCAACTTCCTCATCTCAATATCGAATCCTTTCCCATTGAACTCTTCCAACGAATCCTTATCACACTGCTTCTGCTCAACCCAAGGAAAGCCAAAATACCCATACCTGCAATCTTTCAAGATATCCCCTCTAGGCCACCCATAGTTCCAGTACAGGTCCGAGACCCAACTTTCCCAACGCGGAGGGCTCAGCTCAGGAGTATACGTCTCATCCATCCGCACCGAGCCAGGAATATAGCCGTGATCCAGCGTCACAGTGCGCACAATCAAATCTTTAGAAAGTCATTCCCTAACCGAGCAAAGACTTCGGTTCCATAATATTTGGTACCGATTCTGTACTCCTCTGGCATTTTCTCCCAGTTTTGATTCAGGATCAAAGGATCACTGTTACCGGGACCCTGCGTATCAAGCACCACTATCCTCCCATCTGCCGTATCAAGCACAATGCTGAGCCCGTATTTCCGCCCAGGTATGACAGAGAGAGGAGCCGCAGACTGAGGGATTGCGTCGTACTCGATCATAGCGTCATAGAATGAGAAGGCAGGCGAGGGACCGATATAATACCTCTGAATCGGGTCTCGGGATCTTAACGGGTGTGTTTCGTTCCTGTAATCTAAGAAATGTCGCGTCTCTGGGCCATCCATCCCGAATACCAATCTTCGTGTTTTGTATTTACCGGTTGCAAAGGGTGCCCTACCTCTCGCCCTATAAAAAGCCCGCCCCCACGGCAGTGGCCCCCGGAGGGCCAGCGGAGCGTCATACAGGCATTTGGCATCTGTTCTCGCTCCCCTGTTCAAGCTTACAAATGGTCCCTGTCGGAACTGATTTGGATTCCCTCCGTGACCGGGTTAAGGTTACCCGGGAAGGTTAGCCTAGTACTTAACTGCGATGTCCGCCAGAGTTCTCAGTATCAATATTGTGCTGGGTGCGTGAACTGGCAATACTTGTTGGAAGTTTATTATAATATAAGACAAAGGTTTCTTTTATATAGTGCAGATAAATGGCATATATACGGCGTTTTGGCATATATAGTTCTTGGAGCATTTGATAATGGAGTCAAATATTTATTAATACTTCCCATTGTCAATATGAACATGACCTTACCCGTTATGCCCTAGTGTGTAAATGGGTATTGGATTTCCGGCCTTTAGCTCTCCTCCGGTGGAAATTTTCGGGTTGGAATGTGATTGGAATTTGAATTAAGAGACAGATTGGGAGACGAGAGGATGATAAAAGAGCAATGGTTAGTCACGACAGGGAAGGCAGAATTTGTGCAGATACGCTGCATTGTCACAATTTAATAGTTTTAGCATTTGTAGGTGCTGCCCATTAAAAGGTAGTCCGGAAGTCGATTCCGCCGACAAATCATCTAAGACTATCACCAAGGATAGAGCCTGAGGATTTTCCCCCTTATTCTAATGCTTGCCGCTCCCCAATTTTCGTTTGCCCACGATCTTTCAACTTTTGACAGAACTTGATATCCTGGTTAGAAAGCATAGTTTTGTTTTAATCATCTGTAAAGCATTATTTGGGTAGAGTTTCTCTCTAATATCAATTACTTACTAGATGTCTGTTGCTGCTGTTAACCTTATCGTGAATGAGATTTAAAATCCGGAGGTCCGCTGCAGTTATCTCACTTGTAGAGCCATGCGTTCCTTCGACTCCTGCACTAGGCGTTTTTGTAGATGTAAACTGAGCTGCGGTTTCTGTCGCTAGAAGAGTTTTATCAACGATCTCATCGGCATTATCCTCTGCTCTTGGGCTGGAAAAGTTAATGCCAGAGTATCGATTGAAATGAATTTCAAGTTTCAGGCATCGAACTCTTTGGCTTCATGTCTAGGTATTATAGCAGTTTTGACTGTTACCTGGCTCCATGAGCGGCAGGCTGTATTAAACACCTGCTTTGTCAGGTCGTGGCGGCTTAGCGATGGTTGTACAACCTGGAGTCTGCCTTTTAAAGTTCTATTTAGCACTCACGACGGCTACCTGCAGTATTGTCTCTAGACTAAAGTAAGGATCCATCGAGAACATGAGGGTAAATGCGAGGCTTCGCCATGTGGTTGGCATAAGTTGCTTTTCACGGAAGAAGCTTTTGGCATGGATTCTGCTCAAGGAAAATGGATACAGAAACTGTAACCAACTATAATGCCAATTTCCAGCTGCGAGGAGATACCCCGAAACCCTACGTTCTTCTTAAAAGGGTAACTTCGAGCACGACTCTATGTGGACTCCCTTTATCTATAGACATGCACCCTGCTAGGTATGTAAATGGCAGCGTGAGGAGAAAACCATGCTTCTAGTCCCCTTGCTGCCACAATAGATGGACCTGATTTCCGTTTTTTATCGTAAAGCTTCATAGAGCACACTCTCTTCACAATACACACTCTCGTCACAGAACATACACTCTGATAGAAATCTATCTATATACTTACTCTCTAATAGCTCGCACGAACATAAGAATAAGTCTGCATTGTTGGGAGGAAGTTGACCCCTATGACCCTTATTTGCTCGCTTCAGCCGAGCACGTGGTCATTAAGCGAGTTCTACTCGACGCACCACTGCCAGAACTTTTCAGCAACCTCGGTTCCCCACCAGAAGCCAAACTTCAAAAGGCCAACCTTCAACCTCAACCATTCGTCGAAGACTCGGTTTCAGAGCCCATTCTAATAGCTATTGATACCCTGCGATGACTTTGTTTTGGAAAGGACCGCGTGGCACGGGCAATGAGATACCATGGGAATAGCACGTCAATAGCATGGTGGTGAGATGGCAATTCCGGAAAAGCTACGCCTCATAAGGTTGTCCTGTGGCAGAGTGGCGTCTCGAGGTTTGTCTCTCCGCCGTCGTAGCAGGTTGGCTGGCGCACCGATCAGATTTGGAATAATCCGCTCATTTCCCACAGGCGAAAGAAATCGATAGGTGCAAAACTGGAATATATCAAATCAAATCCTTGGAGATCGATGGGAAAGGGGAAAGCTCTAGGGCGTACGTCAGCCGAAGCCGGCTGGCATGCTACCGTGATTGGCGTCGGGTGGTTTAGTCGTTTTCCCACGGGACCTTTATTCTGGGGCTCGGTAAGAGAGCGAATGGTGGTGGAAATCGAAATCTTTTATAATCTCCGGAAGGTGTGTGTTTTGGAATGTTTAGGGTCGGGAGCCGTTAAAAACACAAATAATGAGACGGCGTATAAAGTTGTCCCAGGAACCCCAACGAATTTTTTTGGGCTTCTTCTGCAACAGGAAACACAAGAGAGTTACTTTTCATTCCATACACACAAAAACAATTCTCTTTCACAATGAAGTTCTCGAAGACATTCGGAGTTGCTGCTGCTCTCCTTGGCCTGGCCAATGCTCAGAACATTCCATCCAAGGTCACTATCCTGACCCCGAAACCTGGTGCTGAGGTCGGTGTCAATGGCTTGGGATGGATGATCGACGTTGTTGCTGAGTTCTCTGCACCTCCGACTACTTCATCTGCGGCCTCTGCCCCTTCGGCCGCCTCGAGCCCAAGCACCGCATCACCTGGTTACCGACGATCCACCGCCAACCCAGACGATGGCTTCACCCCATTCCTCAATTCTCCAAACCTCACCACGTTTGCCGCAGGCCCTGACCCGGGTGCCCCGGGTTTCGTCTGCTTGATCAGCGGTTCAACCATGAACTTTGCTGGTTTCTTCGAGTTGAATGCCATCACCAACTCTGACGCCCAGGGTAACATTTTGGAGGCTTACTTCACATGGTATATCCCAGTCACTGGCCTTGGATCCAACGTCAACATTACCACTTCCGTCTTTTTCTTGAACTCAGCTGCTGGCGCTACGTACACCAAAAACCCAGCGACTGACCCCGCTGTCATCTCCAACATTGCGACTGTTAGCTTTTTCATTTTCGGTGACGCTGCTTCCAACATCACTGCCCCTGCAACCACGGCCACCCCAGTAACCATTGACGTATTTACTCCACGGGGCGGTGAAGTTGTCGGTGTCAATGGTGCTGGGTGGATGGTTGACCTGCTCCTTATCAACACGGACCTCAGCGCCAACGTCTTCGCTCCAATCAATGGCTACACGCCACTCTATCACGACAACTTCACTGATCCAAAGTTCGCCCCAGGTGTTAGCAAGGCTGTTCCAGGATTGGTCGTCTTGTCCAACACTTCGACTCTTGCTGGAGGTGCAAGCACCAACCTTGCCAACTTATTCCAGATCAACGCCGTCACTAGTGTTGTGAACGGTGTTATCAGCGAGTACTGGTGCACCTGGTTGGTTGGCGCTGCCTTTGCCGGTAAAGGCCAGCCTTCCAGTCTGACCATCTTCCTTGTCAACGGAACTGCCCCAGCCACCATCAACGGATCCCTGCCAACCAACATCATCTCTAATGTTGTCAGTCAAAACTTTACTTTGTCCGGTGGTGCTGTCACTCCAGCAACTACCGCCTCTGGTTCCGGCGCTGCTGCCTCTCCCACCTCTGGTGCCGATGTTCTGTCCGTTGGTGCTGGTTCAATCCTTTTAGGTGCTCTTGCTCTCCTGCTCTAAGCGTTTTGTCAAAGAAGTAGCAATCAACCACGTTTTTGTTCCTTTTTATTACCTAGATTTTGATGACTTTTATAATAAGCTGTTAAGCCCGAAAAGCAGTAGGCTGGCAATGGAAAATTAGTAAATATACTGCACTCGTCAAGACTTGTTACTACTCTCCGAGCAATAGTTAATTATATGTCTGGTGTTACTAGAAAATTCACCCACGGCTAAATATTCAGGCTCCTGCTTATTCCTTGGTATTAAGCTCTCTTATGACCGCCTCTCAACTGCGAATAACTGGACCAAATACTTTTCATCAATACGGGGTACAGTACATTATATTCATCCCTACGATCGTTTCTTACTGTGTGCCGTAGCTCCACTCTCCCCATGTTCCCCGCCTTGACAGCTTTCTCTACACATTCTACAAGCAACAGAGTACACAAAGCTTGAGCAAATCCAGAAGCACAACTCAAGAGAGTAGAGAAAACCGGGTATAGATAATAAAAGACCAGGGAAAGCAAGCACGCCATGCCGCAAACAAACAAGGTGAACCAGAACCAGAATGAGACCGAACGCCAAGCACTCTCGTCCTTAATAGTAGCAAAGCCGCCAGGTGAATAGAGAGTATGGTGAATGAGCCTTGAGATAGAGCTTTGATAAACCCAGAATCTTGCGTTGTTGATTTAATGGAGATAATGGCTATTGCTCCTTTAGATAGTACGAAGGTGGAAAATACTACCAGGACGGTACTTTTGTGGACTGCGAAAGCGAGGGCGCTGTTCAATTTAGCAGGAGTCATTTTTTGTGAGGGTGGTGGGGTCACTTATTAGTCGCTAGAAGGGTTCACTGGCCAACCGCACTCCCACTCAACCGCCCAAAATCGCTACTTCCCAAAAATCATAATTCAACAATCACATAATATTCTACTATCAAATCAACTGTTTTCTGAAGCTTTTTTAGCCCCTAAATATGTCTATAAAGAAAATTACTATGCCAAATTCGCGGACTATCCTAACGGGCTCTTAGAGAGGTGCGATTACAGATGGCCATGACGATTCTCTCGATTATAAGAAGACCAAATTCATTCGAAAATGCACGAGAGAGCATGGAATTGCATACGGAACCCTTCGAGATCGAATTAATGGAGCAAAACCAAAGGCACAAGATGCAGAGTCAAGATAGCGTTTATTAGCAAGGCAAGAAGTGGCCATTAAGCGGCATATTCGAAAATTGGAAGTATAGGGCTGGCTACCAATTGTTTATCAGGTTCGAAAGATGGCAATTGAATCTAAGGGTATAAGGAGAAGATCTAGAAGAGAACCCTCTTAGAACGAATTGGTATCGAGAGTTTCTAAACCGCTACCCTGATCTCAAAACTCGAATTATACCACCATTCATCTTGCAGAGGCTTTGGCTAATTAGAAGGAGGCATAAGGTTTACTGTATAATAGCGAATTCGATTAATATATAAGCTTTTACATCGAAAAATCGAATTGCACCTAAATTGCAATTGAACATTTATGTAATAAGCGATTCTTTTGTCCCAAGAATTAGGTACTTAAATTTAGGCCTGTTACCCCACTAAACGCAAGTCACCAATTTTACTCCAAAGAAAATTCATGAGAAAAGTTATTATAATAATGCAAAAAACCTCCTAATATACTCTCCTATATTAAGCTATATATTATTAAAGAATTCAGGACGTTATAAAATATTTAATTAGATGCATAGTATGAGGTGTTTGTTGGTAGGCAATAAGACAATAGAATGAATCAGTGTATTATGAAACCACAGTATTAAATTCAGTACAGAACTAATCTCTGTCCCTCCTGTGAGGTCCAGGGAAGCCCCCTCTAAATAGGAGGCCCCGATAGTATATATATAATTAGTGATTTATAAGCCTAATGCATATGATATAAATAGTGGTTAGTTGGGATATCAAAGGGCTGCCGAACTCCCTGATTAACACCCGCGATATCCGAGGTTCGTTACATGCCCTTAAGTCACGTACGACCCTGTATATATTATAACTATGCCTCCCTCCTAGGATCTTGTCCCCAAGATCCATTAATCTATCCTGGTAAACATTTAATTAATTATTTATTTAATTAACGTAAACTTCCAGTATCTTGGGAGGTGATTTTACTAATATAATCTGGATAATGGATATAAAAATCGTCTAATCAGATCGGGGCTAAGTAAGTAAGAAGAAAGGGTAATTATATCCCAGGTATAGGGGCTAGCCGGTAATTGCGATTTCGTTTAGGATCTGAGTATTCTAATTAGCTCGATCCAAAGTACTAAGGCACTACCCTATAAAATCAATGCCACCTATTAGATCTCGTATCAGAATAATCTGAATAGCTATATAGAAAGTATTTAATAAATATTTATATAAGAAACCCATACGAATATTTCTGAGATCCTGAAGATTATTTACGGGCTCCTGGAAGCATGTATTAATTAGTTATACTAGTTTCTAATTAGGACTAGTGCGAAAACTAGTAATTAATCCAGGTAGTTCTTTACCTCTATAAAAGAACCTTTTCGTATTACTATATACTCTCTTCCTTTCTAATAACTATATATATAACTTTTTCTATTATTATCTTCTAGCCTTTTCTTTTACCTTTCTCCAAGTCTTCTTTAATTATTTTTAATTAATTCTATAATATCTTCTTCTAGCTTTATTATCTATTCCCGTAATAATAAGTATAAAGGTAATCTTATAGCCTCCTTTCCTATTACTAGCAAATACTTGAAATATTTCAAGTATTTACTTATTAATTCCTTTACCTTATATACCATAGTACCTAGTAAGAAGAATTACGACCGTTATAATAAGGGTTCTAAGTCTTATATATTAGTAAGTTCTTTAGCTTTAATATTTATTAAAGCTAATATGATTTTAGATTTCTTACTACTTATTAGAGGCTTGCCGGTCCTGGGAAGATATTATTATAATCTTTAAGAAATTTCTTAAAGTATATCCTAAATAGTATTATACTAACGAGAATAATACTATTAATTAGGTTTTCAAAGACTAGAAGAATACTAATAAGCTTCGGAATTCTTCTTCCTGTCTTAATAAGGCAGATAATAATACTACTTAGATTAGTATCCCAAAAATAAGTTTTTTCTAATATACTTAGGTACTTGCTAATTTCTTAAAGAAATACCATAATATCTATCTTTAAGATATTAACCTTATTACTAAGCTTACTACCGAGATTATTAAGTAATCTACTACTAGTACTTTAAGCACTAATAATATAATACTTATGGCTATTTGGGACCTGACTTTAGAAGTTCGGGCTTTCCATAAGGCATATATAGCAGTTATAAGTTCCTTACTTACTTCTCTTAATATCCTTAATACTAATATTATTATAGTATAACTATATCCTATTAAGAAATAAGCGGATTCCGGAAAGTATTAGCTAATTCTTTACCAAGTCCTAAATAGGGCTAATATTTAGTATTCTTGCTTTGGAAATTAGGAATTTATAAGAATTAGAATTTATTTATTTAAGATACCCGTAGCTAGTCTATCTATAATAAACCTTTCTTAATCCTAAACCCTTTTTCTAATAATTTAAATATAATTCTCGTAAGCCTTAATAAAACCCTAGAAAACCTTTATAGGTAAAAAACCCAGGGAAAGAGTATCTCTATTACTATTCCGGGCCTTTTCTTGGCTATTTAGGTCCTCTTTTTCTTTTAAATAGCCTTTTTCTTAGTAGTCCAGAATTCTTTTTAATCTTAAGAGATTATTAAAAGGTAATTTCGGATTCTAAGCTATGGTTTTAGTTATATAATTTTAGAAGTTTCTTGGAATTTTCAAGGTTAGGGAAAGCAAGTAATCAGGTATTATAATCTTTAGGCCAGGCTTTCTATTTAATTAAATACTATTACTTCTTGCTTCTATTATCTTATTAGTAATTAATAATGGCTTCTACTTTTTATTCTTGTTTTTTATTATTATTTACTAATTCCGGAAGTTCTCCGGAGAAATATAGGTATAGCTTCTAATTCTTTTTTACTATATACTTTTTAAAAAAAGAAATATAGAAAGTTAGATATAAATAATTATATATACTTAGTAGTTCTAACTTATATACTAAATTACTAATATATTTAAGAATCCTAAATAGACCTATAAATTTTGGCTTAAGCTTTCCTGCCTTAAGTTTAATATTCCTTATTAATAGTATTACCCAGGCTTCTTTAAAGTAATATTTAGCTAACTAGTATCTATTATAGTAGGTTTCCCGGTTATTTTATATATAATACTATAAATCCTTAAGCTTTCTTTACTTTACTTTAAGGGTTTCTAGCCTCTTATATATAGCTAGTACCTTTCCTATAATTCTATTCTTAGAATTTCATAGAAATTAAGGGTAATATCCGTAATATATATAGAAAGATATATCTTATAAAACCTAATATTTTAAATTATTATATATAAATTCCGTAAAAGATAACTTCTTAAACTAGTTATTTTTTTGGGTATTATAATAATATCTCAGGTAGTATTTCAGGGCCTAGTTCTGCCTTTTTATCTAATTATTTATCTGAGAATAATAAGCTATATTTAAATACTATTTATATATTAAGTAAAAGCAGAAAGCAGACCAGAACTAGCTAGTAAATACTATTCCTTAGTCAGAAATAATTCTATTAGGGAAGCTAAAGATCGAGAAAACATATTTCTATATAATCTTAGTAAGCTCCAGAGAATTAATAATCTTATAGCATATAATATACCTTGCTATTTTAGAGTACCGGTTAATAATTATAAGAATTATATTAAAATTAGGACCTTTTACCGGGTTCTTATATAGTAGCAGACCTATAATAAAATCTATAGAGATCTTATTCCAGGGTCTCTTAGGCTATAGTAAACTACTAAGCAAACTATATAGTAAATACCTCTTTGTCTTAACTTTCTAGTAAATATTATATTCTTAATAATAATTACAAATATCTTCTTCTATATTCTCCTAATACTAGGACCTTCTAAGAAGCTCGAGAGTCTTCTTTACTTTATAGTATCTAGCTATTAGGTTATTATAATAAAGCTTTATAACTTCTTAATATAAAGCGGGATTATTAGGTATAATAATTCTTGAATAGTACCTGAGTAGGCCCGAATTATTTTTCCAGATTTCTTTTCCCTTAATATCTTTCTTACTAAGCCTCTATTTTATAATATTCTAATATTGAGAATTATTTCTCTGAGCTATCTAGATAATATCTAGAAGGAATTCAGATAAAAGGGCTAATACTATAGCTCTTTTAGTAGCTATATATATCTATATATAAGGAATTAGGTATTTATAACTATCTAATTCAAAAACTCGGGAAATTAAGAAATCTTTAGTTCTATTAAGTAATACGGTTATAAATACCCTTATTACCTTAGCTATAGTAATAAAGCCTTTAAGGTATCTCTCTATACCTTACTTCTTAACTAATTTTATAGTTAAGGAATCTATAAGATAATCTATTTACTTGTCTTATAATAAATATTTTTTCTTGGCTACTACGGATATGGCAAGTATTAAATAATACCTATTTCAAAGAGGGAACTCTTTAGATATTTATAAGAACCTCTAAATTATAACTATAAAAGCTCTCTTTAACTTGTTCTAAAAAGTCAGAAGCCAAGTTATATTAATAGAACCTTTTTTATAATTAGGTCTTTTACTAGGTCCGTTTACTAGATTTGAGGTACCTCTATAATAAATAATATTAAAATCATATATTATAAGATATATTATCTAATATGCTTAATAGCTCTCTAGATACTTTATTTCTATAAAGTATTAGAGATTATTATAGTCTATAATAATCTCAATTATAAACCTGGACCCTTTAAGGTAATAGTACTAATACTTAAAGGCTTTAATAATTATAAGTAGCTCCCTATTATAGGTACTATAGTTATATTCGGTTCCGGAAAGTTTCCGGGATCAGAATACTACTAGATACTAGTATTTTTTTGGGCTATTACTAGGATTAACTTATTATAAAATAGTACTAGTAATTACGAATTTTAATATATTAGTTTTAATACGAATTTTCTTAGAAGGATTAAAATAGACTAGGACAGGTATTATAATAAAAGCTTTTTTTAAAGTCTTAAAGCTTTTAGCCGCTTTATCTATTTATATAAAGGGACCGGATTTCCGGCCCTTTTCTATTTCTTTTAAGAGATCTATTAAGCCTATAATTACCTGAAAGTAATAATAGATAAACCTATAATAGAAATTAGTAAATCCAAGAAATACTTGGATATTATAGAATAATTCTGGTTCTAGCTATTTAATAATATTACGGACCTGTTTAGGATCCGTATAAATATCTTCTATTCTAATAAGGAAACCCAAAAATTCGACTTTCTTAATATTAAACTTGTATTTACTAAGTTTATAAAATAGGTTATTTTTACGTAGCCTAGTAAGTACCTAGCAAATATAATTATAGTATTTATTCTTATTTCGGGAGTAAATAAGGATATTATCTAAATAAATAACTATGAAATAATCCAGGAGCCCTATAAGTATAGTATTAATATATGCTTAAAATATGGCTAGTATATTAGCTAGCCTAAAAGATATTATAAGATATTTAAAATAGCTATAGCAGGTCCTAAAAGCCGTTTTCTACTCGTATCTTTTACGAATTCTTACCCGATAATATATATTCTTAAGATCTAGCTTTATAAAGATCTTGGCTTCTCGGAGCCGGTTAAGGGTCTTATTAATAAGAGAAAGCGGATACTAATTCTTAATTATAACTTGGTTAAGTCTATAATAATTAATATAAAGGTATAGTTCTCTATTCTTCTTAGGAATAAAAAGAATAGGCGCCCCTACTAGGCTTTTACTAGGCCTTATCTAATGTTTATAAAGCATATCCTATAAATATAGATATAATATTTCTAGTTAGGTCTCTAATAGATTATATAAAGGCCTATACGGGACCATACTATTTATATTAATAGAGTATTTAATACTACTAAGATTAGGAAGTTCTAAAGCTTTATTAGGGTTAAAAACCTCTGAGAAGTCTTTATATTTATTATCCCGGAGATAAATAGGTATTTCTAAGGCCCTTTTCCGGAAGGTATTAATTTACTATATTAAAAACTCCTATTTAGTATTACTAGAATTATATAATAAAGTAGAGATCTAGTAACTATTACAAATATATAAAGCCTACTATCTAGGATAGTTATATTTGCCTTTAGTTAAGAATAAGACTTGAGGTACTAGCTTAGGGTATTAGTTAAGCTTCTTACTAAATTCTTTTGGTATTAGAATCTCAATATTATTAGGCTATATAGGTATATATACCTATTATTTCTTAATATAGTTTATATATTATATAAGAGTTACTTTATAAAATTCCATACCAAAAATAAGGCTATAAGAGCTAATATTCTTATACCTATAGAACCGGAGCTTAAAAGAATATATCTTACTATAATTATCTATAATAAATACCTTAAGATTATAGGCTTAATAGATCTTGAATCTATTTCTATAAAAGGTTATAAACTCTTGGTTATACTTAGCTAAGGTAATAAAGCCCCGGCTTTAAGTCTAATTATTATTAAGGAAGTTATAGTCTGACCCGGTATTACCGAGTCTACTATATATCTCTAAGGCACCTACTTCTGGCTATATTAATCTTGCTTAAATAGTTATATAAAGTAATATGCCTTTTTTATTATAGCCAAAATTATTAATATTCAAGATTTGGCCTTCCCTTTTCCCTATTTCTTAGGAGGGTCTTCTCTAGAGCGCTTCTCTATAGTAATGGCATTAACCTGCTTCTATAGACGCCTTAATTCTTTTATGGTTTTGGCCTTATTAGAGTTCTGCCAAGCCTACTCAATATACTTAAAATACTTTATATTTCCTAAGAAGTATTCTTTCTATTTATAAGTCTAATAAACCATACCTAAAGTGGAACTAGTACTCTATTAAGGCCTTAAAGGAGCCAAAGCACTACCTAAGAATTTCTTACGTAATTTTCGGAACTTATTCTTCCTTTTTTAATAGCCTTACAAATCAGAATTTGCTAAGTCAGAGTTCTTGGGGGCAGAATTATCCTTACTAGACTTCCCCGCCTTTGCTCTTCTTAATTTAGGGTAAGTAGTATATTCTGCTTTTTGAGCTTTCTCAAGCTACTCGGAAATAGATACTGCCTTATCTCCTAAGAGAATAGATATAAGTATCTAATAAGTCTTATAGTTAGATAAAGCAGTATCGAGAATCCGGATCCGGTCTCTCTTAGGGCATAGATCCTGGTTAACTTCAAGACTAATTATCCGAGTATATAACTCAGTAACTATCTTACTATCTTTCTAATAAAGATCTCGGAGTTTCTTAAAAGTATCTTATTAACGGGTTTAAGGTACTTGGAATATATTAGCTAAGTAGGCCTTAAATCACTCCTAATAGACCTTATATAATAGTGGGCTTTGCTTTATTATAGCCTCCTAAGTATTATAAGGTTCGTCCCTAAGAGTACTTATAGTAGAGTTAACTCTAGAAAAGTATCTATTATAAGTCCAAGGCTAGGTCCTAAAGACTGCTTTCCAGAAAAATACGAATATCCTCTATTTCTTAAGGGACTTTCTATAATATAAGTCAGGCGTCCGGACCTTGAGAAGCTTCTCTCGGTCCAAATATATCTTTAGGATATTATATAGTAGCTCCTAACGGATAGTATCGAGATTACTCTCAAAGCTTATTATATTAGGAAAGGGAATAGGTTCTAACCCTATTTCAGGAAGTTCCCTAGTAGGAATTACTAAGGAAAAGGGAGTAAACTTATAAATAGAGTTTCTACGAGATATAGTAAACCATAAGGTATCCCTGAGAGTATCCTTATATTACTCTAACTATAGGATATACTAGTTAATTATATCTACTAATTCTTGCTTTTATTAGAGCGCTTCGACTTTAGTACGCAAGCCCTATTCCGTAGCTTGGGCGGCAGCGACTCGGGTATTAATCTCGGTATCTTGATTATTACCGGGATTATTTCCGTCATTATTACTAGCTCTCGGAGACTCCTGAGGGGCCCCGTTAAAAGTATTAGACGAGCCTTCGCCGTTACCCATATCGGGGTTAATCTGGTCGACTTCCTCTATAGGAATAGCTTCGGCGAGAGGTCATATATTTCGCAGATTTCGAGACATGATTACTTATCGAACTACCTCCTTTAAGGGTAGAGAGATTAGCTTATGAGGTATTTATTAGTAGGCAATAAGATAATAGAATGAATTAGTATATTATGAAACCACAGTATTAAATTCAGTACAGAACTAATCTCTGTCTCTCCTATAAGGTCCAGGGAAGCCCCCTCTAAATAGGAGGCCCCGATGGCATACATATAATTAGTGATTTATAAGCCTAATACATATGATATAAACAGTGGTTAGTTAGGATATCGAAGGGCTGCCGAACTCCCTGATCGACACCCGCAATATCCGAGGTTCGTCACATGCCCTTAAGTCACGTGCGACCCTGCACACATCACACATAGGACTTAGTGAGGGGTGGTGGTAGTAATAGCGGGGTAAAAATCAGTAGGAAAATGCCAAAACACTACTAAATAAATAATTTTAGCAACATCACATAGTTTTAAAGTAATATATATCTTTTAGGGGGTCGAGAATACTCTAAAGTATTATTAGTATTTAATAAGAATTATAATTTTTATTAAGACGTTAATTAAATATTAAGATTTTTTGGTTGGGCGGTTGGGCGGTTGGGCGGTTGAGTGGTTTGGGCGGTTGGCCAGTGAACCCTTCTAGTTCTAAAGACACAGAGTTATGATACCAGGCTCGTGTAGCCGCACTGAGACTCCCAACGCCTGCTCTTGACCTTAATCCTCTCCAGAACCAACCAACAACGTTTCTCTAATGATGTAAAGAGACGCCGAAATGCATGTTTCCAAACTCCACGAGAACATGCGGTCTGGCAAGCCATGCAAGCGATGTGTGGCTATGACCTCCACCCTTGATGGTCTTCGGCAGCTGGCTTCGGCAGATGGCTACGGACACTTCGATGTTGCAGATTTGCACCGGTCTGCCACCAATGGTTGCTCATGTTGCTCTCTGTTATATGGACTCTATATCCACCATGTGGAACCCTCCGATTCCAAATTGGATGCCCCTCAAGGAACTGGTTACTGGAAATTACGCTCTACCAATCAATTAGGGGTCAAGGAATCTAGAGATCGATATGAAAACCTCGACTACCACTTTATCCGTGATGAGAAAAGGTACTTCCCATCTTCATACACTCTATTGAGTGTTCGGACTTCTCCAGGTACATTGCCATTCGATTCGAACACTATTATAGGACATGCTGATGGAGAGAGCATTAAAGGAGACCCGGCTGAGAGGTTCATCGATGCTGCAAATTTTAGGGCACCCCTCAGAGCTACAGAATTCGAGAACCAGATTCGAGATCAGTTGAACGCATGCAATCACAGTCATGAAAAATGTCCAAAGAGAGAGAAGACCGAGCTCCCAGCTCGTGTGATAGATGTCCTTCCCAGTACACCAAGACTGTACCTGAGCAGGCCTAATGACCGCGCCGAATATGTCACCTTAAGTTATTGCTGGGGAGGCCCACAGGATCTCACAACAAGTACAGCTACACTTAACGACAGAAAATCAGCGATTCCGATATCCCTCCTACCTCCTGGCTTGCAAGACGCCATCTCAATAACACGTCTTCTAGGGTTTCAGTACCTCTGGGTCGACGCATTGTGCATTCTTCAAGACAGCATAGAAGACAAGGCAGCAGAGATCGCAAAGATGGCCGCAATCTACCGGAACGCATCAATGACAATTGCTGCGGCAAATACTTCATCTGTTAAAGACAGCTTCCTCCGAGACATCGTATTACCAGCAACTTGCCAACTTCCTTTCTTGAACCCAGATGGATCACCAGGCACGATCTCCCTAGGTGCCAGTGATATAGCACCTCGAGACCTTGAGCCCCTCAGCACTCGCGCCTGGACCCTCCAAGAATCCCTCCTATCCCCCCGAGTCCTCTACTTCGGAAACCGTGACGTGACCTGGAAGTGTCTCTCCGAAATGACCAATATCACAAAGGTCAACGCAGACTACGACGAGTTCAACACCTACGAGTACCGACGCCACCCTCCTTTCCTAGATAATTTCCTCTTCCCGGACGCGGAGATGTTCTCCAAAACCACGACACGAGATACCTCGGACCGGTTCATGGAGCGCTCAAAGGGGGGCTTGACACAGTACGGGGTGTGGACTTACATTATGGAAGACTACAGCCGCAGAAGCCTGTCAGTGCAAGCCGATCGTCTTCCCGCTCTGGCCGGTATTGCAGGCGAGCTTCAGAAGATGTGGCAGGATACACACATCGTTAGTATGTGGCGAAAATGCTTCCTGCAACACCTTGGCTGGAGAGCCTATGATGACCGCGGAGCAAAGCTAGCAACTGACTTCCAATCACCGACTTGGTTGTGGACTACTGCTGGGTTTCGAGTCCATGTGGAGCCGTATTTCAAGTTCGAATGTGCCCGAATCAGAGAAATTGATGTTCAACTCGCACCGCCAGATTCTTCTTTCGGAGAGATATTATCTGGTAAGATCATTCTCGAGGGAGAGGTTTCAACGCTCAAGGATATCGAAGAGCGTCAGACATCTTCTTGGGAACATGAGCACTGGGACATCCAAGAGTGCATTACATTGGATCGAGAACTGGGAGGTGAGGAAAACGAAGTCAGCTATGAGACTCGCTTCTTGCTCTTAGGGTGTTATTCGCAGCACCGCAGCCATGGCGTAGGCCTGATCTTAAAACCTTTTGGAGATGGAACTTGGAGACGGATCGGTTTAACGTATACACACGAGGATGATTTGAGCATGATGCCACTCATGTGGCCTAGAGATCGTTATCAACCTCAGGTAATCACAGTAGTTTAGGCTCTTCAGAGAATTTTGAATGGCAAGCTTCTGCTACGAACATTGTCGATTTCGGGGAGATAAACGCCGCCACCTGCGAGAGAGAGAAGCCAGACAAAAGTAGGAATTTCAGGTGAACCTCGGAATTCTTTTCCATTCTGTCGGATTATGCGGTTTCCAATATACATTACAGAGCGGCTCCTTGCTATCACAGTCTTTCTATTGTTGGTAATTTCCGAAAAGGTTGGATCGTCAAAAGCCCACTGCAGATATACCTCGAACAATCGAAGTCAGATGAATAAACGATGGATAACCACAATCAAATCTATGAATCGAATCCTAAAGTGGCCAAATCGAGGCTCAATATGCAACAGCAAGATGCAAGTTCATAGTCTCCCTCCTTCCAGATTCGCTATTGAGACTCATCCAAACTCCAGCAGGCGCTTCTACCAATCTTGCCAGGACTCAGGCCATTGTTATATTTAAGCTATTCTTCTTCGGTGCGTGGAATCAGCATCTGACTTTAACCAGCTGCAGTCTTCTCCCTACGTTGGGGGCAGAGATAAAATGAAAAGTCACGTGATAGAATCAGTTGACCACTGCAATAGAAGCATGACCCCGGATTATGGAAGCATAAGAAGATATGATCGACTGCGGTGGTAGAAAGAGTTGAGATGAAGATCAGTCGTGTGGCTGGCAAACTACTTATAGCTATTGTCCCAATTTATCCATTATTTATCAAACAGCCCCCAGTCCAACCTTGTGATTCTTGTATGCTTACCACTCAGAAGGAGCAGCAGCTCAGAAATTTCACCACTATAAACGATCGATGCGCTTTTTCGAATCGGGTTCCGTTGTCTTGCTGCTTATTACAAGTCTTCCCGATCATTCATACTCACAACCTTTTGTCCGCCTCTCACAGTTTGAGTGGCTATTGACGTAACGAAGCCTGTTGGGGATGGCTTTAACATTGAGGTCACTGTAGTTTGTGTATTTTGTGGTGGCTCTGTAGCTGGTAGGCAGGACGTGAGGTACATTGGTGTGAGAGTTTCCTGTTACCATTTGATTAGCAGTTGGCCAAAATCTCGAATTTAGAACTCACCGAACCAGACCAAAAATACGAACAAAACGAGTATCCCCAAATGTTCGACTCTACAGCCGTAGTTCTCTTGCAAGAAACATTTCCATTATATTGACATTCAGAAAAAAGCGAGTAAATTCTGGGCTGACAAGCACAAGATGTATATGATACGGCTGAGGTGGGTAGATATTTGTAGGAACATTCCGTTGTCTCGTGATCTGCACTTACGCAACTTTGATATAAACGGTTGCATGCATTGAAATCGTAGGTTGTGGTGAGTGTAGGTTCGGCGGGTGTAGTTATGGTTGTGGACAAACGGTCATCGCAGGCTGCGTGCCATCTTCGGACCTTGTCGTCGAATTGTGGATCGAACATGTGGGATTCGAGGCAGCGCATTACATCAGTTTTACAACTAAATAGAATAAATTAATTCTCATCGTATTTTCAAGTTTTTGGAAGTTTTCAACGTGTTCCCCTCTCATTTTAACTTGGGCCACAGGCGAGGCTGGCTGGGGGAAGTGAGTTTGCGCGCTTGACTTACTCGAAGTAGGAGGACAACATTTCCTGGGTACAATAGCAGTCCAATTTTTCCTCATTTGACGCTTTACCGTCGCATTCGTCCTCTTTTTCAGTCATTGCAATGCATCCTGACAGTTCCTTGAGATGGGAACTGGGAAGACACAGCTCAGCAGGTGGCACAAAGCCTCCCGCATTGGAGATCACAAAAAGGGTGGCGGAAACCAAGATGTAAACCAGGAGACTCATCATCCACTTTGAGTGTTGTTTATGATGGATGGATGATGTTGGGTTTATAGAGTGTGATCGAAGGCAGAAGTTGTTTTGCGAGCTAGCAGTCTTGAGTTAGGTGAGCGGGCGCTTAGAAGATCTTATCTGCCTGGTTTTGGAGTGCTATTGCTTCTTCCAGGCTGTGCTGCTTTTGCCAAGACGGCTCATCACAACTTATGGTGACAAAGGCACAACCAGTGAGACATGTCCAGTGGATTTTGCTTCCCTATCCGGGACTTCCCGCCCAGCCACCGCCACCTATATGAAGGAGAAGGCTCCCCAACATAAAATATTTTGTTCTTTGATCCTTTTGAGGTTATCTGTAGATCAAGTGCCTAAACAATGGCCGAACTCGCGTCCCAAAAGAAGAATATTATGCCAGCGCCTGGAATACCGGGCCCTCACACTTCAACTTCAACGTCCGCTCATCAGCCTAGAGAGCTTTATCATAATCCTTCGGAGAACAACAGTACCCTATCATTCCTGGATTCTGCTCCGACAATAGCAGACTCTGAAGTAGATCTGTTGGGAGAGGAAAGTGTTAGAGGAGATGTTGAATTGGGCTTAACCACAGCATCGACCTCGGGGCCTTCCCATCAACAAATCCCTGAAATCAGACCAGAAACATCTCGACCAGTTCCACCTTTTCGAGAACCACATCTGCAGATGCTTGATTCACATCTTGTCCTGAACAACGATGATTTGAATGTCCATGAGCCGAATGCCCACGAGCTGAATGTCCATGAGCCGAATGTCCAGCAGAATGTCCAGCCGAATGCCCACGAGCTGAATGTCCATGAGCCGAATGCCCATGAGCTGAATGTCCATGAGCTGAATGTCCAGCCGAATGCCGGGACAACTTCGAGAGAATGGAAATCCTGGAAGATCAAATACCTTTGGCTCTCCTTCCTGTTGATGATAACCATATCACTGATTGGAACAATTATCACACTCAATCTTATCTCCAAGAAGAACGGCGGTTTCGCTCCCCTGACCAGCTCCCCCGGGTTCCTGGCTCGAGACCCTGAAATAGAAAGAGCAATCTGGGCTCAAGGAATTCTCTACACATCGTTTCCGGCTCTTATCATGACACTTTATCGAACCATGTGGGAATCTACCGTGGCTGCATTTGCAGACAGACAACCGTATGTTGATCTGAAGAAGGATAGAGGGAGACCAGCAAAAGCGACAATTATGTTGGATTACAAAACCGAGCCAGCACTTTGGGCATACATACTGGCGTTCAAAAATAGGCACTACATATTAGGTCTGTGCATGGTATCTTCAGTACTTTTAGCGCTTTTGGTGGTTCCCCTCGTGGCATTTCTGTTCACGACGGATTCCTTCGCTTCGAATACGGTATTGCCGGTCTCGATTGTCACAAGCTTCGATCCTAAATCTGTCGTATCATATCCACCAGACCTGCGTCTATCATTGAACTCTGCCGCCGCAATGAGACTTCAAGATGGGCGGGGCCCGTCATGGACAGATGGCGAATTCGCATTTCCGAAATTCCTTCCCTCGATCAAGGTCGGAGACGGAAACGCAACGATCGAAACCACAGCGTACTCGGCACATATCGACTGCGAATATATGCCAGAATCGGATTACGAGAAAATTGTTCTTCCGCCAGGTACACCTGGATATCCTCCAAGAGTCACTACCTTTCAAGTTGCCGCAAATGATCGCGGGTGTGCGATTACGGGCACCATCAGCGTTACTACCGTCCCTGAATTCCCTGATCTCCCAGACATCCCTGGAATGCCTGGCCTAAACCCACCCCAGAATATCTTAAAGGCATGGCCGACGTTCACTTGCTCGGCTGATAGTGGATGGAGTCGACTCAGCATCTTGACAACACGATACGTTAACAGTTCAACTGGAATCACGAATTTCAGCTTGATCTCCTGTATACCTTCGTATCGGATGACTCCTGGAAACCTAGTCGCAACAACCAGTATGTAGCCTTTTGTAAATCCAAGATATATGCATGCAGTTCCTTATGAAACATTATCTGACTTCGATCGAGCAATCGTTAACTTTTAAAATCCCCTTAGGTGCCTCATCAGAACCATCACCAAAGAGCTTCACGCCACACCGATCGAACATGACGGAGATTAGACCAGAAGGGTTGTGGATGTACTTTGAACTCAACATGCCAGCCTTTAACTGCTTTGATATACTCCGCAATATAGACGCTGACGAGTTTATGCGTAACGTCTATACCCTTGCGGCGAAACAGCTCCCCATATCCCCACTACTTCCGGGAGCAATCATTGACGCGGCCTTGACACTGTGGTCCACGACATTTGCTGTCCTTGCAAGCACTGAGCTGTTCATACCTACCAGTGCGCCCCTGAATGGAACCGGTATTTACTCAGAAGAAGTAAGCCGCTTGATCGTTGTTTCGCCTATAGCATACATCATCCTCAGCGTTCTAGCTCTCGTGGCTCTGCTGAATATTTCACTATTCTTCTACGCTAACCAGGAGTCAATGCTACTTGAAGAGCCGGTGGGCTTGGTGAGCGCAGCAGGTATTCTGCATCAGAGTGAAGTGAATGAGATAGTTGATAAACTGTTCAGAAAGCCGAGATTTAATGGTAAGGTGACAGCTGCTATGAAGCGAGAGGACGGGTTTGTGGAAGACCGTTACCGCTTTGGTGATCAGCAGAAGAAGATTTATCAAATTCGTGGTGAAGGGAGGCCTCCTAAGAGTCGGTGGAAGCGGTTGGGCGAATGGGCGAGGGAAACAATAATCTCGAACCCTTTGGTGGATAGAATTAGGAGGCTCTAAAGATCTAGAATAGGGATATAATTGATGTCATGGCAGTACAAATCTATAACTTTACGTTACCGAGCAACTTTCACGACAACAGCCCTTTCCCCGATCATTCATCACCCTGGTTCACTTTTCTCCTCCATACCTTCAAGGGTAGTGGTCCCAGATGCAAGTTCATGGTCTCCCTCCTTTCGACTTCCCATCCCGGATGTGGCAGCCCGAACTCATACCACCCTAGCGCACTCGCCAGCACTACTGTCTGCTCCAAATATGAGATTCTCCTCCCAATACAACCCCTCGCCCCAGCAGAGAAAGCCACAAAGTACGGCTGAAGAGGTTTTCCTTCATTCCCTCTCTGGCTTGAACTTCTCTGGCTCGGGAAAGATCTTCTCGTCACGGTGTGCGATATAGGCGCTTATGGCAATGGTAGTACCTCCTGGAATGAAATCTCCATTGATGAGCCACCCTTCTTCTGGCGTCACGCGTGGAAGCCTGTGTGCCGTTAGTGGGAAAAGTCTCATGCTCTCATTGAGGCACGCCCGAAGATAGGGAGATATTGGACTTTGTCGTACGAGATGAAAGCCCCAAATACGGAAGGCCGTAAGGATCACATGTGCCAGCGCAGGTCGGAGGTACAGCATATAATTTGGATTGGTGACTCTACTTGGAGCGGGTCGACTAGGAGGAAGCAAACTCCGGAAACCCGGGCGAAGTTCTTCTGAATGCAGCATTTTTCTTGAACTCAGAGCGGCCCGGCTCCCTGTCTGTGGGCTTCGTGGTGTCACAGTGCGTGCCGATGGCGGGGTCAATCACCCCCTTAACTGTAGCTCCACATCGACAACCTCCCCAAAGAAGACTCGGTTACAGGGTGAGCTCTCGGGGAAACAGCACTTGCGTTACCTGCACATATCGAATTTCGGTTCCAAAGGCTGATGTCGGAGAATCGCTTCTTCCGGCTGGCGCAAGTCGTCTGGGCAATGGAGAGGTTCTGCAACGTAACAAGCACCTGGATCTTATCCCTGATTCTGCCGCCAGGGGCGCCAGGAACAAAACTTCAAGATGCGTCCAACTCTTCTCTTCGCCGCCTTGCTGGCTATTCGAGTGAGTGGTGGCTCCCCCACACATCTGGGCAAGTGTCACGTGCTACGCACAGGCCACACAGATATATATATAGCTTCTTCCCCGCTCTTAGGGCACCATCATTCCTTCAGATACACACCAATATACACCTATTTATCCCCACAGCCCCTTCAGGCCTTGACAGCAAGTATGCTTGAGTCATCCAACCTGATGTTGCCTCGAACAACCTACAATTTTATCATTGCTGGTGGTGGCATTGGAGGACTCACAGTTGCCATCGACTGGCCGAAGATCCGAACAGTTAGCTCCTAATTGTTCAATTTCAATGGACAGGCTCTGATTTTTCTTGTAGCATCTGTTGTGATCGAGTATGGCCCAATTAATAAAGGAGAGCCATACATCCTGGTGCCGGAGAATGGGTTCCCATCTTTTACCGGTGGAACGGCATTACGAGCACTCCGCAGGTCCACCTCAACAATGCGACGTACTCAGTTCTGATAGGACAGTGTATTGGGGGTGGCTCTACTGTTAATGCAATGTTTCTTCAACGATGCCCTGCTGTGGATTATGATTCTTGGGAAGCATTGGGAAATCCAGGATGGGGATGGAACTCCCTTCTGCCATACTTCAAGAGAGTAAGTATATATTCTTAGGCTTTTCTTTTGTTCCATTCACTAAGACTTACAAAATGTAGAGTGAAAACTTCACTGCCCCCAATCCAGCATTTACTCAACAAAGCAACATCACACACAGCACAATGTCCATGGTTTCAACGGCCCAGTGCACGCAAGCTATGCCCCATACACTTATCCCGGAAGTGGCGGGTCCAAGACCTCCACCATTTCGGGTTGATGCTAATTGATCTCTATCAGGTCGCTTTTGGAATGCAGCACTGGCTCTAGGCATTCCCATAGACCCGGACCCAAACAGCGGGAAAAACACCGGGCTCTTCACTTCTTTGAAGGCTTTGAATGCCGGCACTGAGACTCGATCATATCTAAAGCTGCTCATTATGATTGAGTCAGTTCCAGACCCAACTATCACCCCTTACCTAGTACTGCAGTCAGTAAAGTTCTGTTCAAGGACAAGACGGCTGTGGGTGTGGAGTATCGCCTTGTTGGAACAAATCAAGTGTTCAGTGCCACTGCATGCAATGGGGTCATTTCCGCAGCTGGCGCTGTCCACTCGCCACAAATCCTGCAGTTTTCGGGTGTGGGACCGAAGGCTTTGCTGCAGAGTCTGGGTATTCCAGTTGTTCTTGACCTCCCAGGCGTGGGAACGAACTTCCAAGACCAGCTCAATATGCCAGTCACTTACAATTGTGAGCCAAATTAACTCATACTACAGAAATGAGGATGTTATTTACTGATCCTTCTTCGAAATTTAGTCACGTCCAATGTCTTCCCCAATGCGGACTCGCTGCAAAACAATGTAACCTTCTTTGCTGAACAACTTGCACTCTACAACTCTGCTCACCAAGGAGCACTCACCCTTACAGCGCAAACTGGGAACAACATCGTATCTCTTTATTTAAAAGAAACCACAAGTAATTGGAAGGCTCTAATCGCACTTGCTGCGTCTCAGGATCCTGCATCACTCCTTCCACCTGGCAGCGACCCAACAGTGATTAAAGGCTACGCTGCTCAATGACAGCAAATCCTTCAGTTGTATATTTCATACAGCTCAGCTATCGGTAGCATCAGTTGGAACACAGGTGCAACGACATCAGTGTACCAAGTCAAGCCCCTTAGCCGAGGAACCATCAAGATCAACTCTACCAATATATTTGACAACCTACTCGTCGACTTCGGAGCCCTGACCGATCCCACAGACATCGAACTAGTCCTCGCACTGATCCGTAAAACCCGACAGATCATGGAAACACCCTTCATGCAACAAACTTGGCCCTACCGACTTGACTCCCGGTGCGAGCTTGACAACCAACGACCAGCTGACAGGAGGAATTCGAGCACAGATAAACCCACCAATTGCGCATGAGTGCTGCACTCTTTCAATGGCGCCCTTGAAATATGGCGGAGTCGTTGATTCGGACCGGCTGGTGTATGGTCTAAAGGGGCTGAGAGAGGCAGATGTCAGCGTATGGCCGTTCTCCCCCCCAGGAAGTGCTCCGTCAGCTACAGCCTATGCTGTGGGGGAGAAGGTGAGTGACCCGGTCGTGCGAGAAAGTAGACACATATGGCTGACCTTTAAATAGTTGGCTGACCTTATCAAGGCACAGAATGGCATTTCGGTCATTCCACTTTCAACGTACGTATAGAAAGCGCCTACAGATTACGGTGGCGCCTATGAAAAGTTGGAATGGGCACATGAGCAGAAGATGGGTGGGTTTATCTAGAAGTATAATAAAAGCTGTCTATTTGCGCAATGTCACACAAGCTTACATTGTCCCGACGAAAGCTTGTACTGGGAAAATATTTTTTAACGGCAAGTCTTATCGAGCCATAGCACAATGTCTGGGTTGATGTGAGCCGTGGCAAAGGGTGATGGCATTGAATCCTTTACCATCTCATCTAATATACATTCGTTCATCTCAATTTCATTCGTCCATTGATTAGGGCGATTACCCTGCTGGGCTCTATCTAGTCAGTTTCAAGTCCTCCTTACGGCCGGTATTGGCACGGCATCCCATTTTCGTAAAACTGTTCAAGCCGAACAATCTGTTCCTCTATGCGAAGTATAGTTGTCTATCCGCATGAGATCGCTGACTGGCTGTTCCTGCGTTTCGTTTCAGGCTATTCCCAACCGCCATTCAGCACCCGAGGATCGTAAAGTGAGGCACTCAGCCTCGTGCCGAACCCTGATGTACCGAAAATAACTTTGGAAAGCTTATGTACGTACCAAAGAAGAAATATATAAATATGCCCCTCTTGGCGAAGGGTTCCTCTTTTTTTCTCGCACCCTCATCGCGCATCCAGAATCATACTGTCGCCCCTGAATCGCTCACATTAACCGAGCGATCACTCAATACGCACACGAACTCTAACCCCAACCCCCGCTCCCCTTTCACAATGCTTTCCCTCAAATTCATCCTCACACTGGCGGTCCCGCAATTTCTCGCCGCAGCAGCACCTATTGCGGACGCACAAGGGGGATTCACACTTGTTCCTGTTGTGGGAGGCGGAAGCGGGCTTCTCAACACACCCACCGGTGGACCGGCGAGCATATATACGGAGATCCAGAGTCTGCCTATCGAAGTGGAGCCAGAGGTGAAGTTTGAGGGCTAATTTGAGAATGGGAGGATGTGGTCTCTGGATGGACCGGTACACGTGTCACAACGTTTGAGCAATCTCAGTGCGCTTTCAACGTCATTCAGCCCTTCGTCTTCGGGACTTGGACTTGGTTTGCTTTGGGCTGCCTGCGAATCAATCCTTTTATTCTCACTACTATTACTTTCGGAATTTAATTCGTCGATATCCCTCCCAAGCAGGAAGCTTATTACCTGGTTGAGGTCAGCAGTGGGAATGTCAAGATCGGCTGGCTCCATATTTGCGAGAATTTGGCATGACTGCGCCGAGCACGCAACGATTTGAGCACGCGGGTACAGTTCTTATCTGGGAGAAGTTGGTATCTGTAAGGGCGGTTTTTCTGCAAATTCCATCTGGCGGGACCACTCCAGGAGTGTGACCGCTTCTTGTTTAGGGAGGGAGATCGCTGGCGGCCTCGACTTTCGCCAATCAGCCCGCCTTGCCGAGAAGAAAATAGCAAGTCCTCCATTCGCGCGCAAAGCTCTATGAAATTAGGGTAATAAAATCAATTGCAAATCTTGGGAGTTCTGGGATTGTGACGAAAGAGGTCTTGTAATGTACCCAGTATCAATTAATGGCGTGATTTGCGCATTGTGGAGCGAGGAGTGAGGAGCGAGGTAATTATGAGTTTGGCTATGTTTCTCGCCTGTGACTGGTAGCGGTTGGAACTCATGGAGCCAGGTGTAAATCAACAGAAAATGCTGCCATTCATGGCCAGGGGAAACCGGAATTACAAATAGAGAGTTTCTTTGCTTCCTTGCTAGTAACGACTTGCGAGTGATTTTCGATGAGGCCACTTCAGCGATTAGTTCACTATCGATTCTCAGAAACTTCTTGGAACTCCTTCAACACAACAACATTTCATACTCCAGTAGCAATAAAGAATGATCAAATAAGCTATCAAAGTATATCTCTGCTAAGAAACAACGTGGAGAAGCCTGAAGTCCCAACTACTCCATCCAATTCATAACTCACTAACCCTTCAGAGAATCAAAAATGCCAAGAACAGAACTTCAACATGAGCTCTTAACAAGCACTTCCTGGCAACTCTGGGGGCCGGGGAACGGGCTCGTACAAAGTGTATCACAACTTACTCCCGGCGCAACAAAGACCCTATACTCCTGTCCTGGAAACGCCAACCTGAACTGCTTCGGATTCGTCGGCGCCAACCCATCAGCCCGATATCCCGCTCTACAGGCACAATAGTCATTTCCGCTCGGAGTGTTGATACAGCTCGTCGTGATCGTACACTTGTTGAAGAATGGATTCGGGTTGCAGGTCTGGCAAGGGCAGGTATCTGATGTGGCTGGAGGGCCAGGAGGTGTGCATTTGTGGCAAGTCTTATCGCAGTATGATTGAAGTGAACCATTATCGGCTCCGTCATCACACTAAGCACTGAATCAGCATGTATAATTCTTGAATTGTAAAGGGAGCTCAGGGACCAAGGAGCCAACAGGCGAGGGTATGGCAGCTCCCGAGAGGCTCACGCGCTCTTAAACAGAAAGCGATAATTTAGTATGAGAACAAGCTTACCTCTTCTCCTGGATCGATGTGGCCATCGCCACATCGAGGAGGAGCTGGTTTACGCCAGGTGCAGTCGGTTGTGCAATTTGAGTCAGGTCCTCCGTTTATGAAGCCCTGGTCGCACTCCTCGGGACTAATTTAACATTAGTTAAGAGGGTTGAAGAGGGGCAGAAGGAAATTCTCACTATTCTACGTTGCCGTTTCCACAGCATGGAGGGTTGGGGTGCCCAACGGGCACAATCCAGGTGCAGTTCTTGCTACAGCGTGACTTTTCGCTGCCATTCAAATCGCCATCATCGCACTCCTCAAAGGGGCTGGACCGAGTTAGAGACTCTTGCCAAAGAATTCTAACATAAAAGCACCATGAGTGTTGACTCCTCGCGGCAGTTCACGGGGAAGATCAAACTAAATATTGAAACTTACTACTCCGTCACACCATTACCGCAAGAACAGGTTCGCCACTTGCAATCTGTTCCGCATTTGTCTTTTGGTCCATTATTGGGGCCATCGTCACCTGTGCCTCAGATCAGCACAGCTTCAGCACCAGGAGAAGTGATAAAGTCAATTTCAAGGGAGATTGGCTGTTTGATTTGAGAAGGGGCACATACATTCTTCGCCTGGTTCAACCTGGGACCGCGGCTCTCAGATTAGCATTGCTTTAATGGTAGTATTTTGAGCTGCTAGTGTCTTTGAGCAGTGGAGTCTCTGTGAAGGAAATCCCCAACTAGCGATACATCTGACGAAGGAAAAACGCTCAGAAACTGAGACTTACCACACCGTTCCCACATTTGTATTCGCACGTTTGCAAAGTACAATTGGCGGAGCAGTTTGCTCCTGGTGATCCATTCAAGACTAAGGCGAAATCAGTACTGCAAGCCCTAGAATGCACAGAAAAGCGGGCATTGTGTGGTCACGTGATCATCACAGACCAAGAGGACTTGCTTGGGAAACTAGGAATGCAGCTTACTATATCCCATGTCACACTGGACAATATTGAAGTCAGTATTGCACGGCAAGTGAGGATGGAATCGGGGGGTTGGAAAAAATGCCTCGCGGGTTCTTCACTCTGAAGATAAAGTCCCGAGGGTAGACAACTCGCAAAACATTGAAAGATGAGACTCATGTTCAGAAAACAGACTTACTTGCTCCCCTGAAGCGTCATCCAGTATCCCGTCACCACAATAACCGCAAAGCTTGCAATCTGTGGTGCAGCCGGAGTTGTATTTGCCATTAGCGTTCCCTGCGTCACATTCTTCTCCGTCCCTGTGTACAGATCAGTATGAATACAAGAATTCTCGGAGAAGAAGCTTACTCCTTGATCCCATTTCCGCAGACGGGAGCTTCACAGCAGTTAGCCTCATAATATTGTAAATAGTCCGAAGTGATTGAGAGCTTTGGGGCTTTATTGGCCCTTGGGACAGGTCCCAAGCTCTCCGTCCTCATTGGAAATGACGGTGACTTGAGATGAGAATAAGCTTACTACAAGTGCAATTCTTAGAGCAACCAGAGTTCCAAGCACCATTGAGTTTCGGCCCGAGATCACATTGTTCGAAAGGGCTTTGAACAATAGAATCCCCGCAAACGCCGCCACAGCCATCGCACTCAGCTGTCCGAGTCGGATGGGGTGCTAGGACACCAGCAACAACGAAGGATCCGCCCGCAAAGATAATAAGAAGATATGAGCTCTTCATCTTGCTTGAAATGAAGAAGACGGGACAATTGTTCAGGTAATTAATGATGGTTGCCCAGATGTGAAAGGGCTTGACTTTATATCTTGAGTTTTCACTGAATTTGAGAGCAAGCTTCCAATGAGTTAAGTTTGATAATTCTTATATTATGAACACTCGTCCCCCAATGCAGACCAATAAGAGGTCAAGGGCAGCTCTGTTCGTAGCTACTTGGTCATTTCAAACCATTCCTCGGGTCGGGTGACACGACTCGTCTTCAAGATTATACGATGTACGCACTCTGAAAGTCTGCCACCTTAGGGAGTTTGCTTATCCCCGAAAGTGTACGTGAAGAATAAAGGCAAAATGACTGAAAGGTCGGATGATACGGAAAACTGTCTCCCTCTCCCCCGCCCTCACCATCAAATCGATGCGCTTTACTTCAGCTCCAGCTGGACTGTAGGAATCTGAGATAACTTTTCTCGGGCCATCTGGTTGTCATGGGTTGAAAGCCTCCTCCCCGTGACATAAAGCAGGATCACGGGATACCCGAGGAAACAACAGCCACGCCCCATGAAAGTCAAACAGCAAACAACATCAACCCAAATAGCAGGCAGAGATCGCATGCCCTACTGAACACTGGCCACAGAAGTGGTTCGAAGGAAGTGGCTGCATACTGAAGGTTCGATCGCCTTCTGAGCCTTGCAGGTGCTCAGAATCCAGGGTCCAGCAGTTGACCGCTCGGAAGTCATGCGCCTAACATCCGATGGGTGCATCTCTCCAGATGTTGTGCATTGTGTCATCTCATCTGGGGAAGTCCGAGATGATCGCCCTCCAGGTGCCTTCGTTGGCTGTAGAGATCAGCCCAGAAGGAAGAACGAAGCTGAAAGGATCTCTCACGTCAGATGAGGCTTCCCATCAGGAGGTCGTGAGGGCTTGGAGAAAGGTTCCGCCACTTGGCATGGTGACTCGACCCCAAGTTTGCATGCGGTTTCCAATTCATTGAAATCTTTAAGCTTAAATTCGACACGAGAACAGAAGAAATGTTCGTCTCGTGTGGTCTGTCAGATGGAAGCAGATCGTGGTTGCCCCATTGCGGGTGATGTTTCGCGGGGAATTCCCAGCGGATGCGCATGGCCGTCCCGTAGCGCTACTCGTAGCCTCAACGGGCACCGGTTTCTCACTGCGATCATTTCTCGATTGTCAGCAAACCACCACCACGCCAGCCACATCTCCTGAGCCTTTCTTCGAGGTGTGGCTGCCAACTAACGCAGCCCCTCTTTCACATGCTCTGGTATGACAACTGATAGAGGCTTTTCTTCTGAGGCAGATCCCAAAAGGGGCCCAGCTGTCGACGATCCCGTCAGCTCAGCATTGGAGGGTGTCACAATGTCGAGAATATGCAGCATACACGCCCGCAGGACCTTGACAACTCCATGCCAAGGTCTCGTAAAAGGCTGATGCTGAGTCAAGGTCAAAATTGTCGAGTCTTCCATGTTGGGGAGGCGTCACCAGAAAATGAGATGGCGGCTGTCTTCTGACAACCTACAATTCCTGACAACGGGTCCAGCAGCACATAATGACCAACCTGCTCGTTTGCCCTGCCTCAAACTCCAATTAAAGAGTTCAGCCAACAGTAGCAAGCAACGACACGATTGCAGTTGTACAATATACTTTGTTGTTGAACCGATTGTCACGTCACCCGAACAATCATGGCTCTCTTATCTTACATGCTGCGAGGCGCACATCCCTCAACCCCGACTCCAACCCATAAACACCTTAGGAAACGACTTCGCAAAGCACCACCAAGGGTAACATCAACCCATAGCCTTTATTCCTGCAAAGGAATTCTCAATGTTGCCTGGGCTCGATCTTGTCTGGACTTCTTCAATCCTGAAGGGTGTTCGTCTGTGGCCAGACGGGAGGACAACGGCAACGAGAAGACGGCCAGCTCCATGCATACCGGTTTCCTCCCGGAGAAGCCTCAAGCAGATTCTTCAGAGGACTCAACCAGCAACTACCCAGTCGAAGAAATGGACCGCGAACATCCCAGACGGTTGAGAGCCAAAACACCAGTCTTCGCCGTTGGGCAATTGGAAAGAAACTCAATGATCCGGCCTTTCGACAAAGCGCAAACTCTCGCCGAGCAGTATCAAGCTTTACTTCCACCGAGAGCGTTCACGCCATCCCTGCTCAACCACCCACAACTCACACCAAAGAATCTCCACAGACTTCGGAAAACCAAATGCCAGCTAAGCCTCCGGGATCTCGTCAAAGAGCAAGAGCTTTCGAACAGGGCCCACTCGGTAGCCTACTCGGATGCGGAGACTCTTGTCGGATCCGAATCACCCACCTCACAGCATTCACCAACAGATGGAGAGTTTGAGAAAGTCAAGCTTCCAATAATCAATCCTCACGACCAAACTTTATCGGACCCGTTGGCAGCATTTGACGACGATATTGGACTCAAGATTTGCGTGGATCTCCTAACAAACGAGCTTGCAACGGCGCTTTTTCGACAGCACCCGGCAGAACGTCAAGACAGAGCATCTGGACTTCAGATCCTGCTCATGATTGAAGCATACGAGGCAATTCAGAAGAACGTGCGGCAGCAACTTTGCGATCTTCACGTGACACGGGAGATGAAAGATCACGTGAACTCCGTCGACAAGATCTTGAGGTACTGGCTCAAGGTGCTCTATTCGGTCTACGATCATGCTCAAGAGAAGAAGCTTCAGCAACAGGTTGACGGGGATCAATGGTAACTCTGTACTTCACCTGAAGAGGGTCACGAGACAATGCCGGCGCCGAAGTCGGGAGTTCCAGTCCAAATTCTAACAAAGTGAATTCAACCCTTACTATAAATTCTCTACGATGATTTCGTTCTTCCATCTCTTCTTCTTTCCAACACCATCATCGAGACAAGACTACCGATCGGGTTTCTCAGACCAACAGCCATGGCACCCAAACCAGCTCTCAAGCCATTCACTGTCGACACCGTCTCTCTTTACGCCCGCCACCACCTCAAGTTAATCTGCCCTGACCTCTTCCAAGATGACTTCTCATCAGACATTTCCATCCCAAAGGTAATTACTCAACCCTTTCCGGTGTCGTTACAGCTCGCTGACCCTGGTCGCACCACTTAGACCAAGACGAACATCGAACATCTGACCGAGTTCACATCAATTTGGAGCATTGGAAAGAAACAACCGCCTTGACTGCTCCGATCAATTTGGAACTAAAAAGAAACAATTACGTTGAATGCTCCACCTCCATTCGGAACCGTGAAGTAAACACTTACTTTGGTTGCTCCAGGAGCTTCACGCAAGCTGGGAACACTGCGTCTCTTTTCAAGATGCAGAAAGTAGAAGAGACATAGGTCACAATGATATGCACAATATATCTCATCATATTAGTTCAGGACTTACAAATCCGCCCTCGCCTCCTCGCCAGCCCAAGCTCTTCGCAACAGCTCCCTTATCGGCTTCTCCTCCACCGGCCTCGGATTCCAATACGGATTCCCAACAGCAATTTCCGCCGCCTTATCGACATCCTCTTCCTTGAAACCAAAATCTTTGAGCCCTCTTTTTACATGGAGCTTCTCTAGAAGCAAGTTCAACCCTTTGATAGCATCTCCATCACTCCCAGGTAACACTTCTGCAATTTTCTTTATCACTTCTGGTATATTCGGTGCATTGTATGCTAGAGCGTGAGGAAGGATGATTGTATGTGTTTCGGCATGAGGCATATTGAAGGATCCACCGAGTGTATGGCAGAGCTTGTGGTGTAAGGACATTCCGACTGCGCCGAGACAGGTTCCGCAGAGCCATGCACCGTAAAGTGCTTTTTGACGGGCAGGAGGAGAGGAGGGGTCGGATACGATGTCAGGGAGAGACGTGGAGAGGGCTGAGATACCTTCGAGGGCTAGGAGGTTGATTATAGGGTTTGTGTTGCGGGCGTAAAGTGCTTCAACTATGGGGGTTGAGTATTTGTCTTCTGGGGAACAGGAAGAGCCCTACCTGCATGCGCAGTCGCATTTACACCACTTGTGGCGCTCATGCTGGCTGGCAGAGTCATGGTAAAATCGACATCATAAATCACCGTCCCAGGCAGGATCTTAGGATCGCTTCGAGTGGTTTTCTTCCCATCTTGGGTCTCTCCAAGGATTGGAGTCATTTCCGACCCCGCATAAGTAGTTGGGATACAGATATGCGGAAGCCCGGTCCTTATAGATATCGCCTTCCCAAGACCGATCGTACTACCGCCTCCAATAGAGATGACCGAATCTGCATTTACTGATTTGGCGTATGCTAAAGCCTTGTCTGTGACGTGCGAAGGCGTATGCATCGTTGCCTCCGAGAAGACACCTGCCTCCTTGCCATTGAGTAGGGTCTTCAATTGCTTCATATGATCGACTTGCTGAGGAGTAGAGAGAAGGAGGGGTCTTGAGAGCTTCTGTCGAGAGACTTCTTCGGAGAGCTTCGAAATCGTGCCACTGCCAAAGATCACTCTGGCAGGTGCTGCGTTGTATTCGAAGGCTTCCATGTTGAGGGTATTTTCAGTGTGATCTGTAAGTCAGTTGATTGAGTATGCTTCGTAGAAAGTTAGTAGCAGATGTGGGGGAATTTGTAGATATAGAGAGGATGTGTGTCGTCCTCCCCGTCCGGTTGCAGATCGGCAGATGTGGGGTATTCTTTACCCGCCCCTTTGGTGGGGTATCATCACGGCAACTGAAACATTTGGATTGAATTCCTCCCCACATACTCTGAAGTATGTCTGGGAGTTTATATAGGATGTGCCACGAGTTCAAATGTTGTGGACGAGGCTGGGTAAGGCTGACGAGAGGAGTTGAATTTATTCCAGCCCTTACAGATAACAAGAAATCAAGACTTCGTGCTATTTTATGGAGCATGCTCAATTGACTCCGGGTATCATTCCAATCCCTTGAATCCAAGGATACCGTTTCCAGACTCCTTCTTTCCCTTAGCTTTCCTCCGCTTCTTCCGACGTTTGCGCTCTCCTTCCTCATCACTACTATCCTCAGCATCCGCTTCGTCGCTGCCATCACTAGCACTCCCATCAAGTGTTCTCTTCTTTGCCGAAGTTTCTCCTTCGTCGGAATCATCCTCGTCCTCGTCCTCGTCGTCCAATGTCAATTTTTCTTGCCAAACCTTAACAATCGAACCACCACCACTTATCAACCTCCCACCAACATCAAACCCTAGCCCAACCACACCTTCAACTTCATCGTGTCTCAATGTCTCCCCAACAATCTTGTTCGGCCCCAATTGGACAATTCTGATCGTGCCATCCCCAACGCCAACCACCACATTCTTCCCTCCATCTCCCACACCCTCAGGCATGACAGCTAAAGAGTCCAAGCTCTCACCGCCACCTCTGCCCACATCCACATAAATCCTCTCGTCCTGGTCGTCCCAAACTCCCCTCTCCCACAATGTCAGAACCCCGTTAGAGCTTCCTACCAGCACCTTCTCTCCCTTACTACGGCCAGGTTTCGAAGGCAGACCACCGACAAAAACGCTGCTGAGCAATTCTTCTTCCTGATTTTCACTCTTGACCAAAACACCTCGTCTGAGATCTGTCACCGCCAGTGTAGTTCCTCCAGTTGTAACCCACTGCTTGCTAAACCCACTCGTGCTTGCTTCAGTCGGTGGAAGAGGTGTAAGAGAAGAAATGTAGTCTTCATGTGGATGGTGTGTTTGGCTGGGCTTCGAGCTCAACGTGGAAGGGGCGCGTAAATCGAAGATATGAAGAGCTGCTGAATCCGTCGCGAGGAGGAGAGTTTGAGGAGACAATGCGTGAAGATGAGTCGGTGGATCAGCGGAGCCCGAGGGGCCGAACGGGACGAGTATCTTGGATACAACTTGGCCAGTGGATGAGGACGCTGCTTTCAGAAGGCCGTCTGTACCTGCAGAGTAGAGAACTAGAAGCCAATTGAGTCAATGGGTGTGCTAAATTCGGAGGGCTGGGCCAATTGGTACCTTCGCCATCATTGCTGTACGTCAGAGTCCGACAGCTGCCTTTATGTCTCCGCGTACGCCATTCCGTATCGATTGTGCTCGTACCGGTCGAAAGTACACTGGTATCACCATCCTCATCGTCGCTTGAAGCTCCAGCTACCAGCGGCAGTCGAAAGGATTGAACATGGCCGCCAGAGAGACCAACCGCGAGAATGGGCTCCTTTGGATGGAGAGCTTGAGTGAAAAGCTCAGACGAGAGCGGGAGTGTGCAGAGGTTCTCGAACATTGCTGCTGTCAACAAGACATGATCGAATGGATGGTTGGTGATGCAGCTGAAGCTCTCAATTGGCCCTGGAAAGTTTGGCGAGATCTGGGGAAATCTCGCAGCCTCGTCTCACCTCAAGCTCTTCTCGCTTAAGGTTACATCGGCTCCTACAGTCTTGGCGGAGTGATCTGCGCAAAGAATCTTGAGCTTCATCAATGATTAGGGTAAGCCACGAAGATTGGACAATCACGGGACAAGATAATACTAATGGATACTATCCTCCTTAAGGAAAACTGCCTGAGAAATACCAAGTCTTAGGTGCCACTTCGAAACATAGTACTGTCCCCCAAGAATTGAAAGAAACCCGATTGATGAAGCAGAATCTTGAACACTCCTTTTCCATCCTCCTTCCCCAAATACAGTCTACTGCACCCCTTTATTCGGGCTATGTGGCCTTCTTCTCTTCTCCGGACTCCTCATAATATCCTCCTCGTCCACCTCTTCCAGCTGCGCCTCTCCCTTTTTAGCTTTTGGCCGTCCAACCTCCCTGACCACCGTCGATGGCATACTCGGCCTCGGCGCCGGCGTGCCACTCGCCGTTCTGGTGGACCTCCTGAGACCAACAGGCGGAACACTCACCTCCTTCAGAACATCCTCCTCTGCACTGTCACTCCCCAAAACACTACTCGCCGTGTGTGCCACGCTCATTTCTCTCGCCGTCCTCTGTCTCTTCTTGCCCTTTGCGGTCTTTCCATGATGCCCTCCAGCTTCATCTTCCGGGCCCTCGATTACGGCTTTCTTGCGCTTTGATCCAGCTGCAGTCTTGCCTGGTGCCTTTCCTTTGGAAGAAGCTGTCTTGCCTTTGCGTATAGTCTCAGGAAGCTCTATCTCGGATGTTGGGTGCAGACCGGGCACCTCCTCGATGCTTAGATCTGGGCGAGGGTCTAATTCGTCATATACCTCAGCCGCTGGTGGACCCCGTGGTTGGGGCTTCTTGGCTTTAGACGCGGTCTTTGAGGGGCTTGGTGGAGGCTTCGTGGGAGATTTGCCCTTCTGTGTTGTGGGTCTCGGAAGGACTTCGCCTCCCTCAGCTGTGCTAGATGTCTCATCGTTAACATCTCCATCGGCCTGAAATCTGTGTTGGCTTGGGCGAGCGTTCGCCTTCTGAGTTTTGGCTTTATCCGCTGCTGCTTGCAACTTGTCGCTGCCAGCCTTCAGTTCTGGATACAGGCGAAGCAGCTCTTGAAGTGTGGACCCGCCACATCTATCGCCGCAGGGTTGACAGTTGTGTTGATAATGAGCTTTGAATTCTCCACCGCAGGGCGTGATAGTGATCTGATGGTTGCATACAGAACCATCGGGCTTCAAAAGGGGACATGTGAATGTATCAGCTGACCTCGCGAGTCCGGCACTCAAAGGAGACTGTATACCTAACCCAGCCTCAAGATTCTTGATATCTTTTTCTCGGGCTTCGAGCTCTCTCTTTTTCTGAGACAGGCGCGCATCCTCTGCGCTGTTATGAACCTTCAGTATTTTTGCCTGGCTGATGCGTCTTTCGAGTTCTGTAGCAACGCGATTAACACCTCTCAAGTCTAGGGTTCGAGAAAACTCACCCTGTATTCTATCTCGCGTATCCATTACATGTGGCTCTGCCAGATAGCACTCTTGCCTATGGGCTGCCCGCTCCTGTGCATCCATTGTAATGAGATTCTTGCCACATCTCTTGCAAAACGTCTTTCGTGGGCCCCCAGGTGGTGTATGGAAATAGTAATGCCGCTGGTTACCTTCTATGCTCAGCCCTGTCGTATGCAGGCCGCATACTGTGCAGAACGTTTTGCTGGTGGGGATGCAGAGACTGTCATGAATTTGGCGGTCCAATTCAGTCTCATGAGATCTATTTTTACCGCAACCGTTGCAAAAGACGATGCTCACAGCCGTCTCAGTCTCATGACAAGTCTTTTTGTGGTGGTCTCTTTCGGCTTCGAGACACGAAGAGGTATCCAAACCGCATCGATCACAGAACTTCAGCAGTCCTGGAGGGTGTTCCGCCATGTGAGCGAGGACATCCTCATTTGAAAGGGATTGAAGATCCTCATCGCAAATTGGACACTGGAAGCCTTGCCAGAAATTCCTGATCAAATCTTGCTCTCCCTGAGTTTGGTGGTTCCAGAGATGCTGCTTCTTCTGCTCCTTGTCCAATGCCGACCAACAACAATCACAAAGCGGGCATTTGCCGACCTCGCGGAGGGCGTCTTGATGCGCTTTCAAGTGTTTGGCAATGTTTTCCATCTCGTATTCAGGGAACGAGGTATCGCAGAGCTGGCATCTTGACATCCTTTCTAAAGCACTATTTCGAAGGGCTTGGCATTCTGCTGCTTTCTGCGCAAAGTCGCTCGGAGTAGTTCCCCAAAAATACGGTTCTGGCATATTTGTGCCGACTGAAAGAGGAGTTTGTCTGGAGGGACCGTAGATGGGAGGCATCGGTTGCTGACCAGGCTCAATGACAGATTGATCCGTGTGATATGATTCTCTCTGAAGACGGTCCAGGCGATTATTCTCTCCCTGCCATTCGTTCCACGGAACTGGCTTAGGCGGGGCGACTCGTTGTTTCAGAAGTCGCTCTTTGGGAATCCGAAGTATGTTACTGGGAGGCTGGTATGACAGCATAGTTGTCGAGGAGGTCAGTCCCCCGGTGGTTGGAGTCTTGTTCGCAGAGTTGTTCTGCTGGTTCTGAGTGTGAGTGTTCAGTGGCACTGGGCTTTCCTTGGGTTGAGAAACACCCCAAGGCGGGCTCTTTTCGACCTCTGAACGGGGTGTTAGCACTAGGAGTCGCACAAAGATGGTGATAAACTTACGGTAGACAATCTTCTTCTTTTTTTCCTGCACCATAATTACCTTGCCAGAGAACCAATCATAGATATGCTTGCGCCATTGGTCTCGAGTTGTATCTTCTGAAAGAATAAACCTGTGCTGGCTGTCGGCGTCGTTGATCTCAATGTCCCTTTTGGTCACCTGATCAAATTCATTGAAGTTCCACCGCAAGAGATCAACACATTCTAGGCCGTGCGAAATGCCAGGTTCCAACTCAAAGGTCTTTGCCTTCTGTCCCTCTGTGATATTCTTGAAAGATATCGTTGGAAACTCGGGTCGAAACCAGATACAATTGGTAGTGTCGGAATCCTCCTCAAGGAACTTCTTGATCTCCTTGGCTGCAGTTGCAGCAGGTTTGTAGTTGATCAGAGTCGAATTCCCATTACTTTCCCTGGCTTCGGCTGTTTTCCAGATTTTGAATTGTCTTGGATTTTGGCCATCTTGCAGAAACTTACCCATCCTATCAATTTCTTTCTGCATCTTGATATAATCGGTGGGCTGCGCAGCCGCATATTCGTGAGTACCAGCTAGACGGATGCCGATGAGTTGAGAAGAATTTGGCCGCTGTGCCCCCAAGTTGACAAGATCGATGTTGTACACGAGGCCGCCAGGTTGGCTTTTTAGATCACCTCTTACCTTGTCCCAGAGCTCTTTGGTAACTTCCATTCCACCAAATCCAATATCAACAAAAGGTAGGGGGCCGATCTGAACGTTCCGTTGGGGACGAGGCTTGCCCACAGGAAAGAGAACTCTCATAGCTCCGAAAAAGTCGTCTTGTAATTGGTTGATACCACAATCGGTCTCTGTGTCCATCGGGATCTTCCAATATGTTGTGTCTTTGAGGTATATGATCCTCACAACATCTCTCTTATCTTTATCGGGCTCGAGGGGCACTTTTCCGACCCCTGGCAGTTGCCATTTTGACACGAAAATGCTCCAATCACCACTTGCAGGGATCCGCGGATTGATTTCACTGTGAAAGATGTGCTCAAAGTTCGTATGATCTACCATGATATTTGCCCATGGTCCAAACCCGAGTTCACCCAGAGGAGCCATGCGGAAGTAGAAGTGGAATGCGGATGTCTGGTCTTCGCCCAGAAGTTGGCAACCGGCTCTCTTGAAATCGACAGCAGTGTTGTTGGTGAGAATTTTGCCGCCAAATCCATGTATATAACCGGTCTTTGTTCCTGTTGTACCGGATGGCTGTGTCGGTGCTGCTGGTGGCTTCAGGCTGGGTGGTGTTGGTTTTTGTCCTTTGGAAGAAGTTGCACCACCGCCAGGTTGTTGCTGTTTAGATGGTGACCGTTTTCCACTGGTGGTGTTTGAGGGAGCTCCATAACCGATTATATCAACCATCTCGTCCGAAGCACTCTCCTTAGGCCAGTACTGGGCAAGTCGGGGTTGTGTAGGATGGACAACAACCCTCCATTCCTTGTGGTAGTCTAGGGGCGCCGGGTTCCCAAAGCTATCCGCTTTCTTGAACATAACACTTCCGATGGATGTTTGGTAGGATTTCAAATTTGCGGAACCCTCTGGCCATTTCTCACTGCCAATATACGCGAACTTGCCAGGTGGGCATTCTCTTACGGGTGCGTTGTTGTATTGTGATACCGTGAACCCAATTTTGTCTTCGCCATATTTCTGGCCCATAACCTTCAAAGCAGCTTGGTAAAAAGATTTGTGACAATCTTTGAAAACTACAGACTTCTTCCCATCCAGGCTGTAGACTACCCGTTCGTTGGCCCCTGGAGTAGCACCTGCCATTGATGAGAGTCTCGAAGACATTTCTTGAGATGGCGGTTTATCTCCAAGAATCGGGAAATCAGCATCATCGACCGATTGGCCTGACAACGTCTTCTTCTTGAGTGGTGACTTCTTGGGTGGTAACTTCGGAAGGCTTTTTGGAGGTGACTGCTGCTTCTTTTTTGACGGCGATAACCTAGGAGGTGGGAGGATTGGCCCAGTTTTCGGTGGGGACAGGTTCTGTTTTACCGTGGGCGCTGGTAGAGCAGGATTCTTCAACCTCCTCGGAATTGTGAAGGTAGGACTTCTCGCATCGGACGTCTGTCGGACCACCAATGGCCAGTCCCTCTGTCTGTTATATAATCGAGATTCCAGATAATGATTGTAAGTCTGAGCAAAGTTGTCCTGGTCAACGGGGAAAGATTTGACAAATTCCTTCTCTGGCTGGTCCTTGTTCTTCTCTTGATTGCGATACTGATCGACCACAAATTCAAACATGAGGGCGGTTTTGGGTTGTCCAGTAATTCTCAAAGCTGCTGCCAAGAAGGCCTGCCTGGAATCTTCCCTGTCATCCTGGACGCGAAGCCCAACTCCATTGGGTCCATAAACAATAACGGGATCCCCAGCTCCGCCACGCATACCGACAGTCGTACTCCCGAGTAAAATGGGCGTTGGTGGATGATCTCCAAACAAATGATCGTCTCCAACTGTGGCAGTCTCGATTGGATCAATTGGTTCGATCACGGCTTCTGGAGCGGGATTACGTTTGGATTTAGGTCCTGCAATTGTTAGTGCGAATTGGCAAGACCGGTGAAAGTCACTCACTGCGGAGCATGGGAAAGCCATAGCTTCTCTCGTGATACAAGTCCAAGAATTCTAGGGGTTTCTCTGCAAACACGATTCGCTGAACTCTGGGAAGATCCGCAGGAGCACCGTCTGGGTCGTCCTCATCCGTGCCGGCATTGAGAATGTTCATCATAGACAGAGGCTCGACCGGGAGGCCGAAATGAAGCATAGTGAGTTTCGTTATAATGTTGTTCTTGGCGCCTTCGAGTTGTCCTTTCAGGAGCTCCTTGTATTCTTCCGTTTGCTCCTTTTGGATATCAAGGATAATACCCTGCATTGGCGGTGGCAGAATGGTGTATGTTTGTCCATCTTCGAAATGCCTATCGAGAACCATTTTCACAGTTGTTTTTTCCCCCAACAATTCTTTTCGGAAGACCTCGTGCCATTTCTTCCATTTCGGATCGCCGGGCGTGATATCCAGCTGTAGATCAAGTTTGCTTGTGTGCGATGGACATCGTAGATTTCCCTCCGCTTCAAGCTCTCTACGCGCATCGTGAATTGCATCGATCTTGTCCGGTGAAGACATATCTGGCCAGTCGGGATTCTTCTGGGCCCTTATGATCGCCAGCTCTATCAAAGTCAAGGGAGCTGGTTCCGGTTCCGGGTCAGCAGGCAGCTTTTCCTTCCCTGGTGAACACAATACGCTGAGCGGCCATGATAACATCGACTTCTTGGGTGTAGGAGGCTCCACCACTTTTGATGCTGAACGTTTCGTCCCCTTCTTGCCTGTACACCGCCCCGCAGGATCTGATGCTGCCATCGTCGCTGGTGCTGAGAAGGTGAAAGAGTCTGGTGACAGACTGGAAACAGGGAGGGTAGTAAGGAGGAAAAGGAAAACAGCGCGTAGCATTCTTGGGAACCCCGGATTGGCAACTAAATTCCAATGCATTCCACACTTCATTGAATTCGGCCTCACCGTCAGCAACCTACGAAAGACAGCCAGAAATTTTGAAGAAAATTACACATGCTATGATAATTTGTGAACGTGATTTGGGTGGTTGCGGCTTCGCAATCTCATACGAAGGGTTGCAGTAGATCGATGTTGAGCACTTGAGACAACCTTGTTAGGTTGGGAGCGGCGAACCACAAACTTGGGGGCATCCCGTGGCTCCATTCCTGAAGCTGGCCAAACTCTCGAACAAGAATCATTGATTCGATGCACCTGGCAACCGTAGCGAGTGTCGATTCTTTGGCGACTTTGCCTGTTATGAGCGCAAGTTCGTTTATGAAAGACTAGAAATTTTCAGCTCCGAGGTGGAGGGCAGAGAAGTGACACGTGACCACATCAAGACATTTCAACTTTCAGCTCTTCCATTTTCCAGGATAGTCAAATCAGTCGTCTTCTCCTTTTGTTTTCTGCAAAGATACTTCGTGACTCACTTCGCTCCCGCTCGCATTTAAGATCTTACATCTAAGTCCCGATAGTCTGCGGATTCGCAAACAACAACCCCGGATCAATTTTCTTCTTAATCTTCGCCAACCTCTCATAATTCCCCAACCAATACCTCTCACCTGCCGCCTTCCCACCTCCCAACGTCGGATCCGCATAGTTATAATACATACCAAAAGTCACGTTTTTCTCGGCATTTTCAATGTCCGTAATAAAAGGATTGAGCCAAGCGATGCCTTCTTGGTTTGGGTAGATACCGTCGGCGACTGCATCGACGATTTGCCATTCGTAGATTGAGTCGCGGTGTGCGTAGGAGGTTGAGCCGGCTGGGACTTTGGGGACGACGGATGTGGGTCCGCCTTGGGCTGCAATGATGAAATACCAGTTCTACTTAGGTGTTAGTGAGAGTTTGACGGTGGGAAATTGGAGACTCACTCGGGAATTCGAGGGTCCTGTGGCGTATAAGCGATTGATCCACGCATCTGTTCCAGCGGGAGTCAAGTTGTCTGTCATTAGACTCTTTGCAAACTATGGAATGTTAGCGACGAACTCGGGCTTTCGGGAAAACGTACCATGATTGCATGCTGTCAGAAGTTAGCAGATGCTCGAAGGGTGGAAAGAATGACTTACTGCTGTATAATTTACAGGAGTATCCAATGTCTGGCCATTGTCCCAATCCTTGTAGAGACCATTGGAATTTGCGTAGAGCAGGGCATCGAGCCATCCCAACTGATGGGGACCTACACCACGAGTACTTGCCTGATATCCTCCAATCGCGCTCAAAGCATTCAGAAGAGGAGCAATGGCTGTTAAAAAGGCGTCATTAGACCCATGATAAGCACCTTCAAGAAGGAAACTTAGATTGTCCCCGGAGTCTTTGCCGAGAACCCAACGGATATTCATCTCAGCCGGGATCTGAGGAGTAGTGTAGCCTCCGCAGTACGTTTGCCAGGCATCCCAACCTGCCCGAGCCTGAGTTTTGTTCCAGCTGTAGGGATAATAGAACAGGACATTTTGAGCCGGTGCCGGGATTGTACGGAATTTCATGTTTGTTACCACTCCGAATGAATAGCCCGCACCCCGCAGTGCCCAGAAGACTTCAGAGTTTTGCTTCTCGGAAGCGGTGATGACGCTGCCATTGGCAATCACGAGTTCAGCTTCGACTAAAAAGTCGAGAAGCAGACCGTAGGTGTGAGAGCCATAACCTTGACCGCCATGAAGAACGTGTCCTCCAATACCGACACTAGAAGATTTAGAAGAGGCTTTTTTTGGGGACAGTGAAATCTTACCCTGGACAAATCCCATGGGCCATAGCACGGCCACCTTGGTTAAAAAGAGCTAGAGCAACATTCCCAAGCCTTGCTCCAGTACCGATGGTAGCAATGTAGTTGTGAGAGGGATCGACTTTTGTATCACGAAAATATTTCATATCAATGACGAGATGTCCATCTTCTCCGCCAATACTGTGAGATGCATAGCTGTGACCGCCGGAACGCGGATTGACTTTGACTCCCACCTTCGAGGCACATACAACTGCAGCTTGGACTTGAGGGACTGTTTTCGGTACGGCGTATGCCACTGGAGTGAAGTTTAGGCGCAGATTAAAAGGGATGGTATCCTGAGTGAAGTCTGAAGAGCCAGGATAGTCTTGAGGAACATTGGACGAAGCTAGGCAATTGACAACGTCGGTGTATTTCTGAGGAGCGGCTTGAACAGAGTGAGCACTCAGGGTGAGTGCGACCAGTAAAGATTTGAATATGGCCATGTTGAGGTAGAGGTCGATAAGAAGGGTGCAGAGGTGTTGACCCGGTTGAACCTGAGCCTTTTATATCATTTTTCGAATGCGACTCTGACTCTATGGACCTTGTTAAAGGAATCCTAATTGAGCGTGACGAGCTTGGAGAATAAAACTCTATTAAGGCTAACATGTTTCTCTCTGTTCCGATTGGAGGAAATCACACTATTGACTGAGGGATATAAAAGTCTTACTGACAATCCTTGAGAGCCCAGAAGCTGACACGAGCTCCAATAGCACTTCATCTTTGGAGTATACGCCGCTGCCTAATGCGGCCAACGGCCCTAGTGCCTCCGAAACAAATTGAGCTGCACGACAACATCAAGAGAAATGGAGCATTGCGGGGAAAGATGGTGCGTATTTTGTGGAAGCAACATCTTGGCTGAGATTAATGATATATTCATGCTAGTCTTCTCGTCAAGTAAGAGAGAAACATCGAGGGCTGAAAATAACAAGGTCCCTCGCCTGAGGGAAATCGTGAATGTCCACGGCTGCAACGTCGATCGACGATAAATAATATGCGAAGCTCGAGGGCTCCAAGAGCGAAATCATCTCCGTCCGCTCGGAGCGTTATTATTGCGATTCTCACTTTACTGTGGGGTTCCTGCATCGAAACCATGCAAAATCCGAGGTGGACCTGACCGGCCCAACAAGGATGATCTTCCCCGTTCGTAACTCAATCAGGCAAGACCTCTTGATAGTTCTCAGTCATGAATTCGTCCAAATCCAAAATAAGCACATTAGATGAAGTTACACACGCTGTGTCCATCTTCCCTGACTCCTGAGCCATGGTCAGAAACCCACCAAGTCTTTCAAACGACAACCAATATCTACCAGCCATTTCCAAGACTTTATAACACCCGGTCGAGATCCTCCAAAATACTCCCCAAGAGTGCAGAAACATTATCATTCCTCAAAAGGTGGTAAATTCCCGAAAAGGGTTAACCAATAATTGTGGTTACCTTCCTGACCTACGGGGCCTACGGGTTCGGTGGGGGCAGAGGTCGCGGAGTGAAACAGTCGATTACAATGTCCTTTCTCTTGTTGTTTTTGATGACTTCCTCGACGAATGGTTCAAGATGACCTCGAAAAATCATATGCTTCAAATTCGGAAGCGTCAAAATCATCACCACCGCTTTCACTGCAGGACCGAAAACGCCCCTCAGCTCTGTATCAGGCAAAAGACCTGTAGATAATTCGATGAATCTACTTCCGTTCAGTTTGGATCCTCACTCAAGAGAACGAGGAGAAAACGGAGGCCGACCTACTCTACACCTGTAAAGTGCTTCACCACACAACGAGCGAGGGACTGTAGTTGCTCCGTGTTTCCTTTGTGCATTTGGAAAACAGCAGGAGCCGCTGTCCAAAAGTTTGGCCCTCCGGTCCAGGTCGTCGGTAGTCGCGTATAAAATCGCATCTCGATCTCAAGTCTTGAGATTATCGAAATGCATGCCTTTGGCACTCGAGAGATAAATGCCTTCAACGCATGAAGGTTGACCTGCTGTCTCGAACCCCAGTCTCTATTCCCTATAACGAAGGTATTGAGGGAGTAGAATATTGTCTTTGCTTCGGTATTGATCCGTCTGTTGACCAGTAATAGTCGAGTGAAGTCAAGTCGAGGAGGGCATCTTCTGCGGCGATTGCGGGGTGAGCAGATCCGGATGTGGGTGCTGGACACGAACAGGAGCTTGTATATCTCGTTGCGAATCTCTGGCGGGAGATGAGTGAAGTATTTGAACTCGGTCATCGTTCTGGTCTTGGGGAGCTGGAAACTCGAGTAATGTAGATAGATATCTGGGGAGAAGAATAGCCTTCAGGGAGACTTTTTGATGTTGAATTAGGCGTCAGCTTGCGATCCTCTGATTGCTTTGTTGATTGGGCGTCATGCAGCTTACACCATCAGCTGGGCAAGTTGGATGGCTAAAAAATGTGTGGTGGATGCTCTCCAAGAGCCTCCCATACAATTCCATCTTGAAAATCCCAAAACACTCTTCTCCCCGTTGAGGCTGAACCAGCTGGATGTTTGTGTTCCAGTGATGTTTGGTGGGGGCGACTGACGAAATTTGGGTACAGACTGTACGGTCGGCGTGGTTCGGGGCGCGGAAATATCCCGAGATCGTGGGGAAGCTCATCACCACCAACCAAAACACCACCTTTTCTAAACACGAGTCACTCGCAACAATTCCACCATCACTGTGTGCAACGAAGCACCACCACGACAAATCGATGGGGATGGGAGGATAGTGCGCTCAACAATGACATTTTCACTTCATTGATAGAGGGCATTCACCATGTCGCTGGTTCCATACTCCTCTCGCGACAGCCGCGATATTGTGCTGTAAGGTTCTCCTCACAAATCTTGACCCCGGAAGCTCCGGAGATCTGGTCTCAATTATCTCAATGAACTCTCCGCCAGCAGGCAATGATGCTAATGAATCTTCTAGTCGCCATGACGATGCGATTGTGGTCCGCGACCCTCAAACTCAGCAACTCATACTCCGAGGCGCGGTTCAATCCTATCATGACTGTCCGACATGCCACCGACCATTCCGAAGTCCCTCTCCTGACCGAAATAACTCTCCTCATCGAACTGGGCCTTTTATAAGTCGAGATTACTTTCGCTTGCTCCAGGCTACAAATGGCGAGTCCGACGAACAAGTCCCTCCATCGAGCCCTATTCGGCGCCTTGTAGAACCAGCGTTTCCCTCCGATGGGAGCAGCGCGGCAGGTTCGGTGTCAGAAGCAGAATTTGTGACGAGTACACCGGCACCCCAAGCGGGACAGAGTATCAGGAAGGATGCGTTTAGTCCGAATTACTTCAACAAGTTCTTCGTGGTGGAGAAGGAGCTCGGCAGAGGTGGGAAAGGGGTGGTTTTACTAGTCCGTCATCAATTGGATGGCGTCTCCCTGGGTACGATGCCTTCATGCTCTTAATATTCTATGCTGATCGGTGCAGGTCAATTCGCCTGCAAGAGAGTCCCGGTTGGAGATGACCACGCTTGGCTGGAGAAAGGTACGGACTTCTCAGGAGGATGAAAATTACACTACTAATATATACAGTTCTCGTTGAAGTACAGCTTCTTCAAGAACTTTCACATGCAAACTTGGTCTCGTATCGACATGTTTGGCTGGAAGACACAGTAATAAATCAATTCGGCCCTTCGGTAGCTTGCGCGTTCATCCTTCAGCAATACTGCAACTCTGGAGATTTGCTGCATTACATTATTGGCGACACACCCATTGTGAAGAGCACGAAAGAACAATTGAAAGAACAGATGCGCAGGAAATCGAGAGGGCAGATGGAACGTCCAGATCTGAGATCCCAAAGGAAACTATCTTTCGAGGAGATCTATTCCTTCTTCAAAGACATCACCTCTGGATTGGCCCATCTTCATCATGCGAACTACATCCACCGGGACCTCAAACCAAGCAATTGTTTGCTGCACAAGGATGGGAACGAATTCCGGTGTCTGATAAGTGACTTTGGAGAGGTTCAACCGGAGAATGTGGCAAGAAAGTCAACTGGATCGACAGGGACGATATCATACTGCGCCCCTGAGGTCTTGAAGCGGAACGAGTTTGGCGGATATGGAAATTTCACCACCAAATCTGATATTTTCAGTCTTGGAATGATCCTGTACTTCATGTGCTTTGGACGACTTCCATACAAGAGCGCGGACAGCATCCAAGAAGAATTCGAGGACCTTGATATGCTGCGAGCAGAGATCAGTACCTGGTCAGGATTTCAGGATGAGCGTCGTGAAAGACCTGAACTTCCGAATCAGCTCTACGATTTCTTGAAGCGGCTACTAGCCCTGAATCCAGCTGACCGACCAAGTGCGAACGATATTCTCAACGCCATCCGCACTGAGAAAGGACTCGAAAATCCTTCTCGCACGAGGAATGGGAGTGGCGCTGGACTTGGTGGTCGGAGAATCCAAGCTATCGATTCCCCAATGCCACCAAGTACCCCTGTCAATGGTAATCAATCCTCCCGATGTCTGCGTTTCTGCTGACCCCGACTAGAACCGAGTAAACGTGTTCGATCTGCAGCATACCTTGAAGATGCTTCGACATCTGACTCTCCGTCTACATCTCCAATGCCATCACCAAGTACTCAACTTATTATCGACGCATCTTCAAGGGCTGAGAGCCGTCCTGGCCATGGTCGCAACGATCCACAACCCATTAAAGCAACTCTAAGAACTCCATTGCTGATGCCGCCGCCATCAACTCGAATGGGGGCATTTAAGAACAACATTGAGCTGCAATGGCACTACTTTCAGACTTGGTATGCAAGGAATCGGCAAGCACGGCATTTGATGTTCAAACTTTTTGTTTTCTTGGTCAAGATGTTGAGCATCACGAGGCCCTGCGCGCCATTGGCCATGAGGGAGGTGGTTTGGTGGCCATTGATGTCGCTGTCGGCGTTAGAGCTGGCTTTGGGCCACAGCATCGGTTGGGGAGGAATGGGAATCCTAGGACTTGTGCATGTACTGGTCTTGGGACTTGTGATGCAGTTCGGTGGGGGGCTGTGTGTCAGCCAGAGAGGGCTGAACTGGACTTGGAGGGACGATTGATCTCAAAAGCATTAATGATTTCTAGGTCAGCATTGGCATTCGGCGTTCTGCATTGCAAATTATTCATGGCAATTTCATGTATATATCCAGGGATTCGGAGCATGGCTGACGGGGAACGGAGAAAGCTACGAGGAATGAGACATGAGTGCGCACCAAACTCGATGACAGCAAAATTTCCGGGGCTCGTTTCTCATTACACAACACCGTCTGATGTGCAATCTGCAGGGAAGTAATAGGGCGAGGTGACGATACACAGGCGAGAAAAGAATGAGCAGCAAGATCATGCACAAGCGTCCTATGCACGTTGCCGTAACTTCCTAAGATCCGGGAACACGGGTCTGGTCCGACTCTGATGACCTTTGTCGCCGATGGGTTGGGAATTGATTGCAAGTCATATTGAGGGTAGGCAACTACTGCGAGGTCCCGAGCCCGAACATTCGGGCCTGACTCGATCGGTGCCGGTATTGACGATGGGGATAGACTTGGCGCGGTACCTAAACCGTCCTTTGGATTGGCCTGTATGAGGCTGATGTGTGGTATCTAGGAGCTTCTGTTACAATACCGCTTGATTGCTCATTTCTAGCTGGGCCTTGGTGGGTCAGGCCCGAAATAGATCTCGAGTTCGTCGTGTATCGAGGCCGATTCCAGTGAAAGAGCTGAGATTCTCTATGGGCCGAGGCTGCTGAGCTGAGGCTGCTGAACGCTGCACCGTACAACCTTGGTGGTTTTTTACTTGTGTTCTATCTACGGCCCGTCAATGGAAAAGCGTCCGATCCTCTTATCACTCAAGAGTCAAGCAAGACCCTCTGCAGAAGTCCCCAGAATCCTTCGCCCGGCCACGCCGAGTCCTTGACAAAGAAGCACACTTCACCGACTCCGGGTTTGTTATCTTCGTGGCGAGGCTGCGCAAGGCTGCAGATCGGAGTCCCCTGGCCAGGCCAAGAACGGAAGGTAGTTGCTGTGCTGCTACAGGGTTTTAGCCTGCTCCGTGCCGCGCATCTTCAGGGATTGATTGGTTCGCTGGGAAGCTTATCAGGTCGTGTCTGCGGGCCGTTAATCATTTGCCGTCCGATCTCTTTTTGCGCTCATCGTCGTCAAAAGGTCAAAACGTTAATTGCTAAGAGCTGTGTAGCTGAAGGACACAATTGCTGTCGTTATTAAGTGCAAAGTGTACAACAGAAATCGGCCTGATTCTCACGCGCATATGCAGCCGCACTGTCATTTGGGATTCACCAGATCATGCAGCGTACCGGTTGCTGCACCTTGCCGTTGGGAACGATCCGATTCCTAAACTCGCTACACACGTTGTCCCCCCAGTCTCCAGAAGCTCCAGGAACCCTGCTCTATGCAATTGTCATTCCGCGATGTCAATACTTCCCCGCTATAATTATCTATTTCTTTGCAGAGCGTCAGTCAAGTGAATGAGCGCATTGAGTGGTCTTCGGCGGCTTCCACCTATTCCCTGGAACCAAATCTGCATCGGGGAAGGAGGAACATGTCCTGGGCTTACTTTTTCTTCCTTCGAGGGTTCCACTACGCAACACCAAGTGGGTGACCGAGCTATCTTTACACCGGCCGATAGAGTTCAGGAGGCAAAGTAATAAGTGGGGAGCTCTCGCTCCAGAAACTTTATCTGCAGCTCAAGAACCCTTCTTCCCCTCGTCATTCCTTCCTTTCCACTTCAGCTCTTCTGTCGCTTGCCTTCCCTTGGTCAAAGTCAAATTTCAAATAGTCTTTGAAATGAGATTCGCAACTTTGCTTCAGCTCCTTGCAGGAGCCGGTCTTGCCCATGCCTCTCCAGCGCTTGAGAAGAAAGCTCAAGTGGAGAAACGCGACATCCAAGTCACTTACAAAGACTGCGACGTGATCACTCCGAAGGTTTTCATTATTTCTATGGTAGGAGCCAATCACCATCCTTTAAAAGCCTTCTAACAAAGCTCCAGTTCTCCCCCGAAGCCGATATCTGGTACACGAATGCACATACAAAGGGCTCAATTGGCGACTTGCTCGCTCACAATGTTACCGTCCCCGGGTTCTCTCCTCTCTTTCCACAGGCACATTGTCTGAAAGATGGCTCTGTCTGCCAACTGACAACTGGCGAATCCGAGATCAACGCAGCCTCGACCATCACAGCCCTCGTCCACTCCCCCCTCTTCAATCTGAAGTCCACCTACTTCCTCATCGGTGGCATCGCGGGCATCAACCCTAAATACGGCACCCTCGCCGACGTAGCCTTCAGCAAATACGCCATCCAAGTCGCCCTACAATACGAATTCGACGCCCGCGAGATCCCTTCAAACTATACCACCGGTTACGTGCCCCAAGGCGCATACGCACCTAACCAATACCCCGGTAGCATCTACGGCACCGAAGTCTTCGAAGTCTCCGAGACTCTCCGCGATATCGCCGCCTCGTTCGCCTCGTCCGCAAAGCTTAACGACAGTGCTGCAGCCATCGCCTACCGCGCACACTACACCGACAACGGCGTCTCTATCTACAAAGCCGCCACCAAAGCCCCCGGAATCATCAAGTGCGACACCGCGACCTCGGACGTCTACTTCTCCGGCGCCCTGCTCGGCGAAGCCTTCGAGAATACCACTACACTCTTCACCAACGGTTCTGGGATTTACTGCATGACGGCACAAGAAGACAACGCTACACTCGAAGCCATGATCCGCGCCGCCAAGGACAAACTCCTCGATTTCGCAAGAATCATTATCATGCGCACAGCATCCGACTTCGATCGTCCGTACCCTGGCCTGAGTGTCCTCGATAACCTCTTCTATTCCGATCAAGGCGGCTTCCTCCCCGCCATCCAAAACATATACCTAGCGGGCACTCCGGTGGTACAAGGGATTCTAAAGGGCTGGGATTCCAAGTTCAAGAATGGAGTGACCCCGAAGAATTACATTGGGGATATTTTTGGGACGCTTGGGGGGACGCCGGATTTTGGACCGGGGAATGTTTTTGGGGGCGCCTCGGCGAAGCGTGACGTCGAAGAGGTGCAGGATCGGAGGAGTATGTATAAGAGGAAGGGGATGCTTGGAGCCGAGATTGCGAGGAGGGCGAATGGAGCGGTGAGTGAGGAGTGAGTTGCGGTGTGGAAGGGTTGCTTTTATCTTGCTTTTTTCCCTGCCTTGATCGTTCAAGCTTTTGGTGGGCTTGCATATACGGGTGGTTGCCTGTTTGGAGGGCGAGATATTCGTAATGCATATTTATCCATGGCTCTAATTTTAGCTTTGGAAAGGGTACGCTTGGATATTGGCCAAATGGCTTGAGTTAGGTGATATCAGTGAATTAGTTGGTGGTTTCGTGCTTGGTAGACATATCCGCACTTAGGACATAATGAATTTAGATGAGCCAAAATGCACTCCTTCCTTGTTCGCTGTGGAGAAGTGAGTAGGATTCTGGAGCAGAGACGCTGTGAGGAGGAAAATTCGCTTAAACCTCAGGCACGCATTTCGCTTAATTATCGCGCTAAGGAGTATATAGCCTCACACGCCTCGCTCCCAAGCTTCTACAAGCTTCACGCTTCTCTTGTAGAAAATACCACAGTTCTAGAAATCTCTCTGTTGTTACGTGACATGTGTTTTTACCCGGTAGATCGGTTGGCCTGGTACATGGTTCACTTCTGCCTATTTGTCCTCTTGATCTCAACGGGTGGATGTTGCGGGTGTAGATCACGTGATAGGATGCTTTGAAAGACTGGTGGAGTCTGTCGTATATGGCAATAGGGATATTGAAGAACTACCAGGGGTTATCATCTTCTGAACTGGCTTCACGACGTAGCTTGTTGCGAAATCTCTTGGGAAGTGTGTAGGTCACGTGGAAACATGAGCATTGTGCCGTGACTCGTAAGGTATTGAAACGAAATAAACATTAAGTGTGGTATCAACTAAACAAAACAAACTTGCTTCACCTACCCCTAATTTCGATTTCTATTCTCCAAGCCACACAACAAAGAACCCCCTTTTCCCTATTTCTCTCGATTTTCTCACTCCTCCACCCAACCCTCACTTCTGCACCTCCGGGCTCGTCGTCTGCTCCTACTCATGCTCCGCCGTAGCCTCAAGATGGGGTTCCTTCTCACTGCCACTGTGCTCCTTCTCCGTCCCAACAACGCCACTGCCACTCCCCGCACCTCTCAACAGCGTATCCAGTCCAATCTCCTTATTAATCTCCTCCATTCTCTCGAAGTCAGCTTGCGCCGTACCCTCCGATCCGAAGATTACATCCATTTCCTCGAGCGTCAAGCGCTTTGTCTCGGGCACGAAGAACCAGACGAATGCTGCGCCGCCGAATGTCAGGATGCCGAAGATGAGGTAGGTGCCGTACGAGATGCCAGAAATCATGTCGGGCGTTACCTGGCCGACGATGAAGTTGTTCATCCAGTTGGAACTTGCGCCGAGGGCGATTCCGTATGGGCGGTTGGATAGGGGCCAGATTTCGGCGACGATGATCCAGGCGCATGGTCCCCAGCTGTATCCGAAGTGAACGACAAAAAGCCAGACCATTACCACTGCACCCCAGCCGGCTGCTTTGTGCGTTGCCCACGAGTACCTATCTGCTGCTACGATTGCTGCGACGATGATGTGGCAGATTGCCATACCGATAGCGCCGATTGTGAGGATTGGCTTGCGGCCAATTTTATCGATGTAAAGGACGGAAGGAATGGTTGCGATGAACATGACCACACCAACGACACCAGTAGCAAGTAGAGAGGTAGTGTTCGAAGAGAGACCTAGGGACTTGAAAATCGTGGGCGCATAGTAAAGAATCGCATTGATGCCCGTCCACTGCTGAAAGAACATCGTTACGGTAGCGACGATGACACGCTTGAACATAGCTCTCGTCTTGAACAGAGACCCAATTGCTACGAATTGCAACTTGAAGATATTCCATGCTGTCAACTCGCGCAAGTGAGGGAAGTGCTCCGCCACTGTGCGCTTCTCAAACATGCTCTGGGCCTTAATTTCGAGAAATTCAAGCTCGACGAGCTCATGGTCGGGAGGTAGATCACGCAGGTTTGCGAGTACTTTCCTGGCTTCTTCCTCACGATTATGGTGGACTAACCAACGAGGAGAGAATGGCATGAAAAGAATACCGGCGAAGAGGACGGCTGCAGGGAAGAGTTGCAGGCAGATGGGGAGCAACCAAGCAGCTTCGTGTTGAGAGTCTCCACTTCCGCCGATGTAATTGGTACCGTAATCGATCCAGAAGGATATCATGATTCCGAAACAAATAGCCAGCTGTTGGAGGGCAATCAGAGACCCGCGAACCTCTGGTGGGGCGACTTCTGCGTTGTACATGGGCACGATCATGGAAAGAGATCCCACACCCATACCACTAGTCATGATTAGAATATGTATTTTGAGTGACGAGAACACTTACGTGATGAACCGACCTCCAAGAATGGAATTGTGTCCAGCACTAATAGCAGTTGTTTGGATCACGACGCCCAAGATGAACACAGATGTAGCTATCAAGATGCCGTACTTTCTCGAGGCAGTCTCCGCCAAGAAACCAGAGAGAAGTGTACCAAACCAAGCACCGAGCTCGAGAATTGATGTGAGCCATCCCTTGCGGGTCTGATCTGCTGGATCATTGGAGTCATAATTTCCCATGTGTCGTTGGAAAGACGGCATAGTCAATACGCCTGAGAAGACTCCTTGGTTGTAACCTGCGGGGTGTAAGTCAATTAGTATTGACATGATCTGGTTTTACATACCGTAAAGAAGTCCACCAATACAAGCAAACATGGCAATCATGAAGACCTTGCCATTTTTAACCAGAGCAGCCGGCCCACTGGCTCCCATAAGGGTCTGACGACGTTGAAGAGCGGCATCGTAGAAGCCAGGCGCCGCATTACCACCAGCGACCATCTTTGCAATGAGTTTGAATTTGTTGCACGGACAACAATATTAAGAGAAGTAGACAGTAGAGAAAAGTTATGCAAAGCTGCAAGTTCTCGTGCGGAGTATCATTGTGCGGATACCCAACAGTTATACTGAATCGAAACCTGAGGAGACTAATTCACCTGGTGCTATCCATGGTGACAGCTTCGGATAAACGGGCACGGATAAATGTGACTCAGAAAGAGCACCCAGTTTAAGAAGAGTGTATGAGTGGCCAATTCCACTTGAAAACTCTTACCGGCTTGAACATCACGAGCTGGTAGCGGACAAACCTCGAGGAGGGGCAACGCGGCGGGGCCTCAAAGTGGAGATACAACGGCATTGTGCTGTAGTGCCCATCCCTACGGGCTGGATAAAGTGCCCAGAGCGGCACTTGACAGGTTCATTTGAACAGATTGAGTCAGCAGCTGGGGGATCGCCGGTGAGTATTCCCCAATGGATGGGTCGATGCTCTCTCCGCATTTAAGCGCTTCGGGCAGTCGAGCAGAAGCCTACTTCACATTCAGGCTGAATGTTCCGAGTTGAAGCGGGTCTTTATATCTTCTAATGGAACGCTCTGAATGACTGAAGACGGAGTGATGTCGGCGAGACTGAAAGCCATCCTGTGCTCCAGTAGTGGATATCACGCCTCCAAGCCATCGAATCCGCCTTTAATTGATGTGGCTTGCGATCGCGGGTGGGGATCGAAAGGGCTTGAGAAGGCTTTGGTTGCGGGGACGGATTGGTGCGGGTAGAAATATTCTCCGCATGGGCTGATGTGATGGGAGGAGGCCTTGGTGGAGGACTGAGGTCGGAGCGGGTGAAGACAGGCGTGGAGAGGGTGGGAGGTGGGGTGACGCGGAGGGGGGAGGGTTGGTTGTTGGATTGTTGGTGGCGCGCCCAGCACAGTGCTCGCTTAACAAGCCAGGCCAGGCTATTCTACCCAGGGGTATTGCACGTGACGCGGTGTTGGCCCCGCCCCCATCAAAACATCAGACCAAAAATATCTGGCACCCCCCTGAACCTCATCTCGTCCCATCTTCGTTCCTTCCCACTCATTAACAGTAGACGCGCGCTCTACATATCCTCCGAACCACTCATCTCCGTTGGCGCTCCCGAAAAAGCCAATTCTTGTTTCAGGAGACGATCTGCCGCCCCGTGGACAGAGATTGCGACAAGGCTGACTTTGAGCCCCTCTGGCCCCTTGGCCCACCGACCTATTTATGGCCCTTCCCGTCCAATTTACCGCCCGCTAATACGCGCCGACCTCACTTCTCAAACTCTGAAATGATACAACCGCCTACTGGGCCAAGTGGACCAATATGATGGACCATCTGATGGCGCATCACGATCGTTGGAGACTTGGTACCGTCTGCGCGGCAAACGGGTCGGGGCCGCGAGTTTCATTCTCCCTCAAACCCTCTAGAACGCGCCTGACTTGGAGGCAGAACTGCAGTTACACAGTCTAAATCCAGGTCCGCTTGTTTCAGCAAGTTCAGTGTGGTCTCGATTTAGGACTGTCTGGGCGTCGGTAAGGCTATAAACATCTTGTTGCAGCCCCCACCGTCATCCCCCTTCCAACAATCCGTTTGGGACCGAATTGTATAAAGCACGGCCGCCAGTCCCTTGCCCAGGCCTCCTTCTCTCCTCCTCCCAGAGCCACTGCATTTGTTTTCTATATACCCCATACGCGAATTTCCTTTCGTCGTTTCATCTCTTCCTATCCTCTCGTTCTCAACTCGTTCGTTTGATCCCCAAGCCCTCCTGGCGAGGTATCTCATTCCAATCCTCGCCTCTCCATCACCCTTCACCCATCGCCCATCACATCTCCTCACTCGTTGTAAGATGCCAAAGGGACAACACAGGGCCGTGCGAAGTCAAGGATACTACCGCCTGACCCCAGTCACTACCCCAACGACCGCATACGCTCCCGTCTCGTCCCGGCCCGACATTCAGAACGGCTACTATAATTCCTCGGTTCCCCTCACGCCCAGTATGTCTCAACAGTCGTACACCCAGCAGCCCTCTGGTTACCCCAATGGTGGACCGGTACAACTTCCCTTGAGTACTCCACAATACACTCAGATGGCTCAAGCACCACCGCTAGCCTCGATACGCCCTTCGAGCGGAGCATGGAACCCCCAAGATGATCAGACTCTCATGGCAGCTCGAGCACAAGGGATGAACTGGGCTCCCATCCAGCAAGCCTACTTCCCCTCCAAAACACCCAACGCTTGTCGGAAACGGCACGAACGGTTGATGGAGAGACGAAGTGCAGACGATTGGGATGGGCTAAAGCTAGAGTCTCTAGCGAAGAATTATATGGGCATGAGGAGAGAGATCTGGTCAGGGCTGGCTGCAGAAACTGGCGAGAAATGGAATGTTGTTGAGCAAAAGGTACTTCTTCCTTCCTAACCATTCCAACGAATAAAGTTAACTTGCGATCAAGTGCATGTCACAAGGCCTCAAGAACCTCCAAACAGCAGCCCGCTCCTGCGCCCGCCGCGAACGCATGCTCGACACCTCTCAAAGCGGGCCTTACCAAGGTGCGTACGATCGAGACGATAGCGGACTCGGTCTCGGCGATGACATAGGAGCTGATTATGACGGAGATGGAGCTAGTGATCGTTCCGGCAGTGCGAGCGCATATCAGGGACACCACTACAGCTCCAGCGCCGGCAGTGGTGGGAGCGGAGGCTACCACCCGCACGGGCAGAGACTGCCTAGCATGGACATGGGGATCGATGCGATAATCAATCGGCCTGGAAATGGACGTTGATACTTTTGTTGGTTTTGAAGGGTGAGATGAGATGCATGGATTAAGTTGATTGGTGTTTTGGCGCTCGACTGCATTTTGGGCCTCGTTCGGCCACGACAATCCTTTGAGATCGGATCGGATTTGATTCATGAGATATGAACTGTGTAGAATAGCCTTGTAAAAGTACACCGATAGCAGAGCATTAGCTCTTCAGCCAAAATGCAACATTCATTCCCTCACACCGCACCCAATCTGCTCCTAAACTCCTACTCGCACAAACCCGGTCTAGAAATCGTCTATCTGGGCGGTAATGCAATCGCGGCCGCTCTCGTTTCAGGCTTCACACGTTTGCTGGACAGCACAGCCTCCTCTTCATCCTCCTCTAACCAATCCTCCTCATCCCCATCCAAGTCAGGTTGGCCTATAGCAGCCCTCCACACACGCTGCCACATGCCCTTCTTCTCTACCATCGCCAAAATCATAACCACGGGCAGATGCCATACACTAGCCCAGAACAGCCCCCTTGCACTCCCCTTATGCCCTTCCAATTTCCAAAACCTTACCGCTTCCTTGACCAACCAAATATTAACAGGCGCACTCGCCACCGTAAAGCTCCACTCTGTGATTCCCGTATAGCAAAGCCCGATACAAATCGGGAAGAACAGCAGACTGTATCGCAGCGCTACTCGCCCGTTCCGTGCAGGGTTCACCCAACATAACATCTTGTACCCCGCATTCTTGTACTCCTCTCTAATCGGCCAGCTCAGGGACATGAAGTGCGGGAATTGCCACGCAAATAGTAAACCTGCGAGTAACCAGCCCCCGAAGTTCTGCTCTCCCAGGAGCAGCTCTTTCCAATCTCCATGTGTGGCGCTCTGTCCCGCTGCTGCAGCCCAGCCCATCAAAGGCGGGATACCGCCAACGATAGCCCCGATCCAGGTATTAACCACCGAGACGCGCTTTAGCGGTGTATAAGCCCCTGCATAGAGCACGATATTCAATGCCCCTAGGAACGAAACTGTAGGATTGACGCCGTAATAAAGAGCGGCGGTTCCGGCCAACCCTGCTAGGATAGCAAATACCGCCGCCCCGCGTGTAGAGATCAGGCCGCGGACTAACGGCCGGTTCCGTGTTCGAGACATCATAGCATCCCATTTCGGCTCGTAGAGCATGTTGAATGCGTTTGCGGACGCGGCGCAGAGGGTTGTGCCCGTGGTGAGGAAGAGGAGCGTGAGTGGGGAGAGGGAAGGCGTGGCGGTTGCGGAGAGGAGTTCGGGGACTGGGTAGAGGGAGTATGAGGCGCAGGCGGTCAGGACGACGAGGATGGAGAGGCGGGGTTTGGAGAGCGAGAGGAGGACGGGGATTAGTCTTCGCAGGGAGTTGGGAGGGGCTTCGGAGGCAGTTGTGGAGAGGGTGGAGGAGGTGTTGGGTGGGAGGACGAGATCTGCGGTAGCTGCTGCTCGCCGTGTGGCTTGTCGTCGGCGGTGGGGGAGGTCTTGGGTTGAGGGGGGTGGAGGGGAGGGTGACGATGGGAGCTTCGGAGCTTCATTTGAAGTTGTAATTGAGCTCGTTTCAGGGATCGTAGACGTCAAGGCTCCTCTCCTTGAGCTTATGCGCGCTTTTTCGAGTAGGGAATTGGCGGAGAAGTATCCGGCTCGAAGTCGTGGTGTTGCTGCCACTGAAGCTTGAACATTCGATGTCCTCGAGAAATTTCTCGTCACCGTTCGCGGTGCGGCCGGCGTTTTGAGAAGACATGATAGGCACACGGTACTGAGGCCATTGGATCGAAGGGCACTCGCTGGTGGGTACCGTATAATCATTGCTTGCTGGTGGTGGTGTTTGGAGGCCTTGGATAGTTCGAGGTGAGCTTTGAAGCATGATTTTGCGGGAGTTCCCGCTCACTCCAATTCGAGAACCTGTCAGCCAATCAAGAGTCTCAGATTATCAACTCCGTCAGACGTCTATTCTTGACCTCCCAGAGCCTCCTCCCTCCTGCACAACTTGTATCGCTGCGTATCGCTGCATACTTTGCAGCCAACTTTGCAGAATAGACCGTTCGTTGCAATGCGCTATGCTCACGTGACGCTGAAAGACCTCGGCAGGCGCTTCAAAATTGGTTCACTAATCCAACCCGAGTTCTCAGACATTGGAATTTGAAGCCTCTTTCTCCGTTATTTCGTCCGCACCAATGGCTTCCCTGCCATTGCCTCTCTTCCGCACACCCGGCCTATCGTTCGAACCAGGAGGAGTGTTAGTTTGCTTCTCGCGGGAGCGGAGTTGATGAGTTCCTCTGCCGTTCATGGCCTGATACTGATGCGGCGTTTCGGGGCGTCAAGTTGCACTCAAAAGCCTCGAGCACTGCAGAGGCTTTACCCGGCTTGGAGGGCTCGGCCTCCTGTTGAATGCCAGCCCTCAGTTCGCAATCGGTGGCTTAAAACCGTCAACCCCCCTGTAGTATTTGCGGAGTCTTTACTCATCATTGCCGTCTTTCAATGTCCTTGTGAAGCTGTGAAGCTTGATAATGATGGCGATATCCGAGACTCGTCATGTCATTTGCTAAAGCGCAAGAATCCTTTTACTATATATTACTCTTTTCGACCTTATATTCTTAGTCTTGAAATATCCTTCACAGTATCTTTCAATCCTGCTTCTGTAGTTACAGCACGATACAAGTCTACCCCCCTCCCATGATGGCGTCGGATATTGCATTCGATAAGGAAACAAAACCGAGTCATGACATTCAAGCTCCCTCTGACAGAAACTCAACCTCACTCGACATAGCAGAGAAACTTGGAGATCCCGATTCACCTGATGGAGATCCCGATCTTGAGACTGGACTTCCCCAGGAACTAGTTTGGGACTCTCCAGAGGATCCAGGGAACGCACGAAATTGGTCAACTATCAAAAAAGTCTTTCATACAGCAATACCAGCGTTGTATGGTTTTGTGATGTGAGTTCACAAGCCAACCAACATTCTACCACCATTGACTAACATTGATCAGCACAGTTGGCTCATCCGTATATACACCAGCAATCCCAATCATAATGGCTAAGTACCATGTGACTAGAGAGGTTGCCATTCTTCCTCTATCTTTATATGTTCTCGGCTTTACCATCGGTCCCATTATCGCAGCTCCTCTGTCCGAACTCTATGGTCGTCGGGCTGTTTACTGGTCCACAATGCCCATCCTCCTCACATTCACAGCGATAGCGGGAGCAGCAAACAGTGTTACTCTTCTAATAGTCATGCGTTTCTTTGCTGCCATGGGCGGTTCTGGAGCGCTGGCCGTGGGAGCTGGTAAGTTTCTCATGAACCCCTTTCATAACGAGATCTGACATCCATCAGGAACAATCTCCGACCTATGGACTCACGAGAGCCAGGGTAAAGCTTCATTATTCTTCGTCATGTCTCCTTTCCTAGGCCCAGCCCTGGGTCCCCTCACAGGCGCATACATTATCAGCGAATATGACAATGATTGGAGATGGTCGATGTGGGTGATCATGATCGTTGCTACCCCGATCGCCTTGGCTGCATTGTTTATGCAGGAGACTTCACCGAAGCGGATTCTGTACCTCAGGCAGAAGAAGCTTGGAATCAAAGCTCCGCATCAAACTGGCGACACTCGAATACTTTTACGGAAGCTTCGACAAGCATTTTTCAGACCGCTGCATATGATGTTGATCGAGGTAAGTTTCTTTCTCACTCCGATTCCACCTGCTAATTAAAATCAAGCCTCTTGTTGCCTACCTAAGCATTTACACCGGCTTCGCATTTGCAATGATATTCAGTTTCTTCGGCTCTTACAACTACGTCTTTCAATCCGTCTACCACTTCAACCAGAAGGAAATCGGTCTTACATTCATCGGTATTCTGATTGGGTTCATCTTCGCTATATTATCATTCGGGATCTTCGACGCAACACTCTACCGACGAGCGTCAATCAAAGCAAATGGGAGACCAGCACCTGAACACCGCCTCTATGCTGCGATGCTTGGGAGTTTCATGTTGCCAATCGGTCTATTCTGGTTTGCGTGGGCGCCAAACAAAGACGTGCACTGGATCGTGCCAGTTCTGGCTGGTGTTCCCTTTGGCTGGGGATGTTTAGGAATCTTCGTACGTTCCCTTCCTCCTTCCTCCCTCCCTCTTCTCCATCCTTACCAAAACCTAACACATCGTCCACAGATATCAGCAACAACCTACCTCGTCAACGTCTACCAATCCGAAAATGGTGCCTCAGCCGTAGCAGCCAACGGCATCCTGCGCTACGGCTTCGGCGCCGCGTTCCCGCTCTTCACGATACAGATGTACCAAGCGATGGGTGTGCATTGGGCGGGAAGCGTGTTTGCTTTTGTGAGCGTCGTGTTGATGCCGGTTCCGTGGGTCTTCTTTTGGAAGGGGAAGGTATTAAGGGCGAAGAGTTATTATGATACTATTAGGGACTAGGAGGGAAGGTGGAACCAGTGAAGGTGAAAATAGTGGGTTCTGCTGCATTTGTTAGATGGAGTTAATTCGGGTATCATTTTGGGAAATGGATGTTGAGGGCGGCTGACGACGAGCATAGGCGCTTGGGAGTTTTACTTGAGTAGTGTATATATGGTTACGGTTATGGCCTAACAGTTGATTGTCTATCGTGAGAGGCCTGTGTCTCCGTTGTCAACACCCTCTTGACTATTGCAGGTATTCAATGTCTCTACGTCTGTCATCCGATGTCACTCGTCAAGTCCCTCGTCAAAATAGGGGTGAAAGTGGGATGCGCGCTGCCCTGTGTGAGGACGAAATGAGGGGTTATCCCATCTTTGTGGTCCACCACTGTTATCGAGACCAATGAATAGCCCCTCTAAGTATTATAGACGCCCTTATCTCTATACTCTTTAGGTGTTTTGGGCATTAGTACATACTTTCCCGTTGAGATAGTCTTGCTTCACGAAACTGGATCGAAAGCACAAGAAACCTTTCACCTTTCCTTTCACTTTCGGAAATCTCCAGATAAACGCCTCAGACTGCTGAACAGGAAACAGGCACCATGGCGCCCAGCGCAACTTCCTCTCCACTACAAGCCTTCTCAGATAAAACACTCAAGAGCTCTTCCTCGACACTCCCCAAAGTCCGGTCCTTCGACACAGCTATCGTATCAACCGACTCACTTGTCAACGCATTGAGACTCACCAGCGGAGTAATCACCTGGAATTTTCTGAGCACCAAGGAAACCACGCAAATTGAAAAAGATGTTCGTTCCCGTCTGGATGCTGACTCGCCCTGGAAAGGAGGCTTCTTCCCGCCAGAGACACAGTGAGCTTTGATTGGTGGAGAAATCGAGGACATTTGCTGTGAGGATTGTGGGGAATGGGCTGTGGCTTGGAGTTTGTGATTCGTTGCTCACTAGTGAGAATTTGCATAATTGGATGAGCTATTCTTAACCTGAGATTTGATGTTGGAGATTTGGCTTTGATGTGGGGAATCAAGCACTTCATCGAGACACACCACCGCGACTACCCTGCTGTCTCTGAACAGGTCCTTGGCCATGACGGGGAAAGATAGCCACACGAGCTAACAGAACAACTCGATTCATCCCAGTTTTTACCTTAGGGACTACGCCGAAGGCCCTCCAAAGGAAGAGTAATGTTTCTATGCTGAGGTGAATCCGGGGGATGCGTTTGTGGTTCTTTCTGCTTGCCCTCATCGTTAATCGGCGAATACGACGAAGGATGAGGAGAGATTGGTTTATTAAACTTTCTTTATGGGGGGAATGGATGAGGCAGAAGGAGAGTCAGTATCTTGCTAACGATATTGAGGAGATTAAGAAGTTGCCGGAATGGACACAACAGAAGGTGGGCTATGGACTTAGTAGGTCGTTTCTGGGTCGGGTTAATTTGTCGAATCTAATGCTCGTGCTGCATCCGGGGGTGAGAACGGATACAAGTGTTGAACATAGACTTCCACTCGCTCCAATCACAGTTGAGCTGTCAATCGGAATTGAGGACCGCCAGTCAGCACCCGGCGATTTTATGTAAATCATCTGAGCCGCAGACTTCAACCAACTGGGCTACTGAGGCAATGAGGAGGCGTTTCGATGCTCGGTGCTCGCTGTTGTTCTCTTGGCAAAATCCAACGCCTCGTACTCGCATAGGTGGGAGGGGCGTGGTTCTAAATGTCCCATCCCGAGCAACGAAGCTCGAATTTATTTTCTTCCAGCTGAACAGACTCCTGGGTTTTGCCTTGAAGGGTTGTTTGAAGAGGCTCAGTGCCAACCACCGAAGACTCCACCTACTTGGTCCCTGAAGGCTCTCCTGAAATGTAAAAATTGGAATTTGGAAGGCTCGTCGGTCCCCAGCCCTCGGGCCCGTGCAGGGGCAGCCCTGCATCATCTCCGGCCATGCAGATATCTTGCACAGATTTATCCCCTATTTGTGGAAATTATGCCGTTGTGCACAAATTGTGCACAGACTTCCTGTCCTCAACTCCCGACCCGATGTATTTATTCACAGTTGGCGGCGCATTCATCTTTCCCATGAATATAACACGGAGCTACTTCCTCCGGCCCCATTTTTGACTTTGTGATGCGGTGACAAAAGGTTCTCTTCCCCCTAAAGTTCAACTACTGTAGTTTTGTGTGAGCTGGTAGGTTATCAACAGGCAGGCTTCTCCCAGCTACCCCACGTTTGGCGGCCCGCTGCATAATCTAGTAAGCTCGCTCGCTCGCTCTCCTCTCCACAACAGCCCAGCTGGCGACATCATCGAAACAACCACGACCTTGTCGATATCACTTCAACAATGGCAGAACAGAGTGCTGACAGCCGCAGGCGATCTGCCAAACGCGAATATGAGTTCCCCAGCCGCGGAACCCAAAGCGGCCCCATCCCAGGAAACACAAACACAACATGCGCGGCCGCCATCCCCTCCCCAACCTCGATTGACGGACTTAGAGAAAGAGACGCTGGCTGCATATGAAGGGCACGATGCCGATATACCGTCGAATGAAGGCTACATCCTCGATGCACAAGGGGAGTTGAAGCGGAGACAATCGATCGTGCTGAGCCATAAGGCCTCCAGGAAAAGCATAGAGAGGAATAGCTCCAACAATGATGTCGAGAAAGCGGGAGAGGCGGGTTCGACTGAAGAAGACGATTCGAATATGGTTTGGTGGGACGGCCCTGATGATCCTCTGAACCCGACCAACTTTAAGCCGTGGATCAAGCTCCTGAACATTTGCTTGGTGTCGGCACTCTGCTTCGTCACGCCGCTGGGATCTTCGATGTTTGCGCCTGGTGTGCCGGAGTTGATGAAGGAGTTTAAGAGTAGTAATGTTGAGCTGGCTGGTTTCGTGGTCTCGGTTTATGTGCTTGGGTTCGCCGTTGGCCCGCTCTTTTTCGCTCCGCTGAGCGAGATTTATGGTCGATTGCCCGTGTATCATGCTTGCAATGCTTTGTTCTTTGCTTGCAATATTGCGTGTGCCCTTGCGCCGAATCTGAACTTCTTGGTAGGGTTCAGATTCCTAGCGGGCGTATTTGGCAGCGCGCCGTTGACAAATGGAGGTGGGACGATTGCAGACCTGGTGACTCAACAGAAGAGAGGAAAAGCAATGTCTGGATTTGTTGTGGGGCCTATTTTCGGACCAATTAGTGAGTCTCGTCGTTCAATTTCGTAGGCAGTTTCTAACACCTTCAGTCGGGCCTGTTGCTGGCGGCTTTTTGAGTCAAGCCAAGGGCTGGAGATGGACGTTCTGGGTCCTCTGCATGCTCTCTGGACTTTTTGGACTTCTCAGCTTAGTGTTCATGAGAGAGACGTATGCCGTCGTCATTCTCCAACGCAAGACGATCCGGCTACAGGTCGAAACTGGAAACAAGGAGCTACGCTCCAAGCTCGATGTCGGCCTTTCACCTCAAGACTTCTTCCTCCATTCGATCATCCGCCCCATGAAAATGCTCGTCAAGTCTCCAATCGTCCTATTACTAGCACTCTACGTCGGGGTCATATACGGCTACCTGTACCTCCTTTTCACAACCTTCACGCCAGTCTTTGAAGAGGCCTACCACTTCTCATCTGGAATTGTCGGCCTCACCTTCCTTGGCCTGGGATTCGGTTCCATATCCGCAGTGGGATTCTTTGCCTGGTCAACAGACCGTGTCTTCAAGGCGAGGAAAGAAGCCATGGAAGCAGCTGGTGAAGCGACAGGCGACGGTGCTGTGCTGCAACCCGAAGCTCGTCTCACTTCTCTGCTCCCTGCATATTGTCTTATTCCCATTGGGCTGTTCATCTATGGCTGGACAGCACAATACAAAGTCCACTGGATCGTACCCATCTTGGCCACTGTCCTGATCGGCATGGGCAACATCGCGGTCTTCATGTGCATCTCGCTGTACCTGATTGATGCCTTTGCGCTCTATGCTGCGAGTGCCTTGGCTGCGAATACAGTCGTCAGGAGTATCATGGGCGCGGTGCTTCCGCTGTGCGGCCAGAAAATGTATGATACTTTAGGACTTGGCTGGGGCAACAGTCTCTTGGGTTTCATTGGCTTGGCGTTGCTGCCTGTGCCGTGGGCGATTTTGAAGTGGGGTGAGTTCTTGAGGAAGAAGTATGAGATTAAGAACTTGTGAGCTTTGGCGCATTGTGTCGGTGCGGAAAAGGCATCTTCTATTGCATTCCACTTGGTAGCATTTTTGCATATACTACATAGGTATAAATTCATCTGTTTATGATTCAGCCCACCTTCTCTGTGGGCTGTAGGGCATCTAAGCACATGGGATCCTACGATTTGGTCACCCTTTTCTCTTTTTGCGGTAGCCACTATGTCAGGTCAGGTATAACTATGCATTGAACAGTTTTGGTCTTCTAATATTTCAAGTCTTTCGATGTTGGTCGCTCTTTCCCCTTCACTTTCGTCTCGCCAACTTTTCTTCCAAACTGTCGATGGCAACCGCACCTTCCCAACTGGGTGGACCGAATGGAGTTCCTAAGTTCCTTCACATCAAGGAAAGGACCATAAACCCTTGCCCACTTCATCTCACAAACTGTTTTGCAGCCCATTCTCTCAACAACAACAACAACAATTTATATTTCATCGCACCACTTTCCAGACAGTATTCTCTAACGCAACTGTATATTTCCTCTTCAATACTTCACCAATCTTCACAGCCCGCAGCTGGAACAATGCAGCTCCCGCCTAACGAGCCTCGCGAAGAGGAATGGCCCGCCATCTCCAGTTCTCCTTCATTTACCCTTTCGACACCTATGACAACGCCCAGCTCTCAGGGCAGCTATTGCAGCACTCAGAGCTACTTCCCCAACACCTTCGTGAGGCAGCAGTCTTGGGCACAGGTGGCTGGGGATACCAGTGCGACCACTAATCGAAGTCCCACGGGGACACCCGCGAATCTCAAATCCAGGGCATCGCCAGCTCAGTCACCTTCGAAGGAAGCTCCCGGGTCCACCTCTACTCCTGCTCAGTCTTATGCCACTGTCGCTCGGTCTTCCGCTACTGGCAGCGGCCTTGCTGTTTCTCGACATGCTGAAGGCGCAACACCACCAAGAAGATTCGAGATTCCTGCTCAGTATTCTGCTACACCTGATCGAGCTCCCGGCGGACGACGGGTGTTGACCGTTCAGCATGTTGAAGCTGCTATGCGTCCACAGGCTCAGAATCCCCCTCCAGCTTCTGCTGCAAACAGAGCGGGTGGAAGCAATAACCCCAAGAGACCATCTGTGGTGCCTGTGATTCCCGCAACCTTCAAACAGGCCATCCGACGTGGGCCTGGTTCATTTTCGATGCATACCTCAGCTGGTTCTGCCAACAGAGCTAATAGGGAGACCATTGTTAACATGGAGCCTCTGGCACAAACGCTTCCCCACAGCAGCGGGCCTGTCCCAATGCAGGATTCAATACAGGAGATCGTCGATCGGGTTGGTGAGCCGAATCTAGATTCGAATAGAGTGAACGAATTGGAATGGATACAAGAGGTCATCGCCACAGTTCGTCAACAATGTGGGGTTTTGCCGAGCCAAGAAACAATGCAGAAGATTGTCCGTCGGGTTTGTGGGCCTGCTACATCCTCGATAGGAAGCCCAGTTGGTCCTGTAAATAGCGCAGATGGAGAGAACAGTTTCAATATGGAGCGTCCAGTGCAAGGGGTGACCCAGGCAACTGGATGTAGTGAGCCTGGTGCATCCTCGATGAGAGCTTCAGCTGGTCGTTCAGACAGACCACAGGCAGGCCAGCTTCTCGATGGCCGGGGCCGCCCTGGTATTTCAGCTCGTCAACGGCGTCCAACTTTTCTTGATCGACTCAAGAATCGGCCGTGGAGATCTGATCAGCAGACGGCAATCCCGCGGAACCGTCAGCCAGAAAGATCTCGACCACAGAATTCTCAGCCAGAACTATACCTCTCGCAAAGCCCCGTAGTTGAGCTAGAAGCCTGGCCAGTGAATGCCAAAGGGCTCGCCTTATTTGCTTATGCAGGTTGGGATCAATTCCAACTCTTCGGAGATCCAATTATTGTCAAAGTCCCAGTCGGAGTGCTTGGGAGTGAGTGCCCGAACCCTTTGTGTCAAGCACCATCTGAAGGAGCATCCACTTTTCTAAGATTCTCTTGAGTCATTGCGAAATTGACTATACTGACATTCAACTAGACAAATTGAGTGTTGAACTCCAGCGTTTCGTTCAATCAAATGGACGCTTTGGTCATATCCTCAACGCTGGGTTTATCTGGTCCTACGCAGACGCAAGGCATGCAGTAGTCCGCCTCGGACAAGATAACTGGCATCGAATTATGGACAACTTACGCGGGGAGTTCTACATTCTCTTCTCGGATTGTTGGAAGATGTCCTTTATGAAAGTGCCATCTGAGGAGCAGTGTGTGCTCGAAGAGTGTGGAATTTGTAAGAGTGAGGATCCTGATTATTCCCCTGATGAGAAGCCGAATCCATTGAAAAGGCGGTGGATATTCAACTACGTTTTGCGCAGCCACCCTTCAGCCGACGGAAGTGGATTGGAAATCCGGGCTAATCACAAAGTAAGAGGGTTCTGATATCGTGGAACTGGCTATGCTAGTTGCGTGATTATTGGCATTGAGTGGAATGGGGAGACTCGCCATGAGGATTGTTGATCCATGATGCTGAATCAGTCATTCCTCGAATTTGTCTCGGGCTCAAAGCCGTCGGTATTGGTCATTGTTAGCTTCAGAAAGCGAGTCAGTCCTGGATCGAAGCGGTAACTTCTGGTCTCGTAGCAGTTGTTTTTTGTTATCCCTTTCAAGCAGCTTCCTGTCTCATCACTAGCGTTGTGGATTACTTCTTGGCCAGAATCAAATAGCTACAAGCGGGAACTTCTCAATGTTCTCAAAATGCCACCGTGACTGACTCCAATAGCCTCAAAATCCCGATATCCTCATCCCAGGAGCAGAGTTCTCGGGATGACCTACTTCACTCAGTCTATATAATTTCAAATAGCAAATTTTGCCACTTGGGTTACCTCGGGAACTCAAGTAGAGCATTGGTAGCTCAAATCGTGCATAACCAACAGGCTCGCAAGAGCCTTGAAGTTAAGCACTCTTCTTACCAGCCTAGTCCGGGGAGTTGAAATAAAAACAATGCTCTTCGCCGTAGGCTTAGAGCGAAACCAAACCACCTCTGCCTCTGGCTTAGATATTAAAAATTCTTCTTTCCGGGTTGCAGAGCAAAGCAACTTTCATTCTTGCCTCTGGCTTGGTATTTCAAAATAAACATTATATCACGATCATCAAACGACAAGATCCGCCAGACATTTTCGGTGTCTTAATGATCAAAAGTCTAGATAATAGGGTCCGTAAGACACTTACAGCGTCTGGGGATTATGTATTCTTCTTTTACTATAACGGTATAGTGATATATAAATGTATTAATTTTTTGGTTCTTATCGTTCTGCCCCCTTAATTAGCGACCACGTGATTTTCACCAATTTGCCTCCCCCTGCGGGTGACAAGGCAGCCGTCCCACGAAAATCGCTGTTTGGGCATTTGCAACATTGGGGTAGATCTAAGGTGCGAGCTGGAAGACTTTTAATCAAAATAGGGAAGTCTATTGTGCACTTTGAAGTGGAACTCCAACCCTGGACTTAGCGATGGATTTTAGTTCATGAAGCTAGGCGTATGTAGGAAACAAAGATTCGCCCTCGAGCCAGCTGCTCGCCAGGTCAGGTAGACTCAATGTCAGATTCAGTGAAATCGTCCCCAGAATCGCCAGACTCCTCCTCGGAACTCTCAAAGACCAATTCATCAGCGGCTTCCCAGGCCAGCATCCGCACAAGGAAGTCGTTCCGCTGTTGGTCCACCTTTAAATTTCGAGCACGAATTTTGTTCAAGATTTCTATATATACTTGACGGAAATGTTTGAACTGGATTCTAGCATGTTCAATTTCATGCACATCTCCTCTCACTTGGTAATATTGTAGGATTTTCATTTTTGTGTTGAAAAGAGTTTGCTCTCCAACGAAAACAACAAATGCGTTCAGAATCAATTCGACTGCCTCTGGTCGGTTACGATCGTCGAAGTAAGGTTCGAGCCTAAATGAAAGACAGACATTCTCTTGCAGCTCTCGCAGGTTGGACGAATTATGAACGATGAGCCATGCATCCCAATCCATCTCAAGGTCTGGTGGGAAAATATAAATTAAAGTATCGATTTCGGTAAGAATAGCTGCTGCGAAGCAGACTTTATCTCTCCGAGGAACGATCAGCGACGCTGATATAAGAATGAAGATGTTCCCGGCATAGCACAATGGGCCAGATGAGCAGTGGGTTTCAATACGCTTGAGAAGGTCGACCACGTCGCATTTGATATCTTTTTCCCAGGACCATCTCTTATACATATTTTCGAGCAGAGTCTGTAATTCCATATGAGTGCTGGGCAAGATCTCTGGCTGGGCCGTGGTGGGTGTGGAAGGACATGGAGTGAGACGTTCATCGAAAAATGATACGTCCCCAGGTTGGACAGTGTCCAAGATGGCTTTGAATTCCTGGAAAACTGTTGACGGGTGAGTATGCTTCGTCACAAATTGAAACTTCTGCCAAACTCACGATTTGCTGTATTCAGAAGATTCTGTACTAAATCGTTGGTCCCATCGACTGATTCATGGAGGGTTTTCAGTTGGAGAAACTTCTTCTGGCATTCCTCTAGTTGTTCCAATTGCCTTTTTTGATATTTGACAAGAGATTCGTTGGACGCGAGGAATTGCAGAAATCGTTTATACCAGATCGTGTCAATATCAAACTTGTCCCTTTTAAAGCTGCTCAAGATATCCATAGATTCCCGAAGCGGCGTGATGGCCATTTCTGCTTCATTGGCCGTGACGAAAGCACCTCGAGTTCTCCATTGCTCCAACAGCTCCATGTTCTTTTGCAACAGCTTCTCCGCAAGGAAGGGGAGAGCAGTAGAAGTGAATAGATATCGCCCCGAGAACTCTGGGCTGATCATATTCAGGCACTTCTTCACGTCGTCCCAACTCCGTAATGCACAAGCTTTTCTCCAGAGAGCCTTCCATTCTGGATAGAATGCATAACGAAATGTCTCATCTATGCCCTGAGCTAGCTCGAAGTCGATCTCTAAGCACCTTTTTGACAGAAAATTTCTCAAGATAGTCTAGCTTCGTGTCGATCAAATGGAATATACTTATTCCATTTTGATTATGATGGTATATGGGGAAAAAAGCCCTATTATCCCAAAGATAATTCAAAGCAGCTTTCAGATATTTGCCGTCTGATTTCCACTTCATCAAGATGATTTCTAGTCCGGATAGTGGCCGACTGCAGGGGTTGGAAATCAGAGGGAGCAGATCGGAGATATCCAAGGGTCCGCTTGGAACCAGGACCCCATAGATCTCTACGAAGTCTACTGGTGCCATAGGAACGTCGACGGGCGGAGGAGACTGGATCCCTGTCACAATCGAGGTTGAAACGCTCTTCTCTGATCCGGATGCCTCGATATTGCGAGATCGATGCCGGGTCACCGCCTTTGCATTTCGACGTTCAGTCTTGGAATTGTTTTTCCATAATCGCCATTCGTCGAGCTTCATGCGGTAGGCTCGGACCCTAACCATGATATTAGTTATGATCAACTCGAACATGAGAGCTGAGGCATGACTTACGAGGCATCGAATGCAAACTGAGTCTTTAGAATATTTCGAACATCTTTCAATGGTCGTCGTTCGACCATGTACAGCCGTTCTATCTCCGCTTTGTGATAATCCCAGTCCTTGGGCATGGCTGCTCAGCCCACCCACGCGCGTGTGAAGCCGTGAGCGAAGATGAGAATTACAGCCTCGTTCTGGGTATGGTGGTTTTCGGATTGAATAGCCCAGGCTCTGCTTGCGGGAGCGGTATGCTCCAGATCATGAGTGCAAAATTATCGAATTCCTCGCCGGGGTTGGGAAAAGATTGAAAGGAAGATTGGACCTTAAAAGTGCAATCTACGATAGCTGACTTTGGCTTCGTTCTTGTATGCGCGAACGATCTCTGCCGCCGTGGCGCTCATTTGCGGGCTGAGCTGGCCCGTAATCTTCCATGTGACGGCCAATCGCAAGTATGTGCGATCGTGCTGTTTCTTCAGCGATCCTGGAAGGGATGATCGCAGACTTGTCGTGTCGGTGAGTCCCTCCTGGAGCGACAATGTTGGAAAAGTGCAAAAGATGCAAAGTCCTCTGGACAAGCCCCGAAGGGGGGCTTGGGTAGCGAGAGGCAGGTGGCTGGCAGGGATTCACGAAGACAGCCCGTCAGAGAAGCGCACTGAGGACCACAGGCATGCGCAGGGAGGGCTAGGTGGCCGACAGGGTTCCCGAACTGGCACAAGAATGACCTGCGTGTGCCCTGTTTGCGTGCAGGATCCTGGGACATCTTCGCAAGAATCTTCCAGGCAGAAGGCGCTGCTGGGCCGGGCAAGGAGCCACAAGATCTGCTGGTCGGACCATACGAGGCTTTTGCACTTTTCATCAAAGTGCATGACCTCGAACCCGGTCTGAGTGGCTTCATGAATTCTGATTTTGGATTCAGAAGCGCTGTCGTTCCACCTGCAAGGGTGTGTGAAAGTGCACATTCGAGAGATCGCTGGGATTTCTCCGCGTCTCTCAAAGAGTCGTGGCCCTGCCGCTCCAAGCACTCCCCCTGGGCTGCCGCAATGTCATTGCCATTTGCTGAATATTGCACTTTTGCTCATCCAAGATTACTGCCTATGCCTCAACTGAAGCACGGGGGCAATCGGCGACGGTTGGATCGCGTAGCACAAGGAGGTGGCAGTGAACGAAATTGGGGTGGAGGACTTCTTCTTCGCTGGTTTCTGCACCATGGAAGTGAGTTCAATCGCTGTTAGACTACACAGGTTGTTGAGTGACCTGAGTTGGAGGTGCCCATACCCAGTAAGCAATTCGCTAGAGGTGTCACAACAGTGGGATCGATACCCCCACCGACCTTGTTCAGAGCTTCTTGTGGGAGGGAGGTTTAAGAGTGCACTCAAAGCCAAACTATATGGATTTAGTAATAATAAAATGATTTGCAAGAGAACAAGCATAATACAAGTCTGGTTTGCATCCTTAAGGAAGTTAACTTTGCACAGAGTTCAGGTGTACCTTAATCGCATCGTTTGAGGAAAAACTGCCAACCAAACAGTGGACCAAGCTTGATTCGAGAAAGAGCATTGCAGAAGTCAAAGCCAACATGTAATCGATCTCCATTCCTCTACTACTCTGCAGTCACCGCTTAAATTCCGCTTTCACAGCTCGGCTGTAGCTCTTCAAAAGCCGGACTCAAGCAATCTGTGGAATAGCTGGCTGCGGTTGGAGTGGCTTGTCCGCGGAGGCAACGCCAGTGGTCCCATCTACCGTGTAAAGGGCTGCTGGGTTGGTGTATTGGTATTGCTGCTTCTGCTCTGCGGTATCCCTTGCTTCTTTTGCTTGCTGTCTGCGGTGGACTCGATCAGCCAGAAGAGCTGCCCGGATGAGAGTAAAACACATAATAAATTCAATAATATGGAAAAAATCGTAGACTCGATGGGAAAATAGAGACTACGTATGATTTCGTGAGAAGAAAAGAAATAGGTAGTGGAGAGGTATCGGAGTGAAATTGCATGAGGAAGACATTTCATCTCAGTTAAATAATCCCAGATCTGTGAATTCCAATCTCTAAATATGGAAACGATCACGAGGCAGGATAATTGAAAGGATTGGGCTATGTGAAACATAAGGCTGAAGATTTCATCGAAGCTAGTGACTCGATAGGTGCGTCCGAATGCCGTTTGGACGAGGCTGGGTCGAGTATCGCCGTCTTCAGAATGGATGAACCGGCCGGTTTGTCTCTGCATGACGCTTGTCCCAGCCGTACCAGACCCGACCAATTGCGCACCTCGGCTTCACACAAAAATCAACACCTCTCACACAGAAATGAACACCCCGACACACAAAAATCAACATCTCCACACTTGGCCTGTCGTGAGCCGAAATAATCAGTCTGCTTCGCCAATATACCCTCGGTGCTGAGGGATGACAACTGTAAAATCGGAGCACTGGAGTGACTTTCCCAAGTACTGGACTTGCCAACTGGCTCAGCAATAAATCGAGGATCAAACTTTCAATTCTTTGCAGCTTCGTAGACAGATTATGCCAGTGCACTTGCCACGTGTCCCTCTTGAACAGAGGGTCTCATCTAAGGGGAGTTGGTATTGCACTTTAGTGAGATGCCCGCCCCGTGTCGGGTCTCCTGCAAGACGCATCTTGCTCCTTTGCACACCAATTCCAAGAATCTGAACCAATCTCAAATGCCTACAAAGGCTGCAATGTTGGCTCTTCCGTCGGCTTCAGAACGTGCGGGTGGGTGGATGCGGGACGGCACTTTGGCTGCAGCCGCTACTGTACCACCTGCAGCAAAGCGCCCTGGCTTGCTTTTCAAAAGGCCCACCTTGCCACGATTTGGTGCTTGGGACGGCGAGAGCGTGGACCTGGCTGCATGCTTTGATGATGACCAAAAAAAGCCTGGGGGTTCCCCTACCGGCACAGGGGCTCTCCGGGATGATTTAACGGCCTTCTTTCCTCCCGTCGCTGGAGTGGAGTGCAAAAGTGCAACCCGACTTTGTTTGGTCAAACATTCTCGGATTGTATCGCCCTCGAGTGCGCTGAGTCTGAGTTGTAATTTCTAGATCCTCATTGACATTTCACAATATTTGTTCTGAAACCAATGAAGGGCTCATTCCTTCACAATTTGCACATTTGGCCAACTTCACCACACGAGAAATGCCACAGTTCAAAAATCTGCCCAACGACGGCAGGTGATACATTTCCCCAGCACCAGCAGGACCTTGTCAGAATGCCCCTGGTACTTGAGGGCTCGTTGCACTTCTACATCTCCACCTGGCAAACCAACAGAATGCACGCCACAGGTTTGAGACGTGAAAGGAGAGCTCTCCTGACGCCTTTGGGGCCTGGCAGCGGTTTGATTGGCTGGCACTACCACAGCCACCAGAAGCATCTTTCGATGGAACCACCCCACCTCCAGCAGCAAAGGTGCAAATTGTGGTAGAATGCTTTAGTCCTTGATCCAGCCTCTGCGTGAGACCAAGGTGACAGCGCGGCGGATCTCTTGGTTGATCATTTCTTGGTCACAGCAGTCTTTTTAAGGCCCTGTCGGAAACACACGCCTCGTCTGGTGCCGCGGCACCGCCGTAGAGACATCTGGATACCCTCCTCCCAACCTACCCTCGTCTCTCGCAAAAGTCCTGTATACCCCAGAGCAGGCCTGGTGGCAACGGACGGCCAACGAACCCAACTCAGCCAGATCGTTGCCCGAAGCGGACGCTTTCTTCTGCAGCCTTCGCGTTCGCTCCCTGGCCTGTCGAACCAACAGCCTCAGCAGCCTTCGACAGGCCCCCAGCCTCAAACTCGGCCCGGTGGGCGGGCGAGCAAACCTAATCTGCCCCCCCATGAAGTATTCCAAGCCAAATCCATAATTTCGACGCCGCGGGCCCCAATCGACTTCCTTCTGCCACAGCCAGATTGCCATAGCCAGAAGCAATTGACAGCTTTGCCTCCCAAAATCCGCCAGATTGTCCGAAATAACAACATCGGATTACTCCAGGTATACTACTGAAGGGCACCCGTCACTAGAGTGTTATCGTCTCCAAACACTTCCACTGCTTTATTGTCAATAAAATGTTTCTGACTCTTTAGATTCCTGTATATTCCACGTTTCCTATGCGCCACTGTCAAGCTGGTTACGGGCACAAAGGTGTCTCTCCCTACATCTGTGCCGTGGGGGGCAGAATAATGATATTCTGGTCTGCACTTTTGCCGGGCCTAAGCCTGTGGTGCTCGTCGTAGTCGCTCACCAATTAAACCCCTCACTAACGCGGGCGAGTGGTGCTCCTGCCTGCCCCGTGCCGAATCGCAAAGTCCGGAGCGCTGGTACGCGGCCACGAGGGACAGGGCGCCTTGAAGTTTGGAGGCTGCGGCCCGGTGGCTGCAGCAGCCAGGACATGACGACGCCAATATCTCGATACCGGGGTGCGACAAGAATATGCCGGGGGTCATCATGGCTGCACTTTTTGAAAATACACTGTATTCGGGTTGACGGCGACAGCGGCACGGCAACACTGGTCGGCCGGCTCGGTTCAGCTACCGCTGTTGCTCGCCAAGCCTGTTGTGACAATTGCACTTTCTTGAACCACCATTCCATTCGACCAACGCATGGTTGGTCCATGTCCCAGATATCAAATGCAAAGGAAGTGCGAAATCCCTTTCCAGTCCCTCTTCTGCCTCTTTCCTTCTGCACTTCTGTTTAAAATGTGGTTCGCAATTCTTCCCCCATGAGAGCTATTTAGTCTGCTTGCTTCCCACCCAAGGTCCACTCCTTCCCCCGCACTATTATCTTTCTCTCCCTTCCCAGACTGCGAACTGTTCAGACAGCTATCCCCACTTCAAGTGTGCGTTCACAAGGCACAGTCAGTACAAACATGCCTTCAAGGAAGACTAAACACAAGACAAGCCGTCGCTCGACGCCGTAGGTTGCACCCAACCCGCTGCTGCCCCAGATGTTCCTTTTCTAACTTTCATCCCAAGAGTACCTCCCACTCCCGGAAGAGGTACCACCCTCTCCGGCCGTTCAATCCCCTACCACGCAGCACCAAATACCTCCGACAACTCACACCACACCTCCTCCGCCTCACCATATCATGCCATCAACCCTGAAGTACTCGACCAACACGAGCACTCTCAATTTTCTCTTCACCAAAGCCCATCCTACCTCCACACTGTCCATACCCAATACACCTCCCAACTCGAAGCAAGCTTCAACTCCCTTGGCGTTGACTTGCCCAATTCTATGCACTCCCGAGTCGTCCACGAACCAGTTGGGTTGACACCGCTTGAACGTACCGAGGCCGATTTGACATATCCATACGAGCAACACAACTCCTACCAACCCATATTTCCACAGCACCAATATCTCCACCACGAAGCCCAATATACGAGCGTTGCCCATCAATCAGAAGCACAAAACACTTACGCCGCTCCTTCCTCTGTCCATGCAGCACCTTCCAATCCAGACTCCGGGCTGGAAGGCCAATATGTCGTATACTATGCCCCGCAACAAGACTCCTATTATCCCACAACAACACACGGAGAGGCCACGGGTCCGGGCAATGCTCTCGCTGCCGTTGGGACACAATTCGATGGTTATGTTCCATCAGGATATGTGCAGAAATTCTAGTTGAGGGTGCAGATGAGACATAATTGCTTGTATTTCATTCTTTTTTCGGTGGTGATTAGGGTCGGGAATGTCACATGATCCGACTTGGACTCAGTGGCTGGGAAAAGGAAAAGGAAAAGGGATATGGTGGAGTATAGGATTGATTTTGGGTTACCAGAATGGCAGAGAACTTGAAATATTGATGGCAAAACGTCTTGGTAGATTTGACAAAATATCTGAAATGAAAAAACCACGCTCACAAAACTTCGCTCATCAATACAAAACGTGCCTGCTCTCTATGCGTCCAAATCACCATTACCGCGCAGATGAAAGAAGGGAACTATCCAATCTTCTTCTCGAGTTTCTTGAGCAAGCTTCCCACGCCCTTCTCCACCTGTCCGGCTCTAGCCTCCAACTTCCCCTTGGGAGGCTTCGCTGCCTTGGCTTTGTGATGCGCGGCTTCATGTTCTGTTGGTCTGTAAACCTGTTGATGGATCGAGTAATCGGTCATCAGTGGTTGCGTATTGCTTAGCTGGTTATTGTACTGGAATTGCGAGAACCCTCCTGGTGGCGCGCCGGGGGTGTAGATCCCTGGTGAGGTTAAAGGAGAGGAGACACCCGGGGAATAGATACCGGGAGTGGTATTGGACAAGTGTGGTGAGCCGGGATAGTTGGCATATTGCGTTACGGGGATATGAGGAGGCGGCTGTTGTTGGTACGCTGGTGGAGGTGGAGCAGAGGCTGGCGGTGGAGGTTGGGCGTAGGGACTCGATATTGTTGCTGTGGTAGGGGGTGCGGCAAAGCTGTGTTGGAAGTGCTGGGCAAAGGGAGATACGACCTGTTGCTGAGGCGGAGGTTGCTGTGGTGGAGGAGCTGGAGGACCAGTGAAATAAGCTGTCTGCGGTGGTTGACCAATTTGACCTGGGGATCCCGACAATCCTCTTTGCAAATACGTGGGAGCAAAGCTTTGACCTTGGTCTGAAGTGGCTGCGGCTGCAAGAGGGTTTGCAGCTCCGTCTTCTGGGGGTGGTGTCTTTTCTCGGTGCTTGATAGCTTCGGGAGCTGCGGGTGCTGCTGGGTTGTAAGCCATTGGGGCGAAGTTGGCTGATTCTTGACTTTGAGGCGTGGCAGAAATAGGAGGTCCAGGGAAAGTATTTGACGACGTCCTAGAGTTTCCCGTCTGACCATGCTGATAGGATGGATCTGATATTGCCACATTCTCTAACTTCTGCACAACAGGACTCATGTCGTCGTGATGCGGCGGAGGAGCCATGGGCTCGTCTAAAATGGTAATTTGTGCAGCAGGGAGAACCCGTCGAATCCCATTCACAAATTGGAGAGCATCCTCTTTCGTCCAGAAATATAGATCCACAGTATGGAGTTTGTACATGTATTTGTTCTCGTTCTTGGGATCGAATGTCGGAAGATGCCATTCTTGAGTATTTGGAGAGGGCGCTTGTTGGCCAGCTTGACCATCGACGGTCAACGTAACCAGATTGGAGTGTTTATATGAATATCGGAGATGAGTGCGATCCAGATCTAAACTCAAGTATCAGCAATGCTATCATCAGAGTTATAGATGCACTCACAGCCAGTGAAAGCATCTTGCTCCGGCGTCCCAGCATTGTTGGCAACCTCTAGGCGCGCTCTCCTCTGCCCTGCGTTTTCGAAGAGATAAACGTATGAGCCTTTGTCAAATCGGTGATGTGGGGGCTTCGCTGTCGGATTCCCATAGTAGTAATGTACGTCTGCAAAGCTGCTTGTCATTAGTATCACAAGCTTGCGCTTGGATATTCAATGTAAGCTCACAGGGTGGCTGCCACGTCCTCTCCAGGCCTTGCCGCCATGCTGTCGGCCTCTGGCGCCTTGCGAACAGTATAGGGGAATTTGAGATATTTCTTGGATACTTGAACAGAACTGAAAGACAGGAAGGAGAGATGCTTAAGAGAGAGACGCGACTTACGCTGGTGGGGTACTTGACCCTGTGCAGGTGCAGATGCCGGCGGCAAATATGCACGTTCTGGTGGTTTGAATGGCCAATGATCTTCTATAAATAGCTTTCGGCTGATCGCGCTAAATCCCCAACTCCTTCTCTTCCACCCGTCTATCACTTTCCACGGGGGCTATTTCCACCCCTTCTGTCCTCTCTTCTCGCACCTCTTTTCTACCCATCTCTTCGCGCATCGATTTTAAGCACCCTCCCTTGAAAGTCGAAACTCATTTGAGCCAATTAGTTGCATATATGACGTTAGATACGCCAAATCCATTCAACTTCAAACCCTCCCGAATTCTCCACTATTCGAGTGAACAGAGAAATAGCATACAAAAGTATATTCGGAACACTATAGAACCTGTTCGAAACCTTCTTGGACGTTTGGAGTATTGTACAAAAGCAGATATTTAAGGCGACAAAAACAGCGGGCGCAGAAGAAGTGCAAAGGCATGGATCCCGCCCGCATTCGCTCTCTATCCCTGTACTTTCACAATGCACGACTTGCAAAATCTTGATATTAAGCATGCTTGGAACCAAGAGTGAAATATATCATGGTCCCTCAAGTAGGAGGCTCTTGAATGTACTTTTCGCAACAGGCAGAACTAGAGACTTACGAAAGTCATATGCATCAAGTCGTTCAGCGTGTCTAATTTCTCCCCGTCTTTCCCGCCTTTCGAATTGAAATATTACATGCACGGTTCAGTTGTGGATCGGTCCCCTCGTCGGCTCCAAAGACAGACAATTTTCTTGGCCTGATTTCGTCTGGCAAGCAGAGACTATTGAGTTTTCAGGCCAACACCATAGACGGACGCCTGATGAGAGCCCTTGGCACACTCATTTGACTTGCAACAGCCGTCCATGGAAACTCCAACTTCACTCCAGACCGCATATCTCAAGAGAAAGCAGTCAATTTTGTGGAATCAGCGGAAGGCCGTTGGACGTGGATTGTAGACATCTAGGATGAAAATGGGATTTGAAGTGGGGCTGAGAGGGGATTGGAAAAAGGTGGTATGGATGGTGATTACGACCTTCGCACTAGAAATGATAATTTTCTTGTTGTCTTGTACATTGCTGTGAGGTATATCTGGAGGGTGGAGATCTTCAGATTCTTCAGAAGATTTTACTTCTTACCACAGGTATACTTGGGCATCAACTATTCCTCATGTAGCGTAGACAGTGTGTGAAAAAAATAATTAAGGTAATTAATTATATTTAATTAAATCAAGTAAACAATTAATTATAATTTGATTATTAACTTTCAAAAAAAATTAATTATTAGAAAAATTATAATTAAATATAATTAATTATTTCTAATTATTACGGGAAATCCATATAAAAGTTATATAAGTAATAAATTCTCTTCTTTTATTTAAATAATATACGACTAAAGTATAAAGAGAGCAAATGTTAATCAATTTCCAAAGAAGAGGGAAGGAGAGCAAGGTAATATATATGTGAATTATTTGCTCTGGGTATCACATGACCACACTCACGTGACTGTAGAAGTCAAAACCCCTACTATAGTACTTATTTACAAAGATAAGTAAAGCGAGTAAAGGGATACTAGCTATTAAGCCTATAATAATAAGGCGATATCTAAATTAGGGTAAAATACGCTTTACTTTTGCGCTATAATGCTTATATTATCTTTATAGTCACGTGTAATAACACGTGACCCAGTAATTAATTATATTTAATTAAATTAAGCAAATAATTAATTATAATTTAATTACTACGATTCTGACTTAATTTAATTTGATTACCGGCCAATAATTATAATTAATTAAATTATTTGACACACTGAGCGTAGATTATAGATGGCATAACAAGGCAAAGGCCTCTTGCAGACCCATATGATTTGACGATCCTCAATTTAGGACCATCTAAGTCTATTGATATAAGAGAAAGGGAGGGAGATTGGGAAAGAGTTAATCTTGGTCACGTGGCTATCAATTACTTGTTGAAAACCACGAATACACAATAGACAACTAATAAGAGGAGTTTTCAAACCAAACGACGAGACTTCAACGAGCTCGAAAGCCCAGATCCGGGCCAGAATTCGGAATACAATGTTAGTTCTTTGATTTCACTTGTCGAGGTACATGACAGGGCTGCTTGCGCTACAGTTATATGCGAAAACTCCCTGTTTTAGCGAATTTTAGCCGCATCATGCACTTTTGGTGCGCACCCCACCAAAAATTAATGATAATTGACAAAACTCACCCAACAATCGCACTACCACCTCCAGCACCATCCCAATTAGGCAATTTCGACTTTATTCGCAAGCTCCTACCATGGCACGTTCAAAGAGCAAAAAAATCGAGAAACCACCGCCTTTAGTAGGCAAAAAACGACAGAGAAAACCTACGGCTAAGGCCTCCTCCGCTCTAGTAGCTCCCAAACAGCCTAAAATCAAGCTCACGACTGCTAGCAGGCCCCCAAAAGAGCCTTCTCCTGATACTGGTGCTAGCGGAGCTAATCCCCAAAGGGAGCGTACTATCGAAATATCGTCGTCGTCGTCCAGCGAGTCTCCAGAGCCCGAAGCTAAGACCCACGTGGTTACCGTGAACTGGCAGGTTTACCTGAACCATAAGCTAGTTCATTCGGAGTCTTTTCAGGAGGATTTTTTATCGATTCTACATAATGGATACCGATTTTGGCAGGGCTGGGTTCAGATGAGGGTCGACGAAGCGGCGAAGACGGATAAGAAGATCAAAGCTAGGAGAAAATAGAAGGGAATATATGGAGCTTTGAGCAATCGACAGATCTTCCATATCCAAGATAGGGAGAGCTTTGAGAGGTTCGAAAAAATAATGGTTTCTAGGGGCTCAAAAGGCGTTGATTGCGTTATTGAAGCTCGATTCGTCACCAAAGGAGACCCCGAATCGTTACCGGAACCAGAGAAAGCGTCAGGAAAGAGAAGAAAAATACCAGATCCTCCCAAGCTAGTCTATTCAGATGACGACAGTGACGCTAAAAAGAGTATTCCCCCTATCAAGAAGGCTAGGAAAACAGCTACCACTGTCGCTATTGCGTCTTTAGTCGAGGATAGGAAGACACAATCGAGATATCAGGAGAGATTGAGCCTACTTTCGCGGTATTGGAGATATAATGGGGGAGAAAGGGGAGGGTGCCCAAATAGGAATCAATAGTGTTTTATCCATGAAGGGAACCATTTCAGGATTGAATTGGACGACTTCCATAAATGGATAGATTAATGGAGAGATGAGCTTCCTGATGAGGCTAATACCACTACTATTCCTACTGATTTGATTATCAAATGGATACTACATGGCGAAAATCAATAGAGGATTGGTGGACGACGAAATGAGAGCAAAGGAAAGGTGAAGGAGAAGGAGAGAGTGAAGGATGAACCAAGAGAGGGCTCATCTTAACCCATCATTAACCACAACTACTATGGCGATAAATTCAAGGGAGAAGAGCCCTCCACTAGCTTATATAGCGTCCCACGGGTACCACTACCCCGTCGTTCACCTGTATATCCCGCCGATTACGATCCAATTCCCCCCCCTGAGTTCGTGGCTATTGAGCAAGCTTCACGTCGTCGAGCTGAACTCCTCTAGCAAAACCAGCTTCTTCCCCGTCCACGAGCTAATTCGCCTTATTTTCAATGTCGACGACCTTCTCCTCCTACTCTTCCACGTTCCCGGTATCAAGATCGCGATCGTTAAGCTGAGTACTCCTCTAGCGTCTTTGATTTGCGTGCTTTGCGAGAGTCTAGCCCAATTCGTGGAGATGCTGATATTGGGGAGGAATTAGCGTTATTCAGGGCATGGCTAGATGCTCACTTACCTCGAAATCGACGAGCTGATATTAGTAATTTGATAGCTATGGCGTCAGAGGAGCAGATTGACCCGAAATAGCTAAAGGCGATGGAGAAATCGGAGGCTAAAGAGCATGGCATTCCATGGGGATTTCTCCTTGTCGTAAAGGATCAGGTTTCCCCTTGGCGTACTGTATGGAATTCGGAGGTTAATCGATCTTCTATATCAAATATGGGTGCTCCGGTACCAATTACTAATATAGTAGCCCCCTCCCAAAGCACTATTCCGGATACCCAAGCAGGAGACTCGATTCGACCAGATATCGTCTTTAGTACGTATCCTGAAGACGAGATTAGCTTCCACCAGGGCGTAGGCAACTCACAGAAGCAGGATTGGGAAGAGTTTATGACTCCTGGGATGTTTAATGACGATTGCGAATCGATTGGGGGTTGGATGGAGAATGATATTTAGAATCGAGCCTTGATTTCCACACATTACGGGACTAGGGAGGCGAGGAATGGACTAATCAGATTGCAGGATTTTAGGCTCTTTTGAAGAGATTTATTACTGGCGTTGTGGTCGTTGTTTTTAGTCGAGATTGTTAATATTTGAAGTTTTTCCCTTATACTAAATATTTTTGCAACCACACCGTAGGATTTTTATATATTAGAATAATTAAAAGAGCTATTTCCTACGATTCTAAATATGCTTTCGTTTTTTTAATAGTAGTTGTGGTTGTTAAGAACCGTAGTGTTTTTTAATTAGCGTCAATGTCGGCTCTCTGGTAAAGTAACAAGTGATTTTGGAACCACCTTTTATAATATTAAAATCACCAGAACTTTAAGTAATATTAAGTATGGCGATTCCATTGATTTTATACTAATTCTACAGGGAAATTCCGATATCCTGAATTATAGAAATGCCCCCTAGCCTTCCTAGCTGCCTCCGGCCCCCGTCCAAGCCTCCGAATAGTATCAATCAGATAATCTCCAAAGTCTGGATACTCCCCATGGACTTTCCTATAGTTCTTCCGCATATCAGACTTAATATCGTGAAAGCTCTCCTCGATTGGGTTCAAAATTGGGCAATAAGGAGGTAACTAGCGTATCCAAACACCCCGTACCCGGCACATATCAAGCACCCTCTGACTCCGGTGTATACTATAGTTGTCTATTATAATAATCGAATTTTTGCCCGGCCATGGATTATACTGCGGGAGCACCCTATTTTCCATCCAATCTTCAAAAATCTCGGCTGTGATATTGCCTTGATAAACCAAAGGATCAAGGTGCCCATTAATCGTATATGCCGGCAAAAGGGACTACTTAGGAGATCGCTTCAAGAGTATCTTCATCTCCGCAGGTAAGCCCTGAGGTGCCCATCCATATTTCCTATGCCCCGTATGCTCATTAAAAGCTGATTCGTCCACGGCAATGATCTGATCTGCTCTCCAAAATCGAGAATCGTCATACCACTGCTCAAGAAGCTCCTGGTTTTGCTCCGCCGCCACCGCCTTGATTTTCTTATGTGTAATCTCCAATCTCTTCAAAAGACGCGAGATCGTCGTTTGGTGAGGTTTAATGCCGAATTCCTCATTAAGAAAGTCAATAATTTCCTCCTGGTAAACGTCGACATATCTCAGAACATGCTCCATTACCGCTTCTTCCATTTCTGGTGTAATTATCGATCGACGGCCTGGTTTTTTCCGGGGATCCCAGCCAAGAGCTTTCCGAACCCGTATCTAATACCTCCGATATCGTATGGTTTCGTAAGTAGTGTTGAATCGGGTTGCGATCTCGTGCAAATCGGGGTGATAAGGTTGTGCGACGATAGCGTCGATGGCCGCGATTTCGCGCGGGCTTAGGTGAGGAGCCATAATCTGCTCTTATCATTAGCAAGAGCTACTTTAGGGGAGTAAATTGATCCACTTCTCATCTAATTCGGACGTGGTTTGGTGGAGCAATTGGTGGTTGAAGATAATTTAGGTAACTTTTGGTGCACCCATTTTTAAGTGTACCGCTTTTCGTCAAAAACTCGCTAAAACAGGGAGTTTTCGCATATAACTGTAGCATCGGCAAAATTATTTGTAGCTTCAAGCCTCAAGTTGAACATCAACGACCAGCCTTTCCCCACGATTGAACCCTCATCTCTCACTCGGACAAGCTCAGCATTGACTCCGCTGAGGATATAAACGCAGCAAACGCCACTAAAAATCAATCGACGAACCAACCAGCACCGCATACGCAATTGTCCACCGACACCTCTTCCCGAACTGGTTTTCTCCACCCATTGCGCCCACGCGGGCCCTACACAACTCACAGCGCTCTCTCTTTCGCACCACCCATCATGTCCCTCGTCCACCTCTCCCACGTCTGCTCGCACCTCTCCAACACCTCCAAAGCACGTCTAGGCCTCACCTCCGTGCCCTCCACCAACATGATCCTAACCATCTCCCTCGCGCTTCAACAAGCCGGCTTCCTCTCCTCCGTCACCCGCGGCGGCCTCACACCACCCCCCCTCGATGACCTCTCCTCCTATATCCCGGAACCTGTCACACAAGAGAACATAAGCACGCGGCGGCTGTGGCTGGGTATGAAGTACTGGGACAACGAGCCGGTGTTGAACAAGATGAGCATGGTTAGCAAACCGACGAAGAGGGTGTGGATGGATGTTGAAGGGTTAGGAAAGCTGATTAGAGGACGGGATGCGGGGTTTGTGGCGGGATTAAGGAAGCCGGGGGAGTGTTTGTTTGTTAGCACTGATAGGGGGATTATGGAGAGTAGGGAGTGTGTGGAGAGGAAGGTGGGCGGGATGCTGTTGTGTAGGGCTGTTTGATGGGCAGCATTGGGGGGTGGTGTATATCATCTTTGCATTGCAGGCGTTGAAGAGCTCTGCTTGTCACGAATATAAGATAGTGGATGTGTACAAAATAGATGGACAGAGGTTAAGATGTCATTGTACCTCCAGGCAAGGGACATTTCTATTCATACAAGCCTATAAACGTCTCAGGATATCTTCAACCACCTCGGTTGTGGTAGCAGTTCCTCCCAAGTCAGGACTCAGAAGTTTGCCTGCCTCCAAATTTCCGTCAACCGCAGCATAAATCTTCGCCGCGGCCGTCTCCTCGTTCAAGAACTCCAGCATCAACGCAACGCTTCTCAACGTGGCAATCGGGTTGGCAATGTTCTTTCCCATGATGTCTGGAGCACTTCCGTGGCATGGCTCGCCAATTGCAAATCCCTCTCCAACATTAGCACTTGGCACCAAACCCAAAGATCCAACCAAAGCTGCCGCTCCGTCTGACAAAATATCTCCATACAAATTCGGCGCAACGATCACATCATACGTTTCTGGTTGGCGAAACAGCTTGTAAACCATAGAATCCACGATTTGTTCCTCCACGCCTACACTTGAGAACTTCGAAGCCGCGAGAGCCTCGCGTGCAGTTGCTCGAAAGAGGCCATCCGTTTGGCTCAAAACATTCGACTTGTGAGTGATCGTAACCATTGGCGACTTGTGTATGCTCGGAGCTCCACTCTCCCTAATCTTTTGTCTTCGCAGAGCAATCTCTCCAGCCATTGTAGCAATCCTGAACGAGGCCTTCTCAGATATCCGCTTGATAGCCTCGGCGATCTTGCTGCCATCCGCTGCCTCATACGTCCTCTCCTCCTTGACATACAGATCCTCTGTATTCTCCCGCACAATTACCATATCAATCGGATTCTTTGCCGTCATGACACTCTTGACAGGTCGAACATTGGCATAGAGATCAAGGCGTTTGCGCAGGGCGACAATCGGAGATGAATAGCCTTTGACAGCCTTGGAGGGGGAGCTGACAGCACCAAACAGAGCGCCATCGCATTCGTTCTTGAGGATCTCGACGGTCTTGTCTGGCAGAGCTGCTCCGGTCTGCTCGAATGTCTCGAAGCCAGCTTTGAGATCGACGAATTCGAATTTTAGCTTGAGGGATGCTGGCAAGGCCTCGAGGATTCGTCGTCCAGCCGGGATGACCTCTTTTCCAATCCCATCGCCGGGAATGAGACCTATAAATACGTTAGATATATCGAAAATCTTAATTGAGCAGTCACCTACCTATGCGCAGGGTTCTGGCAGCCATTGTTGGTTGTTTGCTTCAGTTGCGATGTCGGTCTCAGATATTTTATTTCCCATCCTCGGACATCTCCCTCCCAAACGAGCCAATCGACTTCGGCAACCAACCCCTGTCGAAGCTCTGACTAAAACCCCTATTTTCCAGCATCAAGGAGCTTCCCCACCACCAAATAAAGCTTTAAATCCACTGTGCCCCTGCATAATAAAACCTCAAATATGCTTTCGAGACGCTGAGTGTGCGAGCCGCGAACCACCTTCTTGCTTGCCGTGAACTGGACACATTCTTCACCTCTCTATTTTCTGGGCTGTCCCATCCCATCTTGATACCGCGTTGTTTACGATACCGTGTCGCGTGCTACGTTGCTAGTTTAACCAGCGTGTCTTTTGCTGGGCCCCATCCTGGATACTCGGCCACCTGGGCCTTGCTTCTGCCCGCGATTATACCCCGTGCTCTGGTGAATATTGAATAGGTCTCGACGATCTCGGGGACCGCTAGGCAGCTTCATCGCTTCCGAAAAGATTTCGAAATCTCTTTGAATTTGTCTCGAGAAGGAAGGAACACTACACAGGTTGATCTTGAGCCGCCAAGATGTCGGGAGGCGTCCGCAACCTGCGCGCAATGTTCGAGAATAAGGACACTGCCTCGAGTCCTCCAGATCGAGGTCGTTCACCTGCGGGTTCAGTTGGTGAGTAAATCTCGTCTTTGTGTGTGAAGCGCCGCTAAGAATCCAGGGGTTGTGAGCAACGGCACATCACCACGACCGCTTTCGAAAGTACGGACGAGCTTTGTGACAGTCGAGAGAAGCGGACAAATGGGTATTGCTTTGAAGCGGGAGAATAGCGGTGGTGAACCAAGCATGTTGAAGCGGCGGACAAGTTTTAGCATTGATGAGCAGGAGCATCCAAAGCAGACTGCAGAGCGCCAGGAGTCGATTGCTACCGAATTTCAAGCGAGAAATAGCAGTACTGTTATTAAGGACACAATACCGGAGTCGGCAATTGAGACCCCGCAAAGCGAATCGGACAAGAGACTTGGTGGTGGTGATCAGAAAAAGCAGACCACAAAGCCTTCGAAAGTTGAGGAGAAGAAGACCACGGCTGGCCCTTCAAATGGACACACAAATGGAAGTGCAAAGCCTGCGGCTGTGAAGAGTGCGGACATGCCTACCACAGCCAAGACTATCTCCAGACCAGCTGCTATCTCAACCGCCAAAACTACCACTACAGCTAAAGTTTCGCCGAAGAAGATCAAAACTCCAGCCCCAAAGACCCCAACCACGCCAGTTCGGACCCAAGTGAAGGAGGCACCAGCAAAGAGCCCAGACAAGAAACCTGAGAAGAAGACTGGGAAGCAGCCCGAGAAGAAGCCAAGCAGAGCATCACTCGCATCCAGCGATACCTCAAAGCCTGCAAGCAAACCTACAACGACTCCAGCACAGGGTTCAGCTCCCAAGACGAGAATCCAACCATCTCCACCACAAACTGGTTTCGTAAAGCCCAGACCAAAGTCTCCCACCCGACCTATCAAGCTTCCAGCATCTCTCACTGCCCATACTGCCTCCTCTGGTTCTAAGACTGCTACAGCACCTCCACGAACATCCTCCAGACAATCGCTCAGCCGTGCATCAGGCAATATCCAACCCACCAACTCTCTTCAAGCACACCATGCGGTGTCCCGTTCTCCTAGCCGTGCCAGCACAACCGGAAAGTCAACCCTAACCCGAAAGCCATCCACTCTGAAGCCCGGACATAGTAGACCATCCCTCGGTCCTCCTCCGGCTGCACTCAAGAAGCAGACATCCCGTCAAAGTCTTCCCCAGGCTGCACCCGCTGATGAAGGCTTCCTGGCAAGAATGATGCGACCAACCACCTCTTCTGCATCGAAGACCATTGTGGAGAAGGCTGCTCCTTTGACCCCACCGAAGAGATCGCAATCTGTAAAGAGACCTTCAACCAAGGATGGACCGTCAAAGGTTGTCACGCCGCTTGCAAGTCCTGCAGCTAAAGCGCCGAAGCAACTTGCTCCTAAGGCCATACCAAAAGTAGTAAATGCAACTGCATCATCGTCCCAGGATGCGCCAGTTAAAGAGGAAGAGGAGCCTAAGGTTGTTGAATCTGTTCCAGCTGCCAAGGAAGAAGTCGCAGAGGCACCGGTTGAGACTGCTCCAGCGGAGATCACAGAGTCAGTTGAAGAACCACAGGTGGATGTCGAGGAAACAAAGGCAACGGAGCCCGAAATCAGCCACGTTGAGGAGCCTGTTGTAGTTGAGGAGGAACCAGCCCCGGTCGAGGATGAGCCAGTCGTGGCACCTTCAGTCCCCGATGTTGAAGCACCAATAACTCCCAAGGTCACGGAGGAAGAAAACCACGAAGTTGGCGCAGCCAAGGAGCTGGAGGTTGAAAAGGAGGTACCAGAGGCTGAGGCGGAGCCCGAGCGTGTTGAGTCTGAACCAATTGTTGAACAGAAAGCATCTGTACCGGCCAAAGTTGAGGAATTGGAGGACCCAGCAGATCGTGAAGCGAGAGAGGAAATCGAGAGACTCAATGCGGAGGTTATGGCTGCATCTAAGGATACTGATTAAGTACGCAAAGCTGTTCAGTGAGCGACGAGAGAACGTGGAATTGAATTCTGTAGTATGAGTAGTGGAGAGTAAAGTGTTAGTGATATCCCACCATTGTCCCCTCTTTGCCCTTTTTAGATTACGATGTGACCATGTTGCGTTGCCCAATTATGGTAGGTGGCTCGGAAGGTAGAAAAGCGGCCCAAAAAATTAATTCTCATGCTCAAGCTGTCTTTTAAGAGATCATTACTAACAAGGTCAGAGCGATGATTGAGAACCGTTGAAAACCTGAGGCGGCTGTTTCCGACCCCGGGGTCTTGATTTATGACGGGCCAAGGAAGCGCTTATGTGACGCGAATTTGAGACAAACTCAAGAGAAGAGGAGGCGGCGGAGTGTGGTCATAGCTGGCGTTGAAGTGGACGTGCTGTGGTTGTCTGTTGCCGTAACCGGGATATCTTCATTTTTGGTATGTACAACGTTGAAGAGGAATTTCTGGCATTTACCCGAGGTTCCAGTCAAGGGCGAAGGTGCTAGGAGATGCCGTTTGTGCTAATTGAGTTATTGCACGACGATGAGGGGCAAGGCAGCTTAGAATGAGTTGCGAAAATTACGCTTGTTTTAGCTTATGTGCCTCGTTCTGCTTAGCGGTCTTGGAAGTCAAGGCCTTTAGTGATATACGGTGAGACAAAGAAGGCCAAAAAAAATTGTTGTGCTTAAGCTGTCGAGGAAATAGTACCTACGATTTGAGTTTTGATTGCTAGGCCAGAGACGAAGCAGAAGGTCCAGGTCTCTTGACCTGAATTGAGAGTGTTGGATTCCTGGTCCTCAGAAATCTGCTAGTAGAGAGCTGTGAAGGTTAGTGAGAGAATTTAGGGAGAGAGAGGAGGGCTTACTTGATTTTCCACACGAAAGAGTTCTGTGGCTACGTAATTGTGGGCTAAGTCCTCAAGCGACTGCTCAGGAGAAGGTAATGGGTGTTGGTTCTATCGATCAGCTTCGGCCAAACGACTACAAAGGTGAGCAGAAGTTGAAGTTTTGAAAAGGGGAACGACTTACTTGTGAAGTAAGATGGGAGAGTATTAAGTCCAGCGGGTGCTCCGCTGGACAGCAATGTGAGAAGCTCACACGTAGTGAATGGTATGGTAATGTAATGATCGAGGGCTCGGCCTCTCGACTATGAAGGTGAGCAATCGCCGACATGGGTGAGGGAGAAATGACTTACTTGCTAACGTCCTTTCGGACATGGCGATGCGCTGAAGTAGGCGTGCCGTTTTTTGTCTGTTACCGTAACCCGTGCAACTTCTTTTTGGGGTATGTGCAACCTCGAAGCTTGGAACTTAATTTAATTCCTTCCAGCACCTGCCGGAAGGTGTAGGGTACGCAGGCTTAACTCTTTAAGCCTCGTGGGTGTCGAAGTCGTTTCACCTGGAAGCGGGACTTTTTGATAGTCGGTAAGTAGAGTCTTGCGAAACGTTAGTAATGTGCAAATTAGATGATTTTAGCTAAGGAAAGACAGCTTAAGCCGGGGGTAGGACAAGAAATTTTCTTATTTAGTTCTATAAGAGGACCCTGTCTGGGGTAGGAGCTTTTGGGCGCAAAGACAATAAGGTTGGCACGTGACGCGAGTCAACCGAACGGGGGCCAACACTTGAGCAGATACATCCCAAGAGGTTCAGGAATCTTCCAACCCTCTTATTCCCTTGTCCACCAACTTTAGAAGTAATAGCCTTAACGATAACTGCCCAAACCCCGCTTTCTACGCAAAGATATTGGGAAGTCCTCTTGCCACGCAGCCCGGCGTTGCAAACTCCTTCCCTTGGTGATCGTACACAACGGATCATAATTCAGCTTGATCTGGAATAACCTTTGCAAGTTGTCTCCCCACACATGAGACCATGGACCCCCTGGAGAATTGTAGTTTGGGTAATTCGCGACAACTTCTGCCAACTCCATCTGCCGACCGTACGTATTTTGATTTAGGGCTTACGTGGTACTCTAATCTTACTACTGCGAGCAATTCCATCGTCCTCAGCAGGCGACAATACGGGTGAGAGCTGCCCTGGCGAACCGTTGCAGGAAATCAACGAGTTACTCGAAAGGTTTTGGTGAAGCCATTGCAATCCTGGAGCAAGTTTTGCGCAAGTTCCCTTAAGCGTAGCGACTACGTGGGAAGTGGTGACAAAAAGATAAACAAACAGGGTATCGAGCTTCATCTTGATCACAGGAAGATAGATCCTTCGACAAAGGACACACATAATGTAGAAAAAAAAGGAAGGTAAGAAAAAATGAAACAACTAAACCTATGTATGAAGAAAGATGGAAATCGCCGCCGCTGCACCTCTCGCGGCATTTGAGACGGATTCCGGCGATCGTGAACAAAGGACCTTCTAAGTTTTGCTTCATATCTCATAATTGATTCTTTCAGCGACCCACGTGTAGACTGATAAGCACCAGTTGACAGGTCTCACGTAGGAGATTCATAGGCGTAGATATGCAGCAGGTTGGCACGAGGCTTTGTGTCGAAACTTATGTCGGAATTTGATCAAGAGGAAAACATGAAATAAAATGGCAGCAGATGGGAAACCCGAGATGGCTCGAAAGGAAAGAGATAAGCAAGGCAGACTTAGATTGTTGTCCTACACGGATTGTTTTCTTGCAATTTTAAGGGGCACGTGGGGGAATTTAGGGGAGCTATCACTTGATGACTGTGGGGGGCACGAGACGTTACACGACAGGGCCCAGGCGACCCGGGAAGCACTCCCGGTGGACGTCAAATGCGGAAGAAGGATGCACGTATTGAGCTTCGGTCACGAAACTTCCTTCTTTACAAACGGGCGACAATCTTGTTGGAAATGCTTTTTCTCCTCCAAAGCCGCAGCCTCTATCCTTTGGCCATTCAACTCCCGCTCTTAATTTTCTGCACTGCAACGTATCACAGGGGAGCGTGTGGGATGAAAGTGCAGCCGCCAATTACTCCCACGTCAGGGCGTGGGGTCCTCGCCCGGCTTGAGCGAGGCATCTCAGCCACGGAAAGGCCATATGCCTAACGAGAGAATTCTCCAGAAATGGGACCATGATAACAAAGACCCATAGTCCGTTCAAATACTTATCAAGTGCCATGCATCTCTTTGATACAATTTCCATTTATTCCAATCTGTATACTCTCAATGTCCGGTCAGTCTTCGGACTCCCACTCAACACTCGTCATGCATGAGAACTGGGAAGAGTTCAAAGACGTCATCAAGGAGCTGTATATCAATCAAAGCTACACCCTGGAGGCGCTGCGGGAGAAAATGAGAATTGAGCATGGCATCAATGCATCGTAAGAATTGAAGAAGTGGACTTATTTAGGAGGAAAAACTAATTGACTTCAGGCCCCGTACTTGGAAGTTAAAGCTTGACGAATGGAACATAAGGAAGAACAGGCGGAGAAGAACATTTCGATCCCCGACAGGACATTCGGGAGGTGCGTCACCCAGATCGGGTTATGTTCCGTCAATCGCAAGCTCCTCACCCCGCAACTCCGACTCCTCTATCAGCGGAGACGTCAGCATGTCGCGCGAATCGAGTCCCTTATCGACATTGATCACTTTACGAAATAATACTGACCCTCTGGATCCGTATCGAAGGCAATTCCAAGTTGGACCAGTACCGTCGAGAACATCGAGCATGTCAAGCTGCAGTCACATTAGTAACGCAATGCACAACAGTGTCCCACACGTGCTTTTCAGCGTTCTCCACGAATATGGGCCTATAGTAAATTCATCCTTAATGTTCTTTGCCTCCCGAACGGACTCTCAGAACCTCTACCTACTAGCTAAGTACACGAATATGGTTCCTCGGGCAGTGGAGATCTTACTCCGAAACTGGAAAGCGGGTGGAGAATATATGCACTATGCCTTGCACTTCCTCAAAGACTCCTCCTATTGCCACACGTTGCTCTCGGTGAACTGGACCCGATGGACACATCGCGACGAAACTCTGTTCGACCTGATTGAGGTCTATGTTCCTGAGGAAGAACAGACGGCTTTAACTAAAGCCGTACTGAAGGCTGACATCAGGTTCCGTCACCCACTTGAGCGTTTGCATGCCGCATGGGCATCAACTTGGCGACTAGCCATTCAGAAGCAGGAATGGAAAGCAGCGAAAGACTACCTGCTTAAGTTTCGTGCCCTTGAAGTATACCATGCACTCTTAAACTGTGCGTTGGAAGTCGTGGCTGAGGAATTCTTGGGAAGAAATAAAGAGATATTGGAGAATTGGAAAGGGGATGAGGAACCATTCCCTGAGCAGGCAAGGCGGCAGTACATGGAGATCTTGAAGGACTGTCGTGACTTGCAGGTAAACGTCGATTTGGTGTTACGGCAGAGTATGCGTATTATGTGGGTAGCTTGAAGGCGCTGAGAGATGGAGCATCACGAGATCTGGTGGAGTTCAAAATCAGCAGGGTTTCATTTCATTTCGATCGCCTTTTCAAATCAAACCCTTACGCAATTCATCGATTCACAAAGCACAGACGCGTTCTCAGGATATGACCTCTTATGAGCAGAAGAGGCGATGACCATCCAGTTGTTTTACTCTCCAACCACCCTCATTCCATCCTATATTGCTCTCGTTCCCTTTGATCCCTCCCAATTCAGAAGTCGAAGCATCATCATCGCGTTTTGTGCAGTGAAAGAGAATTGAACTTCAAATAAATTGCGGTGGAGGGGAGAATGCCTCCCATTGTGGAAAGAAGATCTTGCGGAGGACGAGAAAAAGACTGGTGGCACTGCCAACATCCCCTAATACCTCTCCATGATCCAATGTTTCCTGTCAGGAGCACGCATCCCATTCAACAAGTCGATCTCTGCTTTCTTGACCTTGATGTACCTCACCACAAGATCCTTGCCCATCAACTTGGTCAGCTCTCCATCCTCCTCCAAAGCTTGCAATGCTGACTCGAGATCCTTTGGCAGCATATCTTTGACCCCAAGGGTCTTCTTCTCGTCATCACTCAGCTGAGCTGGATCTTTCAGGCAATCTCCCAATATCAGGTCTAGCTTATCCTTCACACCTTGTGTTCCGGCTGCAATGATAGCCGCCAAGGCGAAATAGACATTGGCAAGCCCATCAACCACTTTGATCTCAAAGTGCGAGTCTTCGATTTTGCGCAAGGCAGTTTCACGATTCTGCGTTCCCCATGCCACCCATCGTCCTCCAGCCCAGCAACTATCTGCCATTCGGTCGTAGCTTGAGGGGGAGGAGTAGGTGAATGCAATGATGGCTTGAAGATGCTTCAATATCCCTGCATAGAACGATTCATAGACCCCTTTCTTGTCTCCATCTGGCGATGAGATTGAGATATGGATGTGGGATGCGGTGCCGGCCATATCGGAGAATGGCTTGGGGTATAAAGTTGCTCGCATTGAGTAGCCTGCAACCACGGTGTTGACAATTTCTCTGGCATGGAGAAGAGCATCAGCGGCCTGTAGTGGCGGAAGAGGGGGCAGAACGAATTCGTATTGGCCAAGCGCTGCCTCTGGATGCCACTGTTCCAGATAAATGCCAGAGACAGCCAAGCTATCATAGATTTGATGGAGCATGTCAAGCATTTTGTTTCCGTGGAGGGCTCGATTCGACGACCATGCATGGCCTCCAGAATTGGAGAGTGGTTGAAGAGCACCATCTTCGGAGCGGGACATGAACACAATCTCGATTTCAAAGCCCACCAGGAATTCGAGATTCTGAGATTCGGCCTCCACGAGGGTTCTACGAAGGAGAGATCTTGGGCACAGATCTGCAATGGAACCATCTGATTCGTGGAACTCGCCTTGCACGAACGCATATCCTTCATATGGGCCGGGTCTGAGGGATGACAAGTCAGCTTGAAGTCTGTATTCGCCTATTGCGCTAGCTGCCGGAATGATGATGTCGTTTTGTAAGAGTCCAAGTGAAGCTTTTGTGATGCCAATTGAGAGGTGTGGACTGTTGTCGAGAATACTGAGGGCTTTCTTGACAGGGATGATACGAACTCGAGGCGTGGAGGTATAATCGAGGTATTGAAGACGAATAAACTTCGTGGAGGTGTACTCGTTTAAGAATGAAGTTAGTGCGTCCTCATCAGTTCTCGTAGCTGATCGAACTGGAAGAGGGATTGTTGAATTAACGAGAGGCTTGAAGGGGATATGGAGATTGTAAAGATCGTTGGACGTTTTGAAGAAAATGTCTTCGATTGCTCTTACAGCCTGCGCAACTGTCAAAGTCTCACTTTGGACATAGTCGGTGAGCACCTGCAACATCAGCTCCGACTTTCAATCTGTCGGCAATAACTTACCACTTCCAAAGCTTCCCGAACTTGAACCACAGCAAGAAGATAAGTCTCCGGGAACCAATGTCCATCCGTACTCCACAGGATCTTTTCCGTTGGGCAAAGCTCCAGGATCTCCCGCACTACCTTCTCCTGGCCCTCCCTACTGACGAATGGGAATACCTCTCCGATATCAGCGTAGACATTCTCATAGACGCTTGCAAGATAACCCGCTTCTTTGGTCCAGGGATAGCTTGCATGAAGAAGGACAATTGGAACCGTCGGATACCTCCTGATGAAGCCCTGAAGATGAGAGGGCGATGATCTGGTGAGCGTGATATCGTTATCTCCCAACCCGGTGTGAAATTGCAACGGCTTCTTGTGCTTGGGACTCAATGAGATGAGCTGCGCTGCCTTGTTTACCAAATAAGAATTCAGCGGCATCCCATCAACTCTCTTGAACTCTGTAACCCCCGCATCCTGCAAACCAGCAATGTAATCCACAAACGAATCCCTCACTGCCGATGAGCTCACCAACGGCAAGATATCTAGCCCTGTGCGATAACAGATGACAGATTTGAAGCCCACAACCTCAGGATCATCGATAGCCGTCTGGATAGCAATCTCAAAGGCGTCTCGCAAGGCCCCAAACACATCTTCGGGCTCAATATCAGGCTGCTTGAGCAAGGCATCGATGATCTCTTCCGCCAACTTCTCGATCCTCACGATACGCTTGCATTCACTTCGGACAAGCTTATCATGCCAGCTGTAGTCATAAACTTCGTCTCCTCCATCAAGGCCGTCGTCAACGAGGATGGTTTCGATGCCTTCCAAACAGCGTCTCTGCCACACGTGGTGAGGCTTGGCTTTTTCGATGTCGATGGCTTTCACGACGTCTTCCCAGGTCGGAGGACATCCTAGAACGTATGAGAGCTGGTTCACGGCACGGATGTGAGAGAGTGAAGAAGTTGTGGCTCGCATGGCATCGCCATGAGCTTCGGTGGTGATGGAGAGGAGAGGGTATTTGGACTGGGTTGCTGGGGTGAGGAGTGGGTGAGCATGATTGTCGATGATCGGGGTCGTGTGAATAGCTTTGATAAGGTCGTCCATATTGGCTAGCAAGAGGATGAGCCTGTTCCTTGAAGGTTTGGATGGCTTCCTTTGATGCCGATGAGCTCGTGATGGGCGTTTCTGATATCACGGCGATCCGGATCTGCGACGCGATGCGGGGAGGATGATGAGAGCGGAAGGCTGTCTACGGGAGGCAGGAGTCAAGAACAGCCAGGCCCTTATCTATGCCAGGTATTATCTGTCGTGGACTTGTAGATCATTGTACGGTGAGATGCTAGATCATTTGTTAGGTCTTATAAGGCAGTCGAGGAGGTTGGCGGGTTACGTCACGTGATATACTGTTCCACAGTTTACAAGGGCGTGTATGGACTCGCTTGTGCAGGAGGAGCTTCGAGAGGAATAAAGGGAGTGATTTGCTCCCTAGCAGAGTGGGATGATTGTACCAGATATCATTGAGAGAAAGACAAGTGCTTGCTGTCTATCTCGTTAGGTTTTACATAATTCTTGATATGAGCCAATGAGAGCAGGAATGCGACTCAAACAATAAGGGAGCCAAGCAGTGGAAGTCATAAGGTTGGGCTGCATACAAACTCCTGAAAACTTCCGAATGCCAAGCAAACTTTTGGAATTTGTATGATATAAAATCTCCAATGTTCTCTGCCGGATAGTTTATCAAACGACGCAATGTTACTAGAGCTCCAGCCCATTCAACTTGGGGAAGTGCAGCCAATGGCAGAGCTTCAATGCTCTGAGATGCATGGTTCTTACATTGAGGAGAGTGAATTTTGAAGCATTTAAGATCTCAGCATTTGCACCATTTAGACATTGAGTTTAGTGACAAAGTGGATTTGCTGAACGTTAAATTTATCGACTGAGAAGAGGGTGGGTGACAAGACCTTGACTATTTCTCACACACTCCCTCATGACTAGTATAAGGATGTAGATGCATATGTCAGGAGCTGCATTATACATATAGATATATGAACGAGGGTTTAAAAGCATGTTTTCAATCAAAGAAGGCAGAAGAGTTAATTCGTGAAGGCTTTATCCGTCGATTATCCTGCATAGCCAGGTTCCTCCTCATTCCTAGCAAAATGTGGTTCTAAATTTATAAATTTCATGGAAAATTTATGATAATTTTTGAGCCGCTGTGAGTCAGGCTGTCCTCAAGTATATTTATACCCCTCATCATCCCCAAGTTCAAAATATTTCTTCCCACAACAACTTCGAGATTTCTCTACCTCAACAAGCTGTTTTGATCAGGACAACACTGCACTGCACTTGGCTAAGACAGACAATACTGTGTACACACTCTTCTCTGTTTTACACCAATCCTAATCGAAAAACAGCCCGTCCCAGCTCACTCAAAGCTCAGCAAAGCATCAAACCACTCTACCTTACAATCAATCCATTCACCAAATATCAACATCAGCAACAATGACGTGGGCTGATATTGCTGCCGGCCGCAAGCCGGTAAGTATTCGCATCGATCACAGAGAAGTTGAACGATGTTGATAATTTTCTAGACCGGTGCCTCTGCCGCCTCCACCGGACGCTCTGCTCCTGTCGTTCCTGCTATCCCAGTCATCAGACAGGCCCCACGCCCAGATCCAGTCGCCAGTGTCACGGCTGGCGTTGCCTCGATGAGCGTCAACCAAACTGTGTCTACACCAAGGTAAATTCCTTAGATCGTGCTTGAATAGCTAAGCTGATTGATGCCCAGAGCCCCTGCCGTCGGATCAAAGGTCCCTGCGATTCAGAGCAATGCCAAGCAAGGCACAAACTGTCGTCATCGGGGAGGAAACAAGAATGGAATTAAGTCTGCAAAGAGAAAGGAAGTGTTAGTCAATCCACGTCCAACTGGGTATGGGACGTCCCACTGCAAAGCAACAATTTCAGTCCACTAACAGCAATAGTGTTCCTCTCGAGGAGTTCCACCTCTTCCCGAACGTGCCTCCCGAAATTCGACTGAAGGTCTATCAGTATGCCATGAGCCAACAACGTCGATTGATCGAGCTCGAGTGGGGCCCGAACCTGAGCATTCCGACTGAGCTTGGGAACGGCTCTCACCACTGGGTCCGAGTTTGTCCACGCTCTCGTCAACCACCTGCACTTATGCACGTTTGTCACGAGTCTCGTGAAGAGGCTCAGAAGGTGTATCAGCTGCGCTGCTTTGATAGCCAGATAGCCCAACGCCTCCCAAATAACCCAGAGTTCCACGAACATTACATCTGGTACAATCCGAAGACCGATATCATATTTTTCGGCGAGGAGACATGCGTGTCCACATATATTTCGGTCTTCACCCCAGATATTGAGGATATTCCAGCTATTGCGATCGTCAATAGCAGTAAGGGAGAGTCATGCTGTGACCACGATGACTATACCTATGGCGTTGAGGGCGGAGTTGACACCTTGCAGGCACTCCATGGCTTCGACTCGAGTGAGACCGTCCATGACTTTCGCTACGGAGGTTGTCCGGGCCTGAGGGAGGTGTACATCGTTGTCAAGTCGAAGCTCTGGCCATATAAGCAGGGGGAGATCGATGCTTCCATGACCGTCCGTCCGGCAACTAACGATGGTCTAACGAAAGGCCAAGCTCGTTTCAAGGCGAGTCTTGAGCGAGATATTGCTCGAGTTGACGCGGAGATCACAATGCCAGGTGTTGGTGAAAGTGTTTGGATCGACGACAAGAAGCCGACGTTCAAGTTTGTCAGCTTTGTGAAGGTTCCTTGGGGACTTGATCCAGGAGAACCAGATGGAATGACCGTGTCGAGGAAGGATCTGGGGAAGCTTCGTCGCAGTGATTGGGCATTCATGAAGCGTACTCAGGCCAATACTAGATGCGAAATCTTCGTCCCCGATGAGGAGTATCCGGGAGAAGACCGGCGTGAGATTGGCTTTTGGGGAGTGCGAAAGAGCATCAATGCGGCGAAGAAGGCAATTGAAGAGAGATTGGTGGGTAAACTGATTCCTTAACGACGACTCATACTAACACTCGGGCAGATTTTCCTGAATTCTGGAAATTAGACAACTTGACACGAAAGTGCGAATATTCCCTTTGGGGTAGCATTCCTGGGCCTTTTGAAGGATGGGGTTTTATTTGGATTGTTCCGCGTGGTTTTTCCTTGGCCATTTCGTTGCAGCTGATCCATAAGATGCCCTTTTTAGCAATGAACTTCTTCATGATAGCGAAGTTGCTCTTGAGCTTGATTCTTTCAGATGATTGGCTTCTCCCAATGTAGATTAGAACAATGCAGCCTCGTCATCAAGTCCTTTTAAAAGTTGTAACAATTGTCATGCTAATGAAAATGGTTTTGTGAAAAGCAGGAGATTGTTGTTTAAATCTAATGGGCGATGAGATAAATGGATCATTGAATATACGAGACACACTTCCTGGAGGCTTTTTCTCAACGTTCTATGTCCTCTGTGAATAGAGGACTAAATTTAAGCGCGAAATTTTGTAAATAATTCTTCGACCTATTATAGGCCCGCCACTAAGCACGGCCAAGAGTACATTCTATTTGAGCATGCACTCAAGCTCGCAAGCTCCACCCTTCAATACTTCCATCAACAGCTCCGGTGTTTTCGCCTCGTTGACTACGAGGTACTCATCTAGAGTGTATTGTTCTTTATCAAACACAGGCAATCAAGTCCTCCATCAATCGACCCCCATCCCTTTACTTTCTCAGTCTTAACTAGTGCCTGAAAATAATGGTGCCTGTTCTGAGCACCATGGGTGACAGTAGAAGTTGGCCCGAAGTGGCAGCCGGTGTACCCAGGGCAGTGCGAACATTCACTTTCGTCAACAGATATCAAGAAAGCTAACCATTAATAGATTTCTCCTTGCAGAGCGCTCCACATGTCATCGAGAATCCATCTGAAGCCACCTTTACTGATACGACTAATTTCGTTGTTCTGTATTTGACCGATCATATTTCCCAAGCCACTGCAGGAGTTTCTGCTGTGACAATTGGCGGAAGCACATACGGTGCCGAACTGTAAGTTCTCATGACAAGATATGGCAGAGAGTCTAAATGACTAACTGAGCAACAGCGCTCGCACTGTCAACCCAGAGATCAAACATCCAGAGGCTATGGACAAAAGCAATGGCAAGTTTAAAGGAGGAAACGTCGAATCCAAGAAGGTGAACATGGCGGCGGATACTGCTAAAGCCGAACAAAAGTAAAATCATCCTAGACATGCACACAATCCGGTTCTGATAATCTCAGTGGCCCACTCGAGAGCGTCCACCTCTCCCCAAAGCTTGCAAGTGAGATCCGGCGAAAGATCCGGACTTAAAGACGCGGAGAATAGAGAGTTCGGCCACATGGTCGCTGTAGAACGACACTGGTACCATGTCACCACACAGGCACGAAAACCTCCTGTTGCTTTCCGTACTTATCGAGAATCTCGCCGAGAGGCGTTATCATTCTACGAGGTCCGGAACTTTGACAACTTTATCAGCGACGAGGCTACGCATCTAGTACCCTACATCCTTATTTAAATTTTTGAGCAGATATCCTGCGCTTGGAGGTCAACATGAGAATTTACCAACTCATTTGCCTGTTCTCCGTCCAGTCCAAGACAATTCCGTGACTTGCAATTATTGAAAGCTATCGGTACGAGAAGAGCAATCAGAACCTGAACCACCCAGTTGCTGGTGGCGCAATGACGGTAATGGAAGAAATCCATGGCTTCGACCCCAGTGTCACTTCCATCGCTGAGCGGTATGGAGGCTGCGGAGGTCTCAAGAAGCTGTTCTTCAGGGTGGAATCTGTTCTCAGGCCTCATGATTTTCGCCACCAGCGTCCGGAATTCGGCATGCGAGCAGCAACAACCAACGATGGTTTGATCCCAAGCCAAGTTGCCTTCAAGCGGAACGTAAAGTATGAGATGGGTCTTGTCGAATCGGGAATGGGCTCCCAAGGCGTTGGGCCAGATATTTGGATTGGAGATGAGAAGTCGGTATTCAAGTTCGTCAGTTTTGCACCTACGATTATCGCCATTGGTTCCCGTACGGAGATCACGGCATAAAGTGACGGGATTACAGGGCATTTTGACCCTAAACCCACGCTGTGAGATACTATGAAACATTCGCAAGGTCCCGGAAATCTTCAAGGGTTATAGTGCTGCTGGCGGAGCAACTACAGCACTTGGACGCTATAATGGCAATTACCATAGGGCCCTTTAGCGAGGGAACCCCCGGAAAGACAGGGGAGAAGCCCTAAAAGGTGTACGGCCCCTTGTCCGCGGTTTATAGCTTGCTTTTAGTACAAATAGCCTGGAAATATAGGGCCTTACAGCGCTTGAGGTAGAAATGGGTAATAGTGGACTTTCAGCTCAAATGCCCTATAATCCCGTCACTTTATGCCGTGATCTTCATAATCCCAATCTTTATGCGGGCGTCCTGCTGCGATGAGACGGTTGAGGTCTGAAGTATTGACAACTTGAGGAGTCCTCCGTAACACGCGCATTACCGCCCTCTTGCAAGCCCCCTGAAGTCCCTTTTCGACATGGAAGTCTCAATGTCGCCAGCTGAAAGCCGCCGATCCGTAACCCGAATGATCTGTTGTCAGGGGCTACCTCGGGAAACTCTTATTCGCCACCACCAAACATGAGGGTCCTCTTCTCTCCGTCTCGTTTTCGGAACAAGTTGTCTTTGATTCCATCCCGACTGACGGAATTGTCATTCTCTTAATAAGGCGATTTGATAGACAGAGGCGCAGCTATGGTTGGCCCAAGCCCCAAGCCTCACGCCCCAGCCACAGCTCAGTATCCCAGCCACTGTACGAAGGTGGGCGGCATTTAAAATCCCAGATCTCAATGCAACCCCTAAAACTCTTTAAAATAGCTTTGTAGGGTAGAAAAGAAGCATATCTAACTTTTATGGAATTTTCTCAATAATTAAATATAATACGAATTACGAGAATTTTTATATTGCGAGAGTCAAGGTTGTGCCAGCCCTCGCTTAGCGAATTGGACGATTTTTAATGCCGCCCGCCCTCGTACTTTAAATATCCCCAGTTGCAGGGGTCCGAGGTTGACAGCCCCAATCTACATGCGAGCGGCTCAGCCCCCCTCTGTCGCCTCTAACTTCTCGATCCAGGAACGATGATTGGGGCCGGTGCGAGAAGCACCTTCCAAGTCTTCGGCTGCTTCTCCAGGCCAAGTCTCCCATCATCCACCAGCACCGAACATACCATACTATAGCATACCATCAACTCTAATCATCGTCAAATAATTGTCAACATTAACCACAGCTGGGCGCGTGTCGGCATCATGCTGACAAGAGCATGAGTGAGCGCCAATCGCCTCGTTGCCACAAGCGAATCCTCCCGAATTGAAGTCAGCAGCAGCCGATCTCCAAGGTGTCAGCCTGTTCTGCGGTCGTGAATCTGGCTTCAGAAATAATCATCTAATTCCTCTCGGGCAGTCTCAAAATTGAGATTCCACTCGTTCTATATTAGCAATGCATTTGCCAAGGGCATTTTTGCGACGTCAATCGGGACCGCCTGGAGGGAACAATGGGCCGCCAAATGGACCTGCCTTCCAGCCTTCTGGTGGATCTGGCAAGACGACTGTGATGCCCGTACGTCAATTCCAAGGTCTTTTTCTATCTGCCGTTGTGCTGACAGTCGAATAGATAGTTATTGGCGTTGTTATCGGCATCGTCGCACTCCTGCTCGCCATCTTTTTCATCCGACAAGTCCGCACGAAACACAAGAACCCGAAATACGTACCTACACCCTACCTCAAGAAGTTATGGAAGAAGTGGGAGCCGGCGTCAGGCTATCGTGTACCCGATGGAAATGAAACCCTGGAGCCTATCGCCGCGACAAGACAAACCGGTGTGCGACGGTCTGGCAATCCTCCATCCTCATTCACGGCTGCGGCCCGGGATGCGGTTGAGACGGCTGCAAATAATGGTTCGAGTGCGGCTGTAGGGGTTGATAGGAATACATCCGTGAGGTCTGTCATGACCTTGCCGGCATATAATCCGAGTGTCGGACAGAACGAGCAGGTCTTGGGACGAGAAGGCGAACGAGGAGGAATCGATGTCGTGATTGAATTTCCAGAGACGGTGGATGAGGAGGAACAGCAGCGTGAAGCGGAGATGGAAGCTCTATACCAGGTCAGACTTGCGAGGAGAAGAGAGAATGAAGAAAGGGAGGAGAGGAGAAGGCTGAGGAGAGAAGCGAGGGAGAGGGGTGATTTTGTCGCCTTGAGGGAGATTGCAGAGCGGCAGAGAACAACTTCGACAGCGACTACGGGGCCAACAGTTGAGGAGTTGAGGGCAGAACACGATCGGATCAAGAAAGAACGGCAACGGGCCGTTTCTTCGGTGTCTTACGCGGATCTTGGGATAGCACGACATGATGGAACGAGATTACGAGCGAACAGTCACGAAAGTGAACGGGAAGGCCTACTTGGGGACGCAGCAAGTATTGCTGCGAGCAGTCAATATCACCGCAGAGATCGAAGCGCAAGCTCGGTAATAAGTATCGATACGATGAATTCTGATCTTCCATCGCCTGGCTTCACACGAACGCGCGCGGACTCGAGACCAGGTACTCCCTCAAGTCGCAGAAGGAGCGGACAAAGTCAGGTAGGAACGGTTTCCACTTCGAACGAAGGCAGAGCAGGAAGTAGTCCTGAGATGATTGACCACGACGACATTCCCCCGAACAGCCCGCCGGGATACGAGAATATCTCGTTAGATACACCGCATGACGAACAACGAGCGCCACTGGAGCCACCGCCTGATTATTCGAGTCCGGTTTTAGGGAGTGGGGATTACGTGTCGCCAATTGAAGCAGTACTGCCTTCCCCACCAGCCGAAGCCTTTAACGATCGCAGAAGTTCTGCTTCGAATAGTCGAAGAGCCAGCCATGTTGGACAATTGATGTCAGATAGAAGGTCGAACAGCTCAAACTCCGCAGGATTAGGCTCTCGACCATCCACAGAACGAGGAAGCTCTCGAGGAGTGGCTGCTATTCCACAATTGCCGAGTCTGAGACTGCGAAGTCTACCTTCGATTCAAGTCGATGACGCGGATGAGCGTGATGTGACGGAGCAACGGCATTATGGCCACCCTGATGAATAGGTTATAGTACATATTTTGGTAGATGTGGTGGATGAGGATATGATTAATGATACGTGGGGATGGAATGATCTAGAGGATACCTTTTATTACTGAGATGAGGAAAAGGAGGAGGTCTTATACCCGTTGTTATCTGATGTTTCATGAGCATGGCGTTTTGGTTGGGTATCTTGAATGGCGAGAGTTTGGATCTGATTTGTATAATTCAAAACAGGATACAAATGTGAATGAAAGTGTTTACTTCGTAGCCAAGGGCAGCTTGTCTTTGTGTCAGTTAGCTGGAGGTAAAGATCTATTGGCTTTGATTGCGAAGCGGCAATTAAGTCTGTTATGGCAGTTTGACCTCAAATGCCTTCCAGTTCGACCCCGAAGAATGGAAGTCACAAGCTAATCTCGCATTTAGTCGTAGGGATCTCTCTTGTGGAGATTGAAATAGGGAATGCGTTTCAAAGTCCTTGGATACTTGGTACAATGCAAATTCTATGTCAAGGATCTTATCGAAGACGACCCCTCAAGTGATGAGATGCGCTCAATCCATCTGCGAATGCGCAATTGTTCTGACTCTATTAAGCGCATCAACCTATTCATTGCCAAATCGAGAATTAGTTCCGATTCGCAAGCTGCTCCTAGATAGCCCTCTTAGTCTTCACAATAGCTTCTTTGGCACCCCAGAAACCAATCTCCCGATACTCTCTCATAAAACCTTCCTCCGAGATGTGGGTTTTGCAACCGGTATCTTCCATGACGCTCTTAATTAATCAAGTATAAGGTACCTGGATTTGAGCTTATTTCCTTGCTAAATACAAGTCACTAATTCTCTTCTGCAGGGCTACACTAGTACAAACTACCTTATTTACGATTCTAGTAATAATAATGGCTTTAGAAGGCATTAGGAAACTAATTTCGGTATTAAAGATCAAGTTTTAATAGGAGTTATAATAGTTATTCAGGAAGAATCAAAAATCGCGTTTTTTGGGTTGGGCGGAAAGTAGGTTTGGGCGGTTTGGGGGTGAACCCTTCTAGGCCAATAGGCACACAACTTCACGCGATGCCAGGCCCGTCTATTCTTGGATGGACGCGGATGTCAGAAAGCTGCCTAGCTCCAGATACCACCAACAAACCTACAAATCTGCTCAGCACCCCCTCAATTTTCGCAGCCTTCGACCTTAAACTTCTTCTGACGAGGATTCGTCTGAGGGAGACTTCGATGAGTCAATACTCTACGAAGACAGAAGTACGCTCCGTCGCGAAACTCAACCCACGGGTTATAGCAAAGGCTATGTGCCAGAGTGGGGACCCGCAGAGGCATTCAGAGAGTTTACGCAAAATTGGTGAACCTCGTATTCCAGTTTCATTTTCCATCAACTGACCGTCTGTAGGAAGGATGCAATTATCGAAACAAACCAATTCAGACAGACCCAATGTCAGGTCGTCGTTAAAGGATTCGATTCGGACAACATCTACACAGCCCCGGGTTCGATATGAAGCATCCAACTTTTACTGGGCTTTCAAGTTCGGTGGGCATAGGAAAAGGCAGCTTTACTGTTCGCTGGCACCTATGGCCGAAAACAAGATCAAGAAGTTGAGGGAGAGACAAAAAAAGAGAATGGCTGCTGGAGCGACTAGAGAGCTGCAATCGAACATATGGGAAGATATGACCGTGAAGATTGGCCTGATCCAAGGAATTGGGGAGAAAGTTAAAAAGGAAGATTTCCTGAGCTGGGTCGCCGTCTCACTCGACCTAGATCAACCCTCCAAAACAATCGAAACACGACATGGATGTCTGATTCTCGACGAGGAGTTTGCTGGGAGGATCTATCTCAAAAGCCTTTTGCTAAAAGGAAAGAGTTTCGAGAAACCATTGAAGTTCGGGTATAACTTTTATCGTGGGTCAGTGGAACGTGACCGGACGAGCTTGAAGAAAACCGGCCAGGAAGCTAGAATTCTGGCTGAGATCTGGGCGGACGCCATCCGTCTTCATGAACGGGACACAATTGATAAGTATGTCGAACTCTTGCGAGAAGACGAGACTGCCGATGTCAACAAAGTCGAAGAGTTCATTTCTGAATTTACAGCAAAGAAGGTCTGGTCACGGCTTTTAGAACAGGATCCCGAACGTGGTTGCTTCTATCACGACACTCGCAATGGAGACAAGGTACGTACCCTCCCATATCTGGCCCTCCACACTCTAATTATTGTGTTCAATCGTAGGATGCCGAGATCATCAGAAATAGTCTGAAGAGGGAGCCCATACAACTGCCTACACCTCTCTGGGAATCACTCAGAAAATTCAAGATTGTCAGAGCGCCGAGAGAACAGCAGTGTCACTTGCTTCACAATGCGCCAGTCGCCGAGGACAACCGAAGTCCATATTCTGCCGGGGTGTGGAGAGCTTTGAGAGCGGCCCTAGCTTTGGATGTAAAGACCAAAGACTTGAAAGTGGTGTTCAAAAACGGCGCCACAACCGACTTCGATTTGATTCTCTTCGAGTCAACTTTGGAGATCAACAATAAATGGCTCGATTTTAAGCAAAGTCATTCGAAGACTGCCTGCTGGCTTTCTCGACAATCGAATGACGAGTCGTCCACCATGTCCCACTTTTCGTGCGATCACATTGCCTTAACTTTATATGAGCTTGTATTAGAAGAGGTGATGAAAGACCCAGGGTTCGCGCACCGAGAATCGAGTGAATCAAAGGCGACTCTGTGTCAGAAGGTGTCCGAAAACCTCCGTCATATGCCAATGATGATAGAGACTTGCCTGGGTGGCCCTGGTGAGATCATCGTCTCGTGGATTGGCAGGGATGGCGGAATGGTTTCTCGAGTTTATGGTTTGAATCCTAAACTTGAAATTACATTGCACCAAGAGAGCTCTTGCGCGCTCAAGAGAGGCGACTTGCTGAGATCGAGTAAGTAGCTTCCCACATCCTTCAACTTTGGGTCGAGAATATTCCAAGGTCTGTATTATCCTACCGATGCTAAATTGAGCTTTCAGATCCCGAACCTGCAACTCCCTCTGTCGAAGTTAATCCTCTCGGAAGTCCCAGATGTGGCTGCCCGTCTATGGTCGTACCTCAAAAAGACTTGAAAGTTACTTTCCCTGGCCTTGATCCTCAAGAGGAATACTTTCCCATGATTTCTCGAGAAGATCCTCAAGCATTCTTTGGTCTAGCCCCGAAAAGCCTTCAGCCAAGAGCGCCATTATCCAAATCACTGAGTATACAAACAAGAGTTGAACAATCAATCAACAGTGCTCTTAGAAGAAATTCGCCTCCTAATGTGGAAATTGACAATGGCAACCTGTATGACGCCGATAATTCAGATGGAGAGATTATGCAATTGGACTCTCCAATCCCACGCCCTTCCAGTCGGAGCTCGGTCAGTGGTCCTGAGAATCAGACAAACGATGTTCTCAGGAACACACCTCCCCGAACTATTGCCCCATATCGAGCTCAGATGAGAGAAGAGCTCCAGGATCTTCGAGTAAGTCACGTTCCTCATCCATCTCGACATAACTGACTCAAGCTTCCCAAGACGGAAACCAAGTCTCAGCAGCAGCAACTAGCAGTCAAAGACCAAGAGATAGCAAAATTAGCCGCTGATCTTGAATCTAAGACCCAGCAACTCGCAAGGAGTGAAACGATTATTCTAAGATTGAGAGAAGAGATCCGAAACGCCGAGAGAGATCTCGAAGCCGCCAACGCACGCATCGAGGATCTCACTATCAAAGACCAAGGCGCCACCGGCTCGATCGAAGCTCTACGGGTAAAGATCCAGGAATCACAAGAGTGAAACGTGAGAGGGACGGAAATCGAGATTTGAAACCAGGTACCTTGGGGCGGGATCCCAAAAGACCCAGGAATATTATCACGACTGGAGAGGATGGCCCTGTTGACTTGACCAGCGATAGAAATGTGGGCAACTCGGCATCGTCTACTTCAGGGGCGTAAATTGGGATGGGAATTTGTTTTTTTGGTGCGTGGGAGGGGCGTTGATATCTGGTACACATGGAAAACGGGGTTGGTGGGATTTCAGCAGATCGGGTTTTTGGTGGAAAGGCGTTTGTGAGCGAGTCGCCCTCCCTCGGCATATACTGTCAATGCGCAAGCAGATATAATTTATCATGTAAGGAATTATACTTTTGTGTGCGAAACGAGAACACTTATCACTACCAAAGCGTTTCAATGAATAGTTTTTGAACTTTTATATTTCCCTACTTGCAGCAATTTTTCCTTCTTCTAGAGCGTCATCCTTTCTTCCTCTGCAGACACGCCCTAGCAAGAGAGGGATGGCCACGATTTCTTACCCATGGAGGCGGCGACAACGACATATGGGTGGACGAAAAGAGGAAGTATGAACGACGATTCGGTGGTGGAAGGCCTCCACCGGGCGAGCCGGCAGCTTCGTGACCAGTGGATGTCGGAAAGTGTAGCCCGCGCAGCGGTGCGGGCATCCCGGGAATCTGAGCGTATGGCAGATGTCCAAAACAAGGACTTTTCCCTGGCAATAGAATAATCACGCTCAAGTGAAAGGATAGCGAGAGACCCGAGAACGGCCGAGCTATACGAGGACCCGCCACTGTATTGGGTTCCATATGTTCATTTCGGGATCTAGAAGACGTCGGTCGATGCCAATAATCGTCTCTATAGCCTGGATGGTAATCTTGGGTGGGGTGGGTGCTTGAAGGAGGGATCTAGATTATCGGCCCTTGGAGTTCAGAGTTTGCCTTGCTTTGGAGCCTAGGGAGGGTGAGAAGAGGGAGCTGAGCTAAGTTCATACTCGTATCTCAACCAATCCGACTAACTTAAGAGGAATGATCGCAGTCGCAAATACTCAAGAGCATCGACTCCAAAGTAAGAGATCGAGAGCTCTGGCTTTAAGCCAGCTATATCGTTAAAGTGTTTAGGTGCGGCGAAGCCGACAGAGGATTTTGGGTGGTCTAGACAAGATAAGTAGAGAATATATAGTAAGATACGAAGCGGCCGATCAAGGGGAAGGGTTAGGATAAGATTAAAGAGGAAGATAGTCGAGTAGTAGGGGGGGCACGACTTTTATAGACGTTCGAGATATTAAAAGCGGCGGCTGGTCCGTGGGTATACCTTGCCCGATGCGGCGGGCGCCAAACCCGGGAGGGCAAACACTGTTACGGGTACGGCATTCAGGTCTTGGAAAGCAAGGTAGAAGGTCCCTTACGAAGACGATTCAAAGCTAAGGAAGGGAAAACTAGAATACAGGAGGCTGCGAGGGAGTATATGCACCCCACAGTATGCTAGTCCCGAAGGGGCTTAGCCTTCTAAATATCTCCAGTGCATTCCAAGCATACCTCCCTAGCGAGGCGGCCGCATCACGTGCGTCTAGGAGGCATCTGGGAATCGTAACATTACCCCCCCTTCGGAATAAGGTTGTCCCCGAGCTTCGTAAAAGCCATTAATCCATCCAATTTCGTACTATTCTCCTTTCCAAAATAAACTAGCATCTCGGATATAGGCATTATATATAAAAGGCCGGTGCCTTTACTATATAACTTAGAGGGATTTATTATTATTTCTATATAATTCTAGGCAAGTATTATTTTTTATATAATCTAGCTAATATTATAGGTTTTATAGAGGTTCTAATATATTAATATTATTATTATAGAAACTCTCTAAAACCAGGAGGCTATTACTTAGTACTAAAGCTAAATACTATACTAGATCCTTATCCTAATTAACTTACTAAATTCTATACTTTAGCTTATTTCTTACTAGCTTAATTATAATAATCTATTTAATACTATACTTTTATTTACTATTCTCTAGTATTAATAGGAGCGGTTCCGGATTTGCTTGGCCTAATAAAGAATTCTGGAAGTTTTTTTATAGCTTTTCTATATAGAAAACTAAATATATCTTTATAATTTCTAATAGTTTTAGGAGAAATAAATAGTTATATTATTCTAGAATCTTAAATAGATCCTCTATTTGATTTCCTAGCTTCTGGTTTAAATAATATAATATAGTAGGCTATATTCTTTAAAAATTATATTATTTTAGTAGTTTTAAGGTTTAGGTTATATAATAAAAACTGCGGCCTTTTATATATAACTTATAGAAATCATATAAGAAAGCTAGTTTTTCTATAGTTCTAGAGAATAATCTTTTATAAATATTTAATTAATTAAGCTTTTATATATTATATACTATTTATACTTTACTATTTATATTTTACTATTTATATTTTATTATTTATATTTTACTATTTATACTTTTAATTTATTAATTTATTATTAAGTTATATTTTATACTCTAATATATTTTATATAGGTTTTTATTTTATTATAGTTTCTCTCTTATATATTTTATAGTAAGTAATATAAAGAAAATAGAAATTTTATAATTAAGGTAATATTTTTATAAAGTTCTAAGAAATATTTATAAGACAAATTATTAGCTTAGTAAGTTAGGAGAAAAAAAGGCTATTATAATATCTTAAGCCTAAGGCTAAAATATTAAGAATATATAAGTATTAATTTTAGTATTTTATATTAATTTCTAATATATCTAATAACTTAGATATGAGTTAGCTATAAGATATAATTACTAGTATAATATATAAAAGTAGTAAAAATAGAAGCTAATTATAAAAAAAAAGAATTAAAGAAAATAAAATAAGAAATATTATATTAAAATAATATAAGTTAGATCTTAGTTAGAAATAAACTTTAGTACTCGGAAATAAAGTTATACTATTAATTTATATATTATTTTTAGTTATAATAAAGACTAGAATAAAGATAATATTAGTTTTAGTAAAAAAGCTTATTTCTAAATCCGAAAAAGATATCTAAAAAAGAAAATATCCTTAATTTTAAGTAAAATAATAAATAGAAATCAGAAATAAAAATTAAAAAGAAATTAGAAATAAGAAAATATATAAATAATTTAGAGAAACTTCTAGAGAAAAAAAAGAATACTAAATAAAAAAATAAAAAAGAATTTAAAAAAGTTAGAAAAGTTAGAAAAATTATATTTATTATTTTTATTATTATTTTTATTATTATTTTTATTATTATTTTTATTATTATTTTTATTATTATTTTTATTATTATTTTTAATAATATTATTAAATATATCTAGTTTAGTAAAATTAAAAAAAATACTATAAGTATTAAGCTAAAGAAATAGAAAAGAAAATATAAATAATAAGAATAAAACTAGAAAAGCTATTACTTTATTATTTCTAATACTAAAACTCGAACCTTAATTATATTTATTATTATTAACTAATTTCTCTCTAATTCCGGTTCTTAAACTAAAAGATATATTTAAATAGGAAGTTAGTTTTTTAGGAATCTTATTAATAGAAGTTTCAAATATAGAAACTATTAGTATAGCTATTTCTTTAAAAGTTATATATATAGTTACGGGATACGGGATACGGAATATAGATAATAGAATATAGGTAATAAGATATAGATAATAGGATATAAGATATAGAATATAGTTATATAATCTTATATTTTATTAGTAATTCGACTAGTAAACTAGATTTCTTTAAGCTTAGCAGATTTAGGAATTATATATTAATATTATAATACTATAATTCCTATTTCTAAAATAATAACTTTACTAACTATATATAAATAGTACTTCTATATCTATATAATAATACTATATATTACTAGTAAACTAATACTAATTAGTTAGTACTTATAGATTAGAAATAGAATAGTTAAGCTAAAGTATCTAATAGCTAAAATAAAAATTAAACTAGTTTATATTAAAAAAAGAAATTATCTATTAACTCTATAAAGTATCCGGTAGCTTAAGAGAGAAAATAGCTAGCTTTTACTAAGAACTAATAATTATTCTATTAAAGAGGGAAATTACTTATTAACTCTATAAAGTATCCGGTAACCTAAGGGAAAAGACTCTAGTTCTTACTAATTAATAAGTAATTAGCCATTTAACTATCTATCTATTTAACTTCTATTATTCTTTAAAACTAACTTCTTTTAGCCCTAAAACTACCTTCTTAGAAATTATCTTTTCTACTTATATAATACCCGTATTTATAGGATATTTTCTCCGGAATATATATCCTATATATACCCTTAAAACTCTTTAACTACTATTTTGATTTTACTATTAAATTGAGTTCTTTAAGCTTTAGATTCTCCCGGAATTATAATATTTCACTTCCTAAATTTCTTATTATAAATAAAATATTTAAGGGCGAAATATTTACTTTAATACCCTTAATACCCTTAATATCCCTAGATATCTAGGGTATCTAATATCTCAATCAGGTATCTAGTATCTTAACTAGGTATCTAAACCAGGCATCTAGTATCTAAACTAGATATCTGGTATCTAAACTAGATATCTGGTATCTAAACCAGGTATCTGGTATCTAAACCAGGTATCTAAATACCTTTATTACTAAACTCTTTCTATAAACTTACTATAAACTACCTTATTTTCAAATCTCTCTTACTATAAATTATATATATATTAAGAAGGGCTTGGCCCTAGAAATTCGATATAGCAGAACTATAAAATAAATATATATAAATAAAAAAATAGAAAGACAATATTAATCTAATTACCTATAATAATAAGGAAGTCCTAAACTATCTTAATACTAGACTATTCTAGTATAAAATAGAAAAGTTAACTAATAACTATTTCTGGGAATTATTTAAAGAAGATTTTAATAATTTCGATCTTAAAATACTTAATTATCTAGATTAATATATATTATATAAATTATAAGCTATTTTATAATATAATAGTATTTATATTAAATAAAATAATAAGAGACTTACTATTATATAATTCTTAGTTAATACTATTTAGGAAGAAAAATAATATACCTAAACTATAGCTAATATTATTATTACTAGACTAGACCTTAATATAGGCCCTATTACCTTATTATATATATCTCTTAATAATAGTATTATAAAAAATTAATAAACTAAACTAATTATTACTTATATTTCTTTATTTCTTATAATTACTTCTACTAGTACCGGATTATAGAAAGCTAGTAGTAATGGATTTCTACTACTTTTACTATCTTTATTACCTCTAAATAGCCCTCTAGCTAGCTCTCTTACTATAAAGCTAATTAGAAAAGTAATAAAAATATATATTAAAATATAGAAATATAATAGAACTAATAATAGTTTTA